TGAAGCCCGCTGACAGCCTACTCTATGGCAATATACGCACAGAAACAAACTTGGGCAAAATATTCTTGCTTATGTCCCATTTTCTCCACAAGAATTGGGTCTACGGGATTCAAACTTGTTGGACGTTGTAGCCTGACTAACTAGCTTTCCATACATGTCAAAACATTTAGGAATTTTTCATAACAAGATACCGTCAAGACGAGATAAAGAAAGTAAACAACACCACGGACTGAAGCACGCTGACAGCCTATAGAGGCATCAACCCAAAGGTTTTTAACAATGGTGGCGCTCTTGCTTCGGGAACTGTTACTTCAGGAAGGTTGAAGAAATGAGGCTAACTCAGTCCCCAAAAACCTGAGAAAGTAAAAACCATGCAAATACAGAAAATAGACTTACGCATGTGAAACAACAAGTCCAAGAAGGCTTTAATACTGCATGACTCAAGGACGCTAGAGGGAACATTCCAAAACCCCATGTACCACGATGGGAAATGGCCATGGCGATCCCATGGGAAATCACCATGGGACATTTTTGACAGGACTTGCTATGGGATTTATTGCACAAAACGCAACTAGCGGTATTGAGTAAATACATCTTGCGTTTTCTCCAAATGTCTAAGGTCTCAAGACTTGCTTGTTAGTTAATGATGTAGACCTAATCGGCAGCTTTCGAACCACGTAGAGTTTGTCTACAATTTCCTATTTTAAGGTACCTTTTGATCGACCTATAGAGCGGCGGTGTTGCACGGCGCTGACAGGCCTTGCTATGGGATTTATTGCACAAAACGGAACTAGCGGGATTGAATGACTACATCTTAGATTTTCTCCAAATGTCTTCGGTCTAAAGACTAGCTTGTTTTTACATGATGTAGACCTAATCAGCAGCTTTCGAACAACATAGCGTTTGTCTACAATTTCCTATTTTAAGGTACATTTTGATCGACATATATAGAGGCGGTGTTCCAGAGCGCTGACAGGCCTTGCTATGGGATTTACTGCACAAAACACAACTCGCAGGATTGAGTGAATACATCTTGGATTTTCTCCAAATATCTTGGGTCTAAACCTTGCTTGTTTTTGCATATTGTAGACCTAATAAGCAGCTTTCAAACAACGTAGAGTTTGTCTAAACTTTTCTATTTTAAGGTACCTTTTGATCGACATATAGAGAGGCGGTGTTGCATGGCGCTAACAGGCCTTGCTATGGGATTTGCTGCACAAAACGCAACTCGCAGGATTGAGTGACTACATCTTGGATTTTCTCCAAAAGTCTTGGGTCTAAAGACTTACTTGTTTTTGCATGTTGCAGACCTAATCAGCAGCTATCGAACAACGTAGAGTTTGTCTATAATTTCGTATTCAAGGGTACCTTTTGATCAACATATAGAGAGGCGGTGGTGCATGGCGCTAACAGGCCTTGCTATGGGATTTACTGCACAAAACGCAACTAGCCAAATTGAGTGACTACATGTTGGATTCTCTCCAAAAGCCTCGAGTTTAAAGACTTGATTGTTTTGCATGTTGTAGACCTAATCAGCAGCTATCGAACAACGTCAAGTTTGTCTACAATTTCCTATTTTAAGGTACCTTTTGATCGACATGTAGAGAGGTGGTGTTGCATGGCGCTGACAGGCCTTGCTATGTGATTTACTAAGCAAAACGCAACTAGCCAAATTGAGTGACTATTGAATTTAAAGACTTGATTGTTTTGCATGTTGCAGACCTAATTAGCAGCTTTCGAACAATGTCAAGTTTGTCTCCAATTTCCTATTTTAAGGTACCTTTTGATCGAGATATAGAGAGGTGGTGTTTCATGGCGCTGACAGGCCTTGCTATGGTATTTACTGCACAAAACGCAACTAGCCAAATTGACTGACTACATGATGCATTTTCTCCCGAAGTCCTGGGTCTCAAGACTTGTTTGTTTTTGCATGTTGTAGACCTAATCAGCAGCTATCGAATAACATACAGTTTGTTTACTGATTTAAGGTACGTTTTGATCGACATATAGAGAGGCGGTGTTGCATGGCGCTAACAGGCCTTGCTATAGGATTTACTGCACAAAATGCAACTCGCGGGATTGAGTGACTACATCTTCCATTTTCTCCAAAAGTCTTGGGTCTCAAGACCTGCTTGTTTTTTTCATGTTGTAGACCTAATCAGCAGTTTTCGAACAACGTACAGTTTGTCTACAATTTTCTGATTCATGGTTCGTTTTGATCGACATATAGAGAGGCGGTGTTGCAAGGCGCTAACAGGATGCACTGCACAAAACGCAACAAGCAAAATGGAGTGACTACATCTTGCATTTTCTCCAAAAGTCCTGGGTCTCAAGTCAAAAGTGTTGGGTACCTTGCTTGACTCATACAAGCTTCAAATCAAATTGAACAATTAAATTTTGCAAATGAGATGCAAAAACAATTTCAAGAATTAAATCCGGTACATACCCACTACTCCAGCATGGAATGAAATGACATTTCACAGATGACGGGACCTGCAAATTTAAAAAACAATTGTCTTTAACAAGACATCAAATAATCTCAACAGTTCAATATTTCACTGCAAATATATAGGCGTCATGAGTATCCTACCAGCTGCAGGCAATTATGGAGTTAGGCGAGCATTCCAAAATTTGTAATTTAATTTAAATTTATAAGCCCGGTATCAATATAAGCATACGATTACACATCAAAATATCAAGGTCGTATTTTGTGATACAAGTGTGTCACAAGCATGAGTAAATTTTCAGTGATCTTGGATTGCATTATACGACAAATTTTACTACACTTTTTAAAACAAAATTCAGTCCAAAACACAGAATGTTCCAGCATACTTACGGTCAGCACCATAGTGGGCAAAGATTCAGCACAATCCTCTCAACATATCATGAAGAGAGATATTTTCTGGGCGATGAAGGAACTTGGTAACTTGGAATCATGAATGAGGGAAAGCTGGCTTTCATCACGTTTACTGAGTTATCAGTAAAACCGTCTGGGAAAATGAACTGCTCATTTTGTGGCTTGTAGATTGCACTTATGGAAATCCCCACAAGCTGGACGTTAGGCGGACGGGCTAAATACCTCCGATTCATTTACCTGGACCCGCTCTCAATTGAGCCGCTCTTCAATCGGCTCCCGCTTGCAAAGAAAGCGGGCGATACAAATCAACATTTTAACAACAATGAATTCTGCGGTTTTATATCCAGCAGGGGGGGGGGTGCTTTCACTCAATGACCGCAAAGACCAGGGCCTCACTAATCATCTGCGCGGAGCTATTGTTCACTGTAATTGGCGACTGCAACAGTACTGTTAGCATGTAATGTACATGTACATGTACATGTAGGCCTTTTATTCAAGTTCTATGGAATGGAATTTCGTGTCAATGATACCAAACTTCATGGTGAGCACTTTTCCTACAGAGCTATTGGTTCTCACTAGCTCCGTAAAAAAAGTCCCTCACATGTTATTAATGTCGTCATCAATACGACGGCCTATTGATACAATGCTCTGCCGCTTTTCTTTCAGGTGTTTTTGGAAGGACTAAAAGTCGAAACCAAGAAAGGCACGATGCAAAAAAAGTTCTCCACTCGCTAAAATAAATCACAGTACTTGTTTTTTATTTTTGTAGTTTTACATGAATTTTGATATACACATTAGCTAAAGGGAACGCACGAAAAGGGAGGGAATAAAAACGAAAGAAAAAAATGAAAGATGAAACCAATGAAAGGATCCAAATGACGTAGTTCGTGCGGAAACGGCCAAAGGAAGAAGATGTGTTTAAAGTATTACACTATTTTCATTTTCAATGAGATTTACTTTGTATTATTAAATGCATTGCTCTTGTGAAGAATATCTTAAGAAACACGTGAATGAGCACACAAAGAAACAATACGTTTATATGGAAAACATTTTATTATAACCTGCGGTAGAAACAAGATAACATTAGCTTCAAAATGAAATACTGGTGAACTGCCCATGTGTAAAATATGTTAACACTAATTGTTAAGATCTGAGGTAGAAACTCAAACTTAAAACAAACAAAAAACCCAAACGGCTCTTTTCAGCACATGTTCACAAAAGATTTATTCCTGTGATAATGAAATAAAACATTTAATAAAAAGGAAACTCCCTCTCCCCTTATACTATGAAATGTTATCAAGTAAATGATAAAATCCATTATACTCAACGGAAAACATTGGTTTGGTGCCGTGTGCAAATTTCCATGCTAGCCGTCTCATATCTCACGATTGCGGACGTTATATGAATAGCTCGCCTTTTTATAGCAGCAGTCGGGATTCTAGGCAGCCAATCAGCATTGGGATTGTAGGCAGCCAATCGTCGTTAGTGGTTTGCCGCCAAAATGCTTGGCCAATCTGTAGGCAGGAATTCGTATTGATAGATGTGTGTGTCATTTTATGTCGCAGCTTCAATTAAAAAAACAAACATGAAAGTTTAGTTTGAAAATAATTTCCCTCCTCCTCCCCTACAATCCTTCCTTTGTAATGTGCTGCAACTGGTTTGGTTGAGAAAGAGGTTGCGTTTTTTCGTGCCAAAAAAGAAGTTGAACACCCAATCTTGTTTGGATATGGAATTAGCTAACTTCAATGGGACAATACTTTGCCATGTCATATTTTCAATGGGGAGCGCCAATAAAATCCTACAATCAGACACACTATATTAACTACAAAGCACCCCTGTCACGACTATTTCTTGTAGCGGGAGACCGTTCATATGTACGTCACATTCCTTGTTTTTGCTAAAGCAATTTTTTTTTCCCTGGAAACTTGTTTTGGAGGGGGGTTAGACAATTTCTTTGGGGGGGGGCCTAGGCGAAGGGAGAGGTAACTTTATACTAATGTTGGGTGCATTTTGCCTGTGTATTTTACTGTAAGCAAAATTTCAAAGTGGTCCTTATTACACTTAATCATGGTGTCGCGAGGTGGCAACCCCAACGATGATCAGGGTGGTCAGGTTCCCCCTCACGAAGATAGAGTAAGGTGGAAACAAGCAGAATCGAACTTGAACACTCAGACGGTTGTTTATGCTGATTCACTTGATCAAGTTTTAATTAAATTCACTTTCTCCAATCGTACAAAATAATTTTAAAAAAAGATCCAAATAACAAACAGGGAAAGACCCAAATGACGTCCCTTGAATGAAGAAGACGACCAAGAAGAGGACTAAATAGAAGACGAAGAAGAAGACTAAGAAGAAGAAGACTAAGAAGAAGACCCTGTTGATCATGAATAAAATGAATTGATGTTAAACTTTTGTGAGTCTTGTTCCAAAGTCATTGGATTAAATCAATGTTACTACAAACAACAGATATTTCAATTATACAGCATAAACTATATAGTTGTTTTGTAGACAGGTGTCATGATCCCTCAAAATAATACTAAATAGGATGACTGATTAGTCAAGCACACAAAGAGAATCACAGTCTTACCCTGATATAATAGAAAAGACCAAGTATACAACAATGCACTTGAGATGTCAAACTTCAAGGCCTGTGACTTGACAGTCTCAGCAAAGTCTCAGCTATAAATTAGAGTACATAAAAATACAAATAGCATACACGGGAAACATATTTAAGGAAATATATTTTATCATAAAGAGTCCCATGCACCCATAAACAATGCGACATACACGAACATTTCAGAATAAAGCGAGTAGATTCATCGTTGTGCTGTGCATGCACGCACACTACGTACGCAATGTACACAGTGCTGAACGCATTTTCGCCATTACGCGTTGTCTGATTGTGCAGTGAATGTATACGAAAACGGTCATTCAACTCCAGAAAAGTTTTGACACTTTCACACCAAATTAACACCATAGAAACTATAAGAATCAATCAGTTTGACAATAATCATATCAACCAACCTCTTCTATGTCCCTTACATTATCTACTCAATACATAATTAGAATCAAACTTACCCCAAAAATGAGGGAAAAGTGGGCGACTTTTAGACAAGAATTGGCTCGGTCGGAGTTCCTTTCACAGCTCGCGCGCTCGCACCAGAACAAGCCATGTGCATGTGGGCGCTCTTGCCGCAATGCAATGACTACAACTCCTTGTTGTGCATAAAAATGGCTCAAAAGGAGTGCTAACTTTGATTACTGACAATGAAGATGACATACTGTTACCAAATAATCATTCTCAAGATAGAATTATCAAATGACATAAATGTCGACGAACATATGTCCAAACTTGTTAACTAGGGCTATTACACTGGCGGGTAAGTACACTAAAAGGAACAGCCAGAAAATAACACTGCATTTTATTCACGCTCCTCGTGAATTATTCATCATTTTAAACCCAAAAACCCATATCGTTACAATGGAAATAAATTTGACTTCCCTATACAAATTATCAATTTAACCAGTGATAATTCTGCGCAACAATTAGGTACAGGCCCTTCTTAAACCAAGTCAAACACTTCCCTTAATTGTAACATTTAAAAACTGTCGTATAAAGGAGTAGATGAAATAGTACCGCACTTTTTGAAAGTAAATACAATTTAAATCATAACATTAATTTTTATTATTTAAACAAAACATATTGTTTTTAGCCACATTAAAAAAAAAATTGTATTAAAGTGAGGCTATGGAATGCACGAACAGTCTGGCACCATCCCGTTCAACAGTTCACAATTTGTAAAATACATTTAGGGAACACGACCAAAATGTCTTTCTCGTGAATAAGGTCCATGTCAAGCCATTTTGGAATGACATCAGAATCCTGAACGTCACGACCATAGCAAACTCTATCGCCCATGGTTTTACGTGATCCTCATTGGATAATTCCGCACACTTGATCAAGTCTGTAGACTGCGCATGCTCTATTCTCATGATCGAATTGGAGAATACACTACGTTTTTGTCTTGTATTTCACTGTATTTTTAATCACAAATTTTAAATTATTCATCAGAGCAGACACGGGTTAATTTGTAATTATTATCATGCCATTGTTTCTCTTCGTAAGTTTCAAAAATGAAGATTTTTTTTTTCGCTTTCAATTTAACATGGCCGACTCGTGAATGAAGTGCACAGGCCAGTAACTGACCCCAAACGTGCCTATACGTCTGTCCCGGATTTTGAACGTCAATTTTCCAGAAAATCTGGAGGAAATTGTGGATTATAACTCGCTCTGTTTTTGGACTTGGAGACGGACTTCAGCATTTCTTTTTCAGGGGTGGTCATCTTTGGAGGGAAAAATATTCCCGCATTATTTGTTTCCAAAGTTAACTGACCATCGATTCACTTTATTCATTCATAGAATATTCTTTGTCAATAATATGTTTTGCAAATAAAATAAAGTTTTTAAACTTTAGAAATGAATGAAGAGACAGTCTTGAAATTTCTCTCCAGTAGCCAGTCGCCAGGCACAGAGGAACGATTGTGATTGGTCAGTTCTGGAGGCGTGAGCTTCAAATCTTGATTCTGATTGGCCAATAGTGGTAGGGTTGTAATGATAATAGTCATAGCTAATGAAACTGGTATCTAGACAGGTATTCCCCAAAACAGTCTTCACAAAATTATTTCTAACATAACTGTCATTATATTTCAAATTTCCAATACAACAATGCGTGAAGAGATGATCACTAAATATATAAAGAAGACTCAAGGAATCAAATGAAATGTTTAACTGGTTCGATCACAGCCCCACAGGTCTGTGCACATAATTGCCTGGTTTACTTGCCATCCATACCCAAGGTGCGTTGCGAATATCGAAAGGCTTTATTTATCTACTAGTCAACACCCTTTGATCAGCGCAAATCACCGATGGTTTTAGTGCAGAAAAGCACTTGCTGGCCTAAAATGGAGTCGTCGTTCATGATAACACTGGAGTAGTACAGTGCCACAGGTTCCCCACACTCCTCCGGGATGGTCAAGCCGGACGAGGTGAAATCCTCAAAACACATGTTCCAAGTCCAGGTGATCCCGGCATCTGCGCCAGTGGACTCACGGCAAACACGAAACGGCTCCCACCGATCTTCTGTCGTTTGAAAAAAATCATAGACTTTAGAGCGAATGAGGACGCGGGCTGCATGCGCCAACCAGAGAGGGCGCTTTTGTTTTGTTTTTCTGAGAGGCCCGTGGACGAGACACACATCGTGTGCGTACTGGTTCGCGCGACATCTAAGTTTATTCCACCACTTCTTTACTACTTAGGCATATTAATTCTCTTCAACTAAGATTTAACTCCCATTGGCCCATTACCTCATGCATATTTATGGCACCCCGCCTGCTTATTATAATTAATTTATTCAAATGAGGTTGATATGTCTAATAAGACCCAACACACTACTTATGATAACTGCCATGTTTTGAGCATGCAACATCGGGTTACCAAATACAGCACAGAAGGCGCCCGCTGTTTTGAATAATCTGCAAACGTAATTAGCACAGATGCTTAATTGCCATGCAAGCATCTATGCCACAGACTGGCCAAAGGGATTATGTTGAAGTTTTGACAAATACGCCGTAGACGAATAAGTGTAAGGTCGTGAATTCCTTAATAATTTTGAAGCCAAGAACTGAACTGAAGTACAAAAGACAAGGCAAGATTAGTAGAGCTGGTCTCAGAGTGCCAACGATTATATTCCATTGATTCAGAATGGAAATCTTTGTATTCATCTGGAGTACACAATAGGTCGGATATCGCCCATTATATACGGGGTAATCCTATACATTTCTATATTTCCCAAACGACGTCCGCATACATGGCTATTTAGCACCTCTACGATAGGCCTACTTTTATGATACGTACGCAGGTATTTAATTTTTTTCCCCCACATCATTGGCAAGCAGTGCGATAGCCCAATCGATACAGCGTTGTGATTCGCACCGCTAGGTTGCGGGTTCGAAACACGCTTTTGCACCCGAATGTTTTTCTTTTTTCAACCTGAGGCTTCGGATTTATTTGAAAAGGGAAATAAATTCCGAATTTCAAAACGTTCGAAGTCACTTTTGTCTTCTAATTGTATATTTTCTTCTCATGTTTTTAGAAAAATCCAAAACGCCATAGCGTACACCCATATATGCGGATGTCGTTTGGGAGAAAAACAATCGCTGCCCGGCGCTCGCCATCAGCTGACAACCAAGCTGGTTCACAAGCTGAAAGTGAGTCAGTCATTCAGTAATCTTGCTATATGTCGGCCCAAGGAAAACCCCGTGCGTTTTTTGGTAACACCGTGGTTTCAAATTTAGTAAAAAAAGGGAATAAGACCTTAAATTATATTTAATGCATCATACTCTATCAGATACACAGGATGCATGCAAAAAAGGAAACCCATGGTATGTGTAGAAAATCTAATAAATATTTTCAAATAAGTTAAAGCTCATGTGAAACACCAATGTGGCCTCTTTCCGATGATACCTTGATTGCATGTCTGTGAATGACTGAGCATATTCGTTGTTATTCTGTCAAGGGTCAAAACCTGTGCTGGGTCAAGTTTGTGCAAAAGGGTAACTGGTATTAACTATAATGGGCATGTGGAACGGCTTGATTTAAAGAAAGAAGACATCCTTTTCTTGAAAACAATTCATTCAACGTTGCCACCACCTCTTTCCACACACAGTTTTGCACGACTTCGCATATCGCCGGCCGCCTGTCCAACCTTTGCATAACAAACCAGCGTAATCTAAGCCGTAAAATTTGGCTCGGTACAGGTTTTGGCCATTTACAGAAAAACAATGAATGCTCAGTCATCCAAGGCCACAGACACACAATGAAAGTATCATTGGAAAGAAGACACATAGGTGTTTCACATGATCTTTTGAGAATATTTATTAGATTTTTTTAAATTCACATTTACATCTGGGTCCTTTTTTAAAATTCACCCTGCAGTATATATTATGTTTTTATTGCGAAACTTTAAAGAATATTTTCAAGGTTTACCCTGGACAATCTCGACCATCCAGTCGTGCGTTCCTCCTTCGACATTCAACTGATACTTGTTTGGTTTCTTAGTTACTTCAAAAGTATCTGCAACAAGATAGGACAGTTTTTAATGTCACGAGAGAAAATCTGATCGTACAGAGACTAGGCGTACATGTAAACACTGCAAAACCTGCACCGGTAAATAGCTGTACATTTTTACACCAGTGGTTCTATGTGTATATACCTTACCTACACATCATTTGCTTTTGCTGTAAGTTTCAGAAATGGATGGATTAGGGGTTAGTATTTTATCGTTACACTGATCGACCTGTTTAAAGTTGTGTGTTCATGGATGCCGGAAAAACCAAGAACAAATGTACTGTTCTTGAAGTCTGGTTCCCCGACCCCACCTCAGACGAATGTGGCGGTTGGTTCTGTGGGTGCACTGGGAGCCCATTACATACTATACAGGGTGACCCGCAAAAAAACGGAATGGCATTATAAACAACGAAATTATCACTCACTTAGGTAAACGTTCCCGTCCGAGCCTGGATCTACGTAGCATTTGGCGCAATGAGTTTCCCCACACTCCAAGGACATCACAGAAAAACTCTGTCAGAATAATTATAAAATTGAACAAATTGACCGGAGCGGGTTGGAACCAGCTACCTTCGGAACACCGTATACCATGCCCTACCAACTGATGAGCGCTAACCAGCCCTATGTTGGTGGTTCCCTTTATATCTCGTCAATGTATTTTGTTAAAACAAGGACTCTAGTCGGAAGCACTGCAACCTGATCTCTCATGGGAAATTACTCATAACTCTGTCAAAAAATTATCAGATTTGGACGTTTTATGTCTCATTTTAAAGCGGAAGGGCGTATCTTCCAAACCATACCTAAACTATTTGTTGGTTACTCATTCTACGTCTGGCATTCCGTTGTATTTTGTTTGCATTTGTTTTTGTTACACACTGTATATGCCAAGCAGAACAAAACAGGGTTGCTCAAAATCTCAAGTAGGTTGCATGACATGATGACAACGAACTTGTTTGAGTTCAACTTAGTGGATATTATATTTTGAAAATGAATGAAAAGAAAACTACAAACAAATTGGTGGGTCTTATCATGGATATCGTTGCTAAAAAAATTATGCCCGCTGCACTGAAAATTGTCTGGGTTAATTTTACCTCAGAATTAATGTGAAAACTGCAACTGCGCAAAATTGGGTTGTTCTATTATTGTTTGGGTTAGAATTTCGGCTAAATTATATCAAAAGTTGTAGTTATCGAAGACAATATTAAACTTTGTCTTGTAAGACCACAAGTTTTTGGTTGAATTTAACAGAAATTCTAACCCAAACAATTGGTTATAGAACAACCCAATTTTGGGTAGTTGCAGTTTTCACCTTTTCTTTGGTAAAATTAACCCAGATTTTTTTCAGTGTGGCACCCAATTTTGAAATAACCTTCAATGTCAGTTTTTCTTCCAAATGATACCATTTCAGGTGGAATTTCACAGGGTATTTGATGCCAGTCCTGTCTTCACTTCGAGCAAGCTTTCTGTCACTAAATCGGTATGCCTAGGTAGGCCTACGTGTAATTGTCAGATGATCATACGTGGCAGTAAAACGTCAACATATTCTAACTGGGCGACGATATTTGTTTTAACTTACCAAGCCCTTGCTTGAAAGCCCATTTTTCTCCGCATAGTTTGCATTTACTCCACCGACAGCCATCAAGCACAGAAGAGCGGTTGCCAACATGATGGTTCCAGATCAGTATCTCCTTGATGTTAAAATATAGCGACTTTGCAGTTTTCTTTAACGAAAAAAACCTCTCTTCGTTGTTAACAACTCTTCTTTCTTTTTTTATATATTGTCTAAAATGAAGATAATGCTGACGTGATGTGCACGTGACGACGTTGCGCGATATAGCGATTGTCGAACCGTTCCAGAAACGTAGACCACTTTTATTCAGGCAAATCGCGTGAGGCTCTATCTTCAGCAAAATTTTTCGTGCAATCGAAAAGAGATGAAATTTTTGTTTGCACAAAATGCTCATACACAATACACCTTATATATGCACTTCGCTGTCAAAAGTTTTTTTTTTGCAAATTCTTCAGAATTATTCAGTTATTCTGAAGAACACGATGATCTCTTCAATTGTGCTGGTACCCCCGGCCGCAATTATTAGGCCTATGCGTTTTTGCACGCATACGATGAATTTTTTAATCCCGAAAGAAAAATCAGCAAACGTTGATGTGCGCATGCGCAGTTATAATACCGAACTAGCTTACACCGCCTGTACTGAAATACCGCGCTCAAGTAACTACTTGGAAAGTTGATTCCTAAATTTAAGGAATCAACTTTCCAGGCAGTTACCCGAGGCCGGTACTTAAGTCAATCGTCAGAAACCTGAGAACGTTTACAGCAGTACGTGTTTCTTAGAATAACTTTTTGGGGGGATGAAAAATCATTTCTACAACCACATTACTTCGAAAGGCATCTTTTCTCAAAATGTTTTAATACTATCAACAGCTGCACGTGCATCTTACATGTTTTATGGCCCTTAATTTTTTTGAGTAATTACCAAACGTAAGTCAACCATATGAAATTTCATGTGAAAAAAAGTTTAGAATTCTAATTCAGGTAACACAACCTTTTAGGGATTTTTTGGGTATGCATTGGTGTGTGGCTCCACACCGTGCGGAAGAAGCCCATGCAGCCATTTAAAAATGCGCACTGACCAACACTTGCCAACAAAACCTAGCAACAATCACCACACCCCAGAACTCGCCTGAAGTGAATATGCAGTCCTACATAAATCTACATGAAACTATGCAAACCGTGCGAATCGGTCAACCGCAAACTTTAACTGTTGACGCTTTGTGTTATCAAATTTCGTTTAATCTTCTAATTCAATTCAAACGTTCGTAGAGAACACGTGTGATTGTGATGATCTATCGACACCGCCCTCCAAAAGAGCGCCCCTCAGCAACACCCTTTTCAACGTTTGTCAAAGCTCTTTCATTAAAAACAAAATAACTTTTGAATTCTCTTCTGACGAATTTTTCGAATAGACTATTTTTTATGTGTTTCAAACGAAAAAAACAAACACCCCACTATTTTCAAATTTTGGGCGGCCTCCGACCGGCCACTGAAAAAGAGTTTTCCTTTTTTGCGCACAAAATAAGGCTAAATAAAAAACTTGAACATGTTTAGCGTCCCCGCCCGCTTCCTATATGGAGGCCGCCTCCTTTAAAAAAAAAAAGCGTGCGAATAATAATCAACTTGGAATAAACATGAACCTTTGATATGATAAAGGTTTTTACATACATACAAATTATGCGCATTAATTTACATAAACCGTTTGCTACATTAAAAACAAATGCGTACGCCATATTTTATGACTTGCTTAATAAGGCAACTAAATTCATGGCTTAATTTATACATACAAAAAAAATATATTAATGGTGCATGTTATAAATAAATGAATCAAAATGGACTCAGGCTTGTTCGAAATTCCACTTTTTTATTCCATTATCAAAATTGTTTCTTCATTGTCGTCGTCAGTATTGTATTGTTCTCTTGCTGTATCCTAGCTTGATACATATCAATGAATAAGGAAAATTCCAAAGTTTGTTTAAAAAGGTGGGTATACACCTACAGTTGTCGGAGTACAGTCACCCCCGAAAAAATGCAACCCTAAAATATTTTCCTGTTTAAAAAAAAAAGTTATCGGTGAAGTTTTTGGATATCAGATTGAAGCAGCGAGCCTTTTCTTTCAAACACTGAAAAAAGTATGAAACCGTACATTGGGTTGCGGAGAAAATACCAAATATATAAAAGAAGTGATTTTTCATCCTTTTCAAGGGTGCTTTTTAAATAAAACAGTAAAACGTTATCATTTCAGTTTGCGGTAACACCATGTGGTAATTACTATTTCTCAGTAGATATTTTGTTCTGAAAAGAACTTGTCCTGCTTATCAACTTTCGCTGAGTAGGTAATAGTTCTGATAAGAGCAGGCCTAGTTAAGTTACTTCTTTAAAAGAACTTGTCTTTGGTCGTATCTCTTTTCTAAAACTCTACCATTTGGGACAAATCAACATATACCTTGGAAATTCCTAGTTTTTGAGTAAAATCCGTATATCTATTTTGCGAAAACCTTGTGGAGACGTATTCATCTATAGAAATTGCCATGTGGAGACGTATACAATCGTTTGTTCCCTAATGAATCATGTCTCCAGAGGGCACGTTGTATCAGATCAGACTGACCGGCCAGTTCGCGTGCGAAACAACTTTGAGTTGTACTTTTACGTCCTGGTTTACATATCAAAGGTTACTCAGTATATAGGATCATTTGCATTTATCCCAAAAGTAAGTTACCAAATAATCATTATCAAAATTCTTTTTTTTTATATATATATATATATATATATATATATCAAAGGACGTACTGGCGCTATAAACACCACGTGAACTTATTCCGTCTGGCTTGCTGTCATTTAGAAGAAATCAAGAGGAATTTATAAGTGGTTTTCAACGATCAGTTGCTGATTTTTGGAATAAAAGAATACTATTGACAACATTCTGTTTTGTGCTCAAAACGTTGTGCATGCTTTTTCACTGTTTTCTCGAAAAGTGTAGTATCCACTGTGCTGAAACGGGTTAGGTTTTGAACATTTTTCTTTGGATTTTGAGTGGTGTTATTATTGGATACGGAACAAAATGCAGGAATAGCAAGTAATCCTATTATGTCTTTTAACCACAAATTTTGAAGTATGGCCTGGTGCCTATTGATCGTTTTCACTGTATACCATTATGCCCCTCCTGTACCAGCTTAATATGCAAATCAAATTTTAATGAGATAACATTATTCCATGACGAACAGACCCGTACGTCTAATTAAGTCAGGATAAAATAAGAATTATTCAATGTATGCCTTTGATCGCATGGACTAAAATCCACGCACTTACTTTATTTCGTACCTGCGTAAGGCCTATATGTATAGTGTATATATATTTGCCCAATTGCTTGAGGCCTATATTCTTTCGGGATATATTGCATACCGAATTGTTTTATTTTTAAAAAGAAAAATACAGGGAAAATTGCAAAAGCTGATATGTTTTTGTACTAAAAAAAAACTATACTAAGGCATGACCGAAAAACCCCGTACTCTGCTTTTCTGCGGATGGCACTTTTTTCTGTTGTTGTCTAGGCAATCGGAGTATTTGGACCGCATTTTTTTCTTCTGCAGGCTATTTCAGTCATTTACATTAATACGCATGCGTAGAACATGTCATGTGGGTGTGAATTTGTTTTCTTGAATTGTGTTAAATTCTACACTAATCGATGAAATGCCACCTTTTTGTCCTGATTCATATAGCTCTGGATTTTTTTTTTTTTACTAAGGGAAGTTTTTGAATCCAAGCATCATTTCGTTACCAACTAGTGCATGCGCATTATGGGCATTGACTATACTAGGTTGCAAAATAAAATTTTGCATCCCGGTTGTTAAAAATTTGCTTGAAATTAACGGGGGAGGGGGGCGGGGTTCACGGCCCCCTCCATGGACGCGAGGGTGCTCTCCCCTTTTTTTTCTTATCCCTTCGCCCCATGGAGGGAAAGAGGATGAGTAGCAGTATTTTTGTTGTTCTTATTAAATTATAAAAGAAAGACGACATGGGGTGGGGGGGGAGGGGAGTGCCGCCCCCCCCCCCCCCCCCCCCCCCCCCCCCCCCCCCCCCCCCCCCCCCATCCAATCCACCTGGAAAGTAGAAGCTTGATCTCTTTTTTTATCCTTTGGGAAGTGCTTGGTTTTTATTATGTAAAATTTCTGGTAATTTTCTTCTTATTCCTGTGTTTATTAAATGTAAAATATTCAACGCAAACAAGTCTAATCTTAAAGCTGTGGCAGGAGCTTCTACATGATCACTTGGTGCGTCGGTCGGTCGGTCGGTCGGTCGGTCGGTCGGTCTGATCTCAGTCTGTCCCCAAATTGACCAATACGGGTCTTCTATTCGTGTGCCGTCGGCGTTGCATTTTTCGACGTCGCATTTTGAAGCTCTGGCAGGGATAATTTTGATCAATTTTATGCAATGACTTCTTGCAACACGGCCTTTTATTGTGCACTCGCACTTGTGTAAACAGCAAATGTAAATGGTGTTTACGCAATGCTGCCCTCAATGGGCAGTAGTTTGTTATTTTTTTTTTAGACGGGGAATTACCGTCGCTGGTAGTTGGCGAAATAAAAACACGGCACGATTAACGAAGGCAACATTGATGGGCAACCAGCGGAAACTTTGACAGCATGGCAGACGACGAATGGGCAGAACTGGAGAAATGTCGTCTCGGTAAATCGCCGTTTTTCCTTTGAACTATCAAGTTTTGTAGCCTTTTAACTTTTTATTATCCTGTTTTTGGTAATCCTTACTTTTAGGACCCCGTTCCTATATAGGAAGGGAAAGACTCACCAAAACAGTTGACTAAATGACACTCAAAATTGACATTCTGATACTTCTTGGCTAGCTGGAGTTACCCAGCCCTGAGTTTTAGGCAAAAAAAAAAAAAAAAACATGTTTAGCGTCCTGCCTCTTTGACAAAAAGGAAGGAGGAGGCCCTTTTTTTTTTTTTTTTTTTCAAATTGGCCGCCCGACACTTTTCTATTTGCGAGTTCTGAGACGTAGAGAACCAGTTAATATTTCACACGGGGTGAATGTATGATAGACTCTCGTGCAGACGCACGTGCTAATTGACTATTTCCACAGCTTTATACACGGTATAAAAGTCTAAAAATACGATTTCGTTCGTCAGAGATCGTTAAAATTTATCAATTTTTGTCTTTTAAAAAAAAAAAAAAAAAAAAAAAAAAAGGAGGCGGCCTCTAAAAAGGAAGCGGGCGGGGACGCTAAACATGTTTTTTTTTTTACTTCGCCTTATCATTGGGTTGTCTATTAGGTCTGGAGCGAATTTTTCTCGTAACTTGTAGTATAGGCAAATTGTTTTGGAAAATGTTCAATTTTGTCCCCGTTACACACTCATTGCAACTGCAACTCACCCCAAACTTGCCTGGAATAACCATTACACAGGTCCTTGAAGTAAAAAACGATCCACGATGAAGATTCAGCCTACAATTGCAGTGAAAACAGGAGGAATAACCGCTAACTTGACAACCTTGCTGGATTGGCCAGGACCGCAATTGGTTTGTGCACAAAAAAAATTGTGTACAATGAATGGCGGTCGATTAACAGGCACAGAGAGCGATCGCTGTCAACTACTCGTTTTTGCCGGCTGCGCTGGCTGTTGGCGCATGACGTCACGCGGAAGCGTAACACCCGATGACTGTTTTATGCACTAATATAAGGTTTACCACTCGCATCACAGCTTTGGTACTGGAACCGCAACCAATAGTGCATGAAACAGTCATCGGGTGTTACGCTTAAGATAATAGTGGATATTTAGCCGGATATTAAGCCCGCTAGGTTATATAGCACCCTCTTTGACGCGTATACGAGTATACTTTGACGTAGCTTGAGTATTAACTCCAGCTGACTAGCCCCATAAATGTGGCCTATTTACTGGACTGCCTCCGTAAACATAGGCCACACATCCACGTGTACAATAACGTGTCGCACTTTGCCAAATTTTGATTTTCACATTTAGGCTTAGTTTGTAGGATTTTTTTGCTTTAGAAGCATACTCACCCTTTTTATACTTTATAGGCTAGTCAGAAAGTGCTGCCTTTTTCAGATGTCTAAGTTTTGTGACATTTCATGTTGAAATTTTGATACGCAAACATGTAAAAATGAATCTGGAAATTTCACGAAAAATATACATCTGAAAAAGGCAGCACTTTCTGATTAGCCTATAAAGAGGGTGAGTATGCTTCTGAAGCAAAAAAACCCTACAAACTAAGCCTAAATGCGAAAATCAAAATTTGGCAAAGTGCGACACGTTTTTGTACATGTGGATGTGTGGCCTATGTTTACGGAGGCAGTCCAGTAAATAGGCCACATTTATGGGGCTAGGAGCATGTCAGCTGGAGTTACTCAAGCTAACTTTGACGCATGAGTGAGTGTAGCCCCACTAGTGTGGCCGCGGTGTGCTGCGCTGATCAGAGGTTCAGCGTAGCATACCGCGGCCCCACTAGTGGGGCTAGAGTGAGTGAGAGTCCCCAAAAATGTTGAACTTTGTCAAATTTTTATTTTCACATTTAGACTTTGTTTGTAGTTTATACAAGGCTTTAGTCTAGAAGCACACTCACCCTCGGCCTCGTTAAAGCGATAGAAAAGTAGTCCCTACTTTTTCAGACCTTTATATTTCATGTAATTTTCAGGTTCGTTTCCACACGTTTGCATATCTATTATCTAAATGACAATGAATGACAAGTTAATACAACACGAAATCACATGAAAAATAGATGTTTGAAAAATGCTATCACTGTCAAGATGGTGAAAGACTGAATGTGCTTCTAAAGCGTAAATAAACTACAAATATAGTCTAAATGTGAAAATCAAAATATGACAAAGTTTTTGGGTACATGTTCCAAGTGTGGCCTTTGTTTACGGAGGTAGTCCAGTAAATTGGCCACATTTATGGGGCTAGAGTGAGAGATCCCTGGCTCAACATGTTCAACGAAATGGCTAGCAACATTTTCTAATTTCTTTTTTCATCCAAAAAAATTTAGAATTTTCTTTTTTTATTTATATAGGCCCTATTTTAAATTGACTTCAACATTTAATTACAGAGTATTACATTTTCTTTTTCTAATTGCTGGCTCTGGACAATTTGTTTTTTAAAAGGGAAGTAAAGTCCGAAATTGTAAAATGGTCTGATTCCCATCTTGTGAATACGAAGTCACAACAAATGTTGGCGCAGAAGGCACTGCCCATATCAGTGCCTATCAGGCAAAAACGTTGTTTACCAAAAGAAAGCCGGACCTGGCTAAATATACACTGCATACATCCAGTTTTCTCTTAGTCTTAGTGATCTGGGGTTTGGAGGATTTTGTTTTTAAATAGAAACAAAGTCAAAGAACCATTTTTTTGATAGTGTGGTTCGGAGGCCAAAAGATGTGGATGCTGCATATTGACAGGTCAATGAACCAGACGGTTGCCTGCCGTAGCGATAGCCACTGTATTATTATATGCTTGTAAAATTATTCTGTTCAGATTTGACAGACAAGGACAGCCCTGATGGATTGGACTTCTCTCTGCTGGAGCTTGGGTCTACTGGTCAGGTGACAGCCGTGCCGAGAAGCGACCCAAGCACTGGACCAGCACCACTCTCGACGGTAGGGCCAGAAAAGTTGAGCCGTTTAGCTCTGTGGAGCCTTCAGTGCAGACGAAACTTCCTACAATATAGATTTATGAAATTGCCCAGCATTTGAAGAACCTCAATTTTTTGGGCCTTCTATAAATAAATTTGAAATCTAAGCTACTTACCTGTTATTTAAGGTAATGATACACCGTACCCTCTGGAGACATGATTTAGTCCATCATTTGTAATGTGTGTATTTTGTTCGTATGAAGCAACAAACATGCTCAAAATCTAAAGAAGGTTGCTTAACAACTAACCTGACCGAAGGTTCAGCTCAGCTTCAGCGGTATATTTCGAGAAAAACAGCATTCTAGGATCTCAATTTCAAATCATTTCAAGTTGCTGAATCATGTTTTGAATTGGGCCTGCAGCGTCCGCTGAGACACGTTCTCACTGAGCCGATTGCAGCTATGAGATGTCGCTTACTGAACCGACGAATTGTAGCAACCGCGCGTGCGTGTTGTGTCAACGCTTGCGCGCTCTTCGCCGAATAAAAAACGAACTACTAACGGAAATTTCCAACGGTGCGTCTTAAGACGCACTGTTGAAAAGGCCTTCTTTCGTTGATTTCTTCAAAATGACAGCATGCCAGAAAGAACAATTTCACAGGGAGCTTAGTTCCTATCTTTCAACCAAGTATGTTTTTCAACAATATTTACGTCAGTTACTATTTGGATAGCTGCAAATGATGGACTGTGGCTTTAAGGGGAAATTTAGAAACAGTGCTTTACCGCAGGATTTTTTTTCCGTCCGTATTTTACTCCCAGTTGCCCAATGGCTTGCCGCCAGTGCTCCAAGATCTGAAAGTCAAGACACTTCAGTTTCTGGACCGACCGGAGAAACTCCCCATCCACGATGTCAAAGCGGCTCAAAGGTGGATATTTAAATTTGCTTTAAAAACAGTTTTAAAAAAAAATAAACTAAGACGTTAATTAATTGGGCGGGGTATGAATCTGCGACCTCCAGAATATCGTCGAATTGAGACTTACACTAAGGACAAAGCTCAATATTGACCCCCAAAATGTCAGTTGTTTCTCATTTTATTTTATTCCAGGTTTTGGCCTCGTAAGGCAGACCCATGCAGTCTGTACAAGGTCCCATCATGCCCTGTGCAGACCACTTTGCAGGTTGAACGACACCCGACAACGGGAGAGCTGACTGGATTTAGGGAGGTATAGTTCGAGGGTCAAACCCCCCCAACACCACCCTCCCCTATTTCCCCCCCCCCCCCCCCATTCCAAGCCCAGGTACCACCCCCCAATTCCCCCGTACCCCTACCCTGCATCCCAGCTTTTTAAATTTGAAATGGCCGGTTGGATAGCCTGTTCTTATTATTTCAGACACCATCCATACCCACCCTCTTCCCCAAAATTCCAGCCCCAAACCCCACAATTCCAACCCTAACCCCAGAAATTCCAACCCCCAGCACTACCCCCACCCCAGTCTCCCAGTTTTTCAAATTTGCAATGGCTAGCAGGCCAGTTGGGCAGTCTGTTCTTATTTTCAGATACCCTACCCTCACCCCAAACCCATCCTCCACAATTCCCAGCACCAGCACCACCCCAGCCCAGTCCCCACCCCAGCTTTTTATTTTCAGATACCCTACCCTCACCCCAACCCATCTCCCACAATTTCCAGCACCACCACAGCCCAGCCCCCACCCCCCAGCTTTTTATTTTCAGATACCCTACCCTCACCCCAACCCATCCCCCACAATTCCCAGCACCACCCCAGCCCAACCCCCACCCCAGCTTTTTATTTTCAGATACCCTACCCTCACCCCAACCCATCCCCCACAATTCCCAGCACCACCCCAGCCCAACCCCCACCCCAGCTTTTTATTTTCAGATACCCTACCCTCACCCCAAGCCATCCCCCACAATTCCCAGCACCACCCCAGCCCAACCCCCACCCCAGCTTTTTATTTTCAGATACCCTACCCTCACCCCAACCCATCCCACACAATTCCCAGCACCGCCCCCAGCCCAGCCCCCACTCCCCAGCTTTTTATTTTCAGATAGCCTACCCTCACCCCAACCCCAACCACCAACCCCCAGCACCACCCCCACTCCAGCCTCCCATCTTTTCAAAATTTCAATTGCTAGCCGGCCGGTTGGGCAGTCTGTTCTTAGTTTTCAGATGCCCTTCCCTCACCCAAACCCCACCCCTCAAAAAAAAAGGTTTCAGATCTGCAGCTTGATGAAGCAAAAGAAGACTAGACTCATTTGATATTAGTCTCCTCACGTGAGTGGATTGTGTTGATAGCTTCCTCGGTTGTCAATTTTCTATGGAACAGCATGCATTAGAGAAATGCAATCTTAACAGAAAGTCTGGAACCGAGACTATTTTCAGGACAGCTGTTGGCTTGTTTTGCAGACTATAGGCTGGTTCACGAAAGGGAACGCAAAAATGAAATTTGAGATGCATTGGCGCTGCGAATAAGCAAAATTGGACACATCACAACCTAAGCAAATTTCACAGTAAAACTTTTGTGATATCACATTCACTACGCATTTGCATTCGCCTAAACATTCATTAAAATACAATTTTGAATGGAATGTTGATTTTGCAGGTCCAAATGGAGGGTACAGCCTCAACGGCTAAAAACTCTCTGTCCCTCCGACGCCAACCAGGCCCACCCACCCAGTTCTTAGTTTTCAGATGCCCTTCCCTCACCCAAACCCCACCCCTCAAAAAAAAAGGTTTCAGATCTGCAGCTTGATGAAGCAAAAGAAGACTAGACTCATTTGATATTAGTCTCCTCACGTGAGTGGATTGTGTTGATAGCTTCCTCGGTTGTCAATTTTCTATGGAACAGCATGCATTAGAGAAATGCAATCTTAACAGAAAGTCTGGAACCGAGACTATTTTCAGGACAGCTGTTGGCTTGTTTTGCAGACTATAGGCTGGTTCACGAAAGGGAACGCAAAAATGAAATTTGAGATGCATTGGCGCTGCGAATAAGCAAAATTGGACACATCACAACCTAAGCAAATTTCACAGTAAAACTTTTGTGATATCACATTCACTACGCATTTGCATTCGCCTAAACATTCATTAAAATACAATTTTGAATGGAATGTTGATTTTGCAGGTCCAAATGGAGGGTACAGCCTCAACGGCTAAAAACTCTCTGTCCCTCCGACGCCAACCAGGCCCACCCACCCAGTCGGTGCGTGGTAGCTCCACAAACTTCCCCTTCTGGCCTGGTGGGATAGACGAGCCGTCGGCAGAGACCATTCACGCCAGGGGGGAGGACGACGAGGACATTGACTTTGAGAATGGTAAATATTTGAGAAAATACCAACGCTTCTTACGTCAAGATATTTGGGCTGGGCGTATTTCCTTCTATGTGTCTGAGTTTGTTTAGAACTGCATTCAATAGGGGACGTTGAACAATAGAGGACAATTGGGTCCCCAATTCCCAAGAGGTCCCCAATTTGGATTCATGTACAAAACATATGGGAGGTCTTCCTAAAAAGTTCAGGTACAAACAAAAGAGGGACAATAGGGGGTCCCCGATTGCAGGCAAATACACACTTGTGCGTGTATGTGTGCATGTTCATGGTGTAAATCGAGGACACACACGTGCAACATCATTGATGAATTGAGGACAGAAACCGAATCTAGATTCCTTGGTTGGAAAACGTGTACAAAGTCAATGAGAGCTGTTGCCAAAAAGTTAGAGTACAAACAAGGAAAAGGGAAGAGGAACAAAAGAAAATCCTTGATTTACGCCATAAAAAAACGTGCTAAGGTGTGTGGGTGTTCCATTTCACTGTAAAGTTCAGTCATCAATCTCAACGAAACTTAAAAGGTGGTCTTTGGAGAGAAGGCCGACGTAAAAAAATCCTTTCCAATATGGATGTTTATGAGGTCTCTGGAGAGCTCAGCTCCGTATTACTAATGACTCGAACATATGTTAGGCCAGTGTCTCACCCAAACTCTCCATTCGACCCAAACTCCCCATTCAACTGAGAACTGGTACCTGCCAAGTGGACAATCAAGGTCGTCACTGAAAATTGTTCTTACTGACTTCCTGTACATGTACATGTATGTATACAAACTGCCAGGATGCCAGGGAGATCGCGGAAGTTTTGTAACCATGTAAAAGTTGAGTGAGAAAGTTGCTGGTTCCAACCTTTTTCAATCCTACAAAATCTTCCGAAAACCTTGTAGTGGATTTTGAAGGGTCTGGGATGATAAGGTTGTAATAGCAATGGTTGGGTTTTTGTATCCAGATCTCCTCTCCATGCCACCGGGTCTGACCAATGGCATGGCATTCGAGAGCAAGCCGACCATTGTCAAAACAGACACACCCGACCGGTCGACGCCCAACGAAACAGCGCCCTCTAAGCCGGCGTCCCACATCCTGAAATTGACAGACCTCATGATCATTGACGATGGCGATGAGTATGCGTTCTCTGACAAGGAGGATGACGACTCGGACGAGTATGACGATGGGGACGCATCGGAGGTGGGCGGAGATTCCAGAAAAGAGGCGGATGAAGTCAACAAGGAAGCAGCCGAGAGTTTAGACAAAATGTTGCCAAAGGTATTAAGACAGTCGCAGTGTCTTGAAGTGGATCGTAAGACATCATAAGAATTTTTTCATGGATCATAAGACATCACAAGAATCTTATGATGGATCGTAAGACATCACAAATCCATCACAAGATACCCTGTCCAAAGTCAACATATGGGCTTTCCTTTGTTATTGTTCATCCACTGTGACTTGTGACTGGACTTGCGATTGTCTTGTGACTGGACTTGTGATGTACTTGTGATCCGTCAACAATCTGTCCTTCACTGGCTCTTTGTGATTAGACCACATAGCAGTGTTGTAGTTGAGCACATTTGCATGAGTACGAGTACTTTGCCATGAGAACGAGTATGAGTACGAGTACTTTGTCATGAGTATGAGTACAAGACAAGTTTTTTCCATGAGTACGAGTACAAGTACTTTGTCATGAGAACGAGTATGAATACTTTGCCATGAGTACAATTATGAGTACAAGTACTTTGCCATGAGTACGAGTACGTTGTTATGAGTAGGAGTACTTTGTATCGAGTATGAGCACTTTTACATGAGTACGAGTACAGTAAACTCCGGCTAAACCGACATCGTATAAACCGTCATATCGCGTAAAATCGGCCGTCTGACGAAAGTCCAGATTGTCTCTAATGCATTTCCGCTGACATATTCATTTCTAAGTCGGCCTTTGTAAGCCGCCATTTCGCCTATGTGGGCATGTAACTTTCAGTCCCATTTCCTCAAAACCACAAAAATTCCTCTGTATTAAGACGGCATCGTGCTCTGCGGTTTGCAAGAAGTGTTGAGTGAAAAGTCCCACACACTGCTAACTGACATCTGTTTATCAATGGCACGGCCCGTGATTGATGCATCGGCCAGCACGTGTACACTAATCGCACGTGTACACTGTTTCATGCACAGTCTGTACATTGTGTGCATCGTTCGCTTACACGTGCGCGATCAAAAAGGGGTTTTCCCAATAGCACATCAATACCAGTACCCCCTCTCGACTGCACGCATGCGCTCTGTTCATTTTGGGGGTCCCCTTATTGTACCAGTACCATGCACACATTTTATTTGTGACTGTACACGTACGTACATGTACGTGCACAATGTACACTACATGTATATGGACATACAGTATGCAAGCGATCTGTATATTGTACCACTGTTAACGCTAGCCGGCCGCGCCGTCCTTGCTTCATACGTATGTACATGTACATGCATTACTTTCTGTGATCCATACCACAGCCTGTTTGTGATGATAAACATTGAGGATATATTTGCTGGAATCAACCATGGATGTAGAAATAAACCAGGGTAAATCAAAGCCTTTGAATTTTAGCCATGAATTTTGTTTGCATGATCCAGATACAGATGCGCATAGGCCATTAATTCAATCTATTTTTTCCACTCTGTGATTCAATTTGTGTATTTGTGTAAGTCGGCGAAATGACGACTTGCAGCAAAAGCTGACATTCGCGTAAGTCGTCACAAATTCTCTGGTCCCGAGAGTGCCGTCTTAGCCGGAGTTTACTGTACTTTGTAATGAATAGGAGTATGAGTACTTTGTAAGGCCAAAAAAAAAAAAAGTCGGTCTCTGGTCAGCGCGCACGTCGATTTTAAGCATGCGCGTCGATCTTTTTTTTTTCCAAAATGTTCCGCGGTAGATCCAACAGCGCCCTCTATTTCCGCACCTCCTCAATTTTTTTTTACCAAAGAGCACCAAGGAATGGGAAATTGCACCAAGGCAAATGATCAAAAGCACCAAGGCAAATTATGGAGGACACCAATGTACATGAGGACACCAAAAAAGCAAAATAGTACCCCACCTTGTCTGTACAATCCAAGCTTGAAGAAAAAAAAAAAAAAAAAAAAAAAAAAAAAAAGCTGCGTGGCCGCGTCAATTCCGGAACTTTGGTCTGACCAGAGACCGAATATTTTTTTTTTTTGGCCTAATGAGTATGAGTATGAGTACTTTGGTATGAGAATGAGTACAAGTACTTTGCCATGAGTATAAGTACAGTTCTGAGGTAGCTTTTGTTTCCGTTAGTACGAGTACGACTACAAGTGCTTTGTTGTGAGTATGAAATATGAGTACGAGTACGAGTACAAGTCAAATTTTCCATGAGTACAATTAAGTATGAGTACCAAAAAATGATCCTGGGTACAAGTATGAGTATGAGTACTACAACACTGCCACATAGCGTCATCTACTGTTCATGTGCAGAGCCAGTGGTTTGTGGAAATATTCCTTTGGCCCCACACTTACAAATTTTTTCGTGATGAAAAATGCAAAAGTAAAACTCAGAGGAATGCAATTGTTGATTTGCTCTGCAGGAGATGATGGTTACCAGGCAACCAAAGAAGGAGGGGGCGGAGCTCACTAAGGAGCAGTGGGCAGTCAACGTGGACATCTCCCACCCGGTGAGCGACTTCCATAGACTGGTACCGGCCCCTGCCAAAGAGGTGAGTGAATGTCTCAAAGCTTTTGCTAGCTAATACTCGGGTGGGACTCGAACCCATGACCTCCTGCTTACTAGTGCAGACATCTTGCCACTCAACCACTGAGCTTGCCATGGTCGGCTGGCTGGTTCGAGTCTGATATAGCAGTGGGTTCCACAACCAAACTATAGAACCATTTGAGGGTTTTTGTAACTCTTTAACTGAACAGTAAGGAAAGCACAGGCTTGGAAGGCTTGTAAACCCCTCCGATGCAGAAAGCCCATTTACTAACACGCTTACAGTAAGGGGTCCCTCCGTGGACCCAGATATTTAGCGCCTTGTTTTGAGGCTACACAACACTGTATCTATATGTACACAATCTCGACATCTCTGTAGACTATAAATAAGGCGGTCATTGACAGGAAACAGATGTTGTATACATAGTCTGTGGTCAAGTCGTGCACTGGCTACCCCCAAGTGATCTTGTTTTGTGCACGTGTATATGGGCAGCCCAGGTTGTCAGGCTCAGATATGCCTGACCCGGGGTCACACACTAAAGGTGACTGCATATATCCGTAGTGGGTGTCTCTGGCTAGGATTAGATGGAAGATCCCCAGAATTGGTTTGACATTTTTTTTTATTAAGGTAATTAACCAAATTGGGTCCCCAAAAGGGCGAGTTACTGCGTCGGAGGGTTTTAACCTCAAGAAGATCCGGAGGTCCATGATGCCAGATAAACTTAAACGAGCTCTGTTCCGTGCATCCGTGGAGTCCATCCTACTCCATGGCTCTGAGGTATGGACACTAAGTACAAAGTAAGAGGCTAGACTCGGTGGCTGCTACACTCGCATGCTGAGGATGGCTCTAGACGTGAGTTGGAGAGACAAAGTCAGGAATGAGGTGCTCTATGGCCACCTGCCAAGGATCTCCACAACTCTCAGAACTAGGCATCTGCGATTGGCTGGTCACTGCATTCGGCATCCAGAGATAGCTGCAAGCGAACTCATCTTATGGGAACCCACTCATGGAGTAGCCTCTCGAGGTGGGCAGACGCTAACCTACGTGGACCAGCTGCGTCGTGATACTGGGCTAGCCTCTGCAGCCGAGATCAGGACGGCCATGGGAGACCGTGACGTATGGCGTGCCTTTGTTGCAGTCCCACGAGAGTCGACTTGATGATGATGATGATGATGATGAAAATGAACATTTTAATAATAATAATAATAATAATGGAGTCTTATATAGCGCACGTATCTACCAACAATTAGGTACTCAAGGCACTGAAAATTATGTCAATTATCAAAGAAAGGTAAATAAAGTGTATGAGAAATATGAGACCCATTATGTAGCACCTTATAATGGTTTACAAGGTGCTGCGGCGCACATTGCAGCCACTGCCAGAAACACCAGGGCAAACCCCTTCTCTTAGCGATAAGTGTTACTGGGTTCTTTAACGTGCATTTCACAACACATGGGACCTACGGCTTTACGTCCGAACCGAAGGATGAAGCAATAATGGTCAAGTGCCTTGCTCAAGAGCACAAGCACCATGTTCCCACAGTCAGGATTCGAACCCATGCACCACGGCACACGAGTTGAGCACCGTAACCATTGGACCACAGCGCCCCATCTATTATCTATGTTCAATTATACTTCAGTTGTTGGAGCTACGGTGCATATGCATTTTTTGTGGGACCCAGAGAATTGAGACGAAATAACAAAAAGAGATGACATCATTTCAACCATGTTTTTTTTTTTAAATTTTTGTGCAGTGGCCGTTTCAGCTGGATGTGTTTCAGAAGCAGGCGGTCATCCATTTGGAGAACCACGACTGCGTGTTTGTCGCCGCGCATACTTCAGCTGGTAAAACGGTGGTCGCCGAGTACGCCATCGCGCTGTCGCTCAAGCATCTGACAAAGTAAGACAGGAATTATCCTTGTACTGAATTGAGGGAGTCACCTGAACACAAATTGATCAGGTGACTCATCAATTCACATGATCAGTCACATGATAGTTGACCAGTGATTAATCATGCCATCACGTCAACTGATCAAAAATTTTGGTCATCCAAAATTTTTTTTATTTTTTTTCCTGTTTGGGCCGCACAGGGAGTAACAGGCAGGGTGGTTTGGGGCGGTCCAGGGAGTAACAGGCAGGGTGGTTTGGGGCGGTACAGGGAGTAACAGGCAGGGTGGTTTAGGGCAGTACAGGGAGTAACAGGCAGGGCGGTTTGGGGCGATACAGGGAGTAACAGGCAGGGAGGTTTGTGGTGGTTTGTGGTGGTACAAGGAGTAACAGGCAGGATGGTTTGGGGCAGTACAAGGATTAACAGGCAGGGTGGTTTGGGACAGTACAGGGAGTAACAGGCAGGGCGGTTTGGGGCAGTACAAAGAGTTACAGAAAGGGTGGTTTGGGGCAGTACAGGGAGTAACAGGTAGGGTGTTTTGGGCAGTACAGGGAGTAACAGGCAGGGTGGTTTGGGGCAGTACACGGAGTATCAGGCAGGGCTATTTTGGGCTGTAAAGGGACTAATAGGTTTCAAATCTGTAACTGACCAATCAACAACTCCGCAGAACGGTCTACACATCACCCATCAAGGCCCTGTCCAATCAGAAGTTTCGGGATTTCAAGGAAACCTTCGGCGGGGACGTGGGTCTGCTGACCGGAGACGTCCAGATCAAAACGGACTCGTCTTGTCTCATCATGACGACGGAGATTTTGAGGTAAGCAGAAAATACTGCTTAGCTGGTTTATTAGCTAAGCAGAAATCGACTGGGAACCAGTCACAGCTGATACAAAATGCATGACGTTTTGGCTGGTAACCCGTTTTTGCTCAGCAAATACTTTCTGTGCTTAGCAGATTTCTGTGCTTACCCGTTCCATAACATTGCCCATTTTAATCCTGTGCTATTTTATCTGTTACCTAGCAACATTTCCAAATATCATTTAAGGTAGAGTACATAATTTGTCATTTATACATTTGTTTCGTTTGAAGCAACAAAAGTGCTAGGAATCTTAAGATGGGTGCTTAACAACTATTAAACCTGATGAATGCTGAATACTCTGAGAAAACAATATTCTAGCATCTTGATTTCAATTCAAAGTTGCAAAGTCATATTTTGAATTGCGCCCGAAATCGGCATCTGGAACACGTTCTCATTCAGCCGATTGCAGCTATGCTATGTCACGCACTGAACCGACGAATAAGTAGCAAACCTGCGCGCTCGTGCGTCGTGTCAACGCTTGCGCCCACCCAGTCACGGATTCGCCCAATTACAAACCAACTACGAACGAAAATTTCCAAAAAATGCGTCGCTTGACTCATCTTTGGAAATGACTTTCTTTTATTGTATTCTTCATTTCGCAATATTTTTAGTATGTTGTGCATTGTAATGCTTTCTTTTCTTTCAAAATACCCATTTATTGCCATTGGTAGAATGGGCCCAGTCAGGACACAAAATGCAAAAAATAGGACGTCACACACGTTAAAGATCCTATACACGGTGCCCGGATGTGTTGAACTGTCGTAAAATCTTGCAGGTTTTTGAGGTCAACTTACACTCTAAAACATTCATCACTGGTCGCTGTAGTTTGTAAAAAGATAAAAACGGTAAAGCTGTGTGTTTTTCTTTTTTTCGTGCGTTTCAGGTCGATGTTGTACAACGGATCAGATATCATACGTGACTTGGAATGGGTGATCTTTGATGAAGTTCATTACATCAATGATTCAGAGGTAAGTTACCCGAAATAAAATCATCGGCCAGATGCACTAGCGATGTTGCGCGTAACGTACTGGTTCTGGGTTCGAATCCTAAAACATACATTCGGCATTGTAGCTCGGAAGCCTGAGACATTGCAATCGACTTCACGAAAAAGTGTGTAACTTACGCCAGGCGTAGAAGTTAAGCAAGAAATTTATTAAGCAAGAAGTTTATGTTCGAAAACTAAAAATAGTGCATTTGGCATTGTAGCTCGGAAGCATAAAACATTGCAGCCGACTTCATGAAGCAGTGTGTAACTTACGCCAGGCGTAGAACTTAAGCAAGAAATTTATTGCGCAGCTGCTCAATAAATTTGGCCGCAACTTTGCATAGCTGCAGAATGTTTCAAACTAATTCAGCTTTAACGACACCTGTTTGTGTATGATTTCCGTTCGATCACAAAGCAGTCTTTGAATCATCTCCGCCCGCCATTTTGGAAATAAATTTGCCCGACTTTCTTCCGAATCATGCAGCAACTCTAGGCGTTTTGTCACAGGCAAAACGACAATTCATTTATTTAAAGTTATAGTCCATCATTTGCAGCCATCCGAAAAGTAACTTGCGTAATTACTGTTGAAAAACAAACTTGGTTGAAAGATAGTAAGGGAACTAAACTTCCTGTGAAATTATTCTTTCAGGGAAGCTGTCATTTTGAAGTAATCAACGAAAGAAGGCATTTCCAACGGTGATTCTTAAGAAGCACCGTAGGAAAATTTAAATTAGTAGTTCGTTATTCAGCGCAGCGCGCACAAGTATTGGAACGACGCACACGCGCGCGCGGTTGCTATAATTCGTCGGATCAGTGCGCGACGCCGCGTATAGCTGCAATTCAAAACAATTCAAAACATGATTCAGTAACTTTTGATTTGAAATTGAGATCTTAGAATGCTGCTTTTCGTGGAATGTACAGCTGAAGCTTAGCTGAAACTTCATCAGGTTAGTTGTTCAGTATCTTTCATTAGATTTTGAACACTTTTGTTGCTTCAAACGAACAAAATGCACTAATTACAAATGATGGACTATAGCTTTAAAACACAAAGCTGTGAGTGTCTTCTCTTGTTACGACCTTCGTAAGTTGAGCAATGACAGGCTCCATGACAACGATCACGATTTGCCAGTTGCTACACCATAACGTAAGCCATGTACCTGAAATGTTGCACGACTGAAATGTTGCGCAACTCATGGTTCAAGCGGAGTTAAGTCATTGCATCTGTATCAAAGCTTCGTCAAATGGGCTGCTAGATCTGAAGTCGTATAGACAGTCAGGTGGTCAGAGGATAATTGCCTTGCCCTTTGAGTAAAGCAAAATTAAAAAAAAACCAATTAAATATCTAAGTTTTGCTGGTTTGTTTTGGTCTCATTGTGGGATGCTGTGGTCCAATGGTTACGGTGTTTGACTCTTGTGCCGTGGTACATGGGTTCAAATCCTGACCGTGGGAACATGGTGCTTGTGCTCTTGAGCAAGGCACTTTACCATTATTGCTTCGTCCTTCGGATGGGACGTAAAGCTGTAGGTCCCGTGTGTTGTGTAATGCACGTTAAAGAACCCAGCAACATTTATCACTAAGAGAAGGGGTTTGCCCCGGTGTTTCTGGCAGTGGCTGCAATATGCGCCACAGCAAACCATTATTAGGTGCTACATAATGGGTCTCATATTTCTCATAAACTTTATTTACCTTTCTTTAATAGTAGATGCGTGCGCTATATAAGACTCCGGTATATATTTTGGTGAATTTTTCCGTTGACAGAGAGGTGTTGTATGGGAAGAAGTTCTGATCATGCTGCCTGCCCACGTTAAGATAATCCTGCTCAGCGCCACAGTGCCCAACACGCTGGAATTTGCCGATTGGGTAGGGTGAGTATCAAACACGTCCTGTCATACTTAAACAACCCTCCCAACGAGAGATCTACAAGATTGTGCAGATTCAGAATAACATTAGTTGTGCGTACTATGCGCCATACTCGCTCAAACCAGCATGCGCACGCAGTGTGTACCTTCTGCTAGGCCTCTCATAAGTGGGTACAAAAAAAGTTCGCGTTATCAAAATGTTATTTGTCTGTAAAAACATTTTGGGGTGCAGATATTTGAAACGGTCTCCACAAATTGGTCGAAATCTTCGTTCATGGGGTGGTAGTCAAAAGTTGTAATCCTGTACTTGCCATGTCCCTAGTGGTGGGATTTAAATCCAGAAATTTTTTAACATTCGGTTTGAATTCCACTATTCGGTTTCTATTTCGGAAACAGGATATTCAAAAACCAACCTTAAAAAAAAGTTAAGCCTTCCATGTTTTGGTGACGCAGGCATTGGATGCCCTCCCAGTGACTAGGTATAGTTTGCAAGATTCAATGACCAATTTATAGCAAAATTGGGGGATGTTCCAGTTATTTTCTGTAGCCTTTGTCACCAAAAAAATGGAAGGCATCACTTTTTGTTGGCGTGACTGTGAACTGAATGTGAACTTCCGGTGAAATCGAATAACCATTATTCGGTTTGAAAAAAAATTGGATAACCAGATTTTGAAGTCTCCGATTTCTTCCACCACTACATTTCGCCAAGGATCATATCGTAGTCTCGGTGGTACAGTTTTCCGGAAGTTGCAGGAAAACTTCTTGCTCTCGTCAACTTCTTTGTTCTATCTTCTTCTTTTTCTTGTTTTATAAACAATTTTTTTTTAACTTTTCCTTTCTACAGACGCATTAAGAGGAAGAAGATTTACGTCATCAGTACCTTGAAGCGACCAGTCCCATTGGAACATTTTCTGTACACTGGAAACAGCACCAAGACCAACAACGAACTGTTTCTTATCGTAGATTCCACAAAGAAATTCTTAACCTCGGGGTGAGTACATTTTTTTGAATTTGGTGCTTAGCAGATTTCTGTGCTTAGCAGATTTCCGTGTTTAGCAGATTTCCGTGCTAGGCAGATTTTCGTGCTGAGCAGATTTCTGTGCTGAGCACATTTCCGTGCTGAGCAGATTTCTGTGCTGAGCAGATTTCTGTGCAAGCAAATTTACGTGCTGAGCAGATTTCTGTGCTGAGCAGTTTCTGTGCTGAGCAGATTTCCGAGCTGAGCAGATTTATGTGCTGAGCAGATTTCTGTGCTGAGCAGATTTCTGAGTTTAGCAGATTTCTGTGCTGAGCAGATTTCTGTGCTGAGCAGATTTCTGTGCTGAGCAGATTTCCGAGTTTACCAGATTTCTGTGCTTAGCAGATTTTGTGCTTAGCAGATTTCATTGCTTAGCTGGTTTCTATGCTTAGCAAATTTTAACTATTTGTCGAAAAAACATTTTCAGGTACCATAAAGCAGTTGATGCTAAGAAGGAACGAGAGAGCAAAGCGTCTTCGTCTCATGGAGCCAAGGGACCGAGACAGTGGCCTCACAAAGGGGTGAGTGTCAAAATCAAATCAAATCGAATCAAATCAGATCAAATCAAATCAAATCAAATGACCAGGTAGGCATTCTGTGAAGTTAACATCCTCTACATATGTTCATGTATTTGAATAGCGTGGATTGTGTGTTCGCAACAAAGTTTGCCGAAGTTGAAATGTGGTCCACTTTTTTTTGACTTACAGCCCAAATTTGACAACGATATTAAGGTTGTCGCGCCATTTAAGAATTTATGCCTATTTCAAGCCTTTATGCAAATTTTCAATTTTTGCTCATAGGACAAAGGCGTGTATTTGTCCATCATTGAAATGCTACGCAAGAGGGAGCAGCTTCCCGTGGTGGCGTTCACGTTCTCCAAGAAGCGTTGTGACGAGAACGCAACGATGCTGACGACGCTTGACCTGACGACGACCAACGAGAAGAGCGAAATCCACGTCTTCATGCAGAAGTGCGTGGAGCGGTTGAAGGGAACCGACCGCATGCTTCCACAGGTAGGGGCGGAGCTAGGAATTAGGTAGGCGGGAGCTGTGTCTTTGTGTGCAGAAGTGCATGGAGCAGTTGAAGGGAAGTGACCGCGTGCTGCCACAGGTTGGGGGCGGAGCTAGGAATTGAGTAGGCGGGATCCATGTCTTCATGCAAAAGTATGTGTAGTTAGGGGGCGGAGCTAGGAATTAGGTAGGCGGGATCCGTGTCTTTGCATGCAGCAGTACATGTAGTAGTTGAAGGGAAGCGACCACATGCTGCCACAGGTAGGGGCGGAGCTAGGAATTAAGTAGGCGGGATCTTTGCCTTCGTGCAAAAGTATGTGTAGCGTTTGAAGGGCAGCGACCGCATGCAGCCACAGGTAGGGGGTGGAGGTAGGAATTAAGTAGGCGGGATCCCTGTCTATGTGCAGAAGTGCGTGTAGCGGTTGAAGGGAAGTGGTCACTTGCTACCAAAGTTAGGGGGCGGAGCTAGGAATTAGGTAGGCAGGATCTGTTTCTGTGTGCAGAAGCGAGTAGAACAAGCAAAAGGGAGTAAACACACAAAGCTATCGGTGGGCTTGCAAGCTTACCTAGGTGGGACTTGAACCCATTACCTCCTGCTTACTAGCACAATGTCTTGACTACCAATCTTGACAGGGTCGGTTGGCTGATTTGAATCTGATCTAGTATTTTCATTGTTTTTTTCTTCGCAGGTTCTTCACATGCGTGACTTGTTGAAGCGGGGTATCGCCGTCCATCACAGCGGCATCTTACCCATCTTGAAGGAAATGATTGAAATGCTGTTCCAACGAGGCCTTGTCAAAGTAAGGGGAAGGGGGCGGGAGGGGGGGGGGATGGGGGACAGCGGGACGGGGAAGATTGCACAACCTACATGTATGTACCCATGAAAACAATCAGTTTCACTTCGCGTTACATTTACATGCATTCATGTGTAAAAGTTGTACAATGTGTGCCATTTTAGGGATACCAACCATTCAGTTTATTAAATCCTCATTCTACTTGCAGTTACTGTTCGCAACAGAGACCTTCGCCATGGGTGTCAACATGCCTGCCAGGACGGTCATCTTCGACTCCATCCGTAAGTTTGACGGCACCGGTCAGCGTACCTTACTGGCCGGAGAGTACGTACAGATGGCTGGCCGGGCAGGCCGGCGTGGCCTGGACACCACAGGAATGGTCATCATACTCTGTAAAGGTGACGTACCTGAGTCTGCCGAGCTGCACAAGATGATGTTGGTAAGATTTCAGAGGGTTTGTTGGCTGTTTCAGGAAAATTTTCCGAAATGGCCTTTGTTTTCATAATATTTTTTTTTCAGACTCTTTTCCAATGCATTGTACATGTTGTCTTTCTTACTGAAGAGTTACCTCGTCCCCAGTGCTTACTTTATTTCCAACCTCCTTTCCAATAGTAAGCCCTGGATCGGAAACTTTCTTCCTGAGTAATGGATTTATATTGTGTAGTTGGTGTTGCTATGTCTAACGTGCATTACGTGTTTTCACTATCATTGTAATTTTAACGTCCATGCCTTCTCAAAAATACTCCTTTCCTTTCCAGTTTGCTCATATTCAGAGATGCCACTTTTAACCGGAATTCTGGTTTTTAAAAAAAATCTCACAAAATTCCGTTTTTTTTCTGGCCGTCAAATTAACCAGAAAAAGAGAAGAAAAACTGTGGAAATGCGTTGATTTCTACCTCGATTTAGTACATTTAGGCGCACGCATGGCACAACGTTGTTCGTTGAAGTAGTCTTAAAAACAGTCTTTGTGTATGTTGTTGCCGAGCCTGCATGCGATACAAGCGGCCAACGTACTTGCACGCAGTATACAACGGCGCCTCGCGCGTGCTTCACCGCGTGTGGGCGTGTTGTGTGCTAAGCACACGTAGCATTCAGCCTGGAAATCAAGTCTATCATTTCAGCTATCGGTGGTTTCCGATTGCAGTGATATATGTGAATACAAAAAATGCGGGTACCAACCATGTTTTTTCGTTGAGTAGTGCATCGCGTTTTTTTCAAGCAGACCCTGTGGCATCTCTGCATATTAATTTAAAACTTGATACTCCATATTGGCAGGCCAGATTGTAACATTTTAACTTCCAAAAGAAATTTGTGTTTTCACAACTCATGGCGCGACAAATTGATGCTGTTTTTACCCCAGACACCGCATACAAAAACAAACGCTAAAGTAACGCACATGCAGGCACCAGACGATTCCCTATTTGCATACTTGTTCAAATATCTTGCACATGCAAATGATCCAATACCAGGGTGAAAGAGCAGGTAGTGGTGGGCGCGTACTGCTCGACACCCTGGGGATGAGGTTGGGGTAAACCCTCCAAGCTGGACCCCAGTTCGTAACTCCTAGCGACAGGTTCGAATCCAACCTGAGTAATTCCTGTGAGGAATGTAGGGGTTCCAATCCCACCCAACTAACTCCATGAACTTTCCATGCTCTCCACCAGGGTAAACCCACCCAGCTGGAGTCCCAGTTCCGGCTGACATACACCATGATCCTCAACCTGCTCTGCGTGGAGGAGCTGCGAGTCGAAGACATGATGAAGCGCAGCTTCTCGGAGTCCAGCACCCGGAAAGACGCCAAGGAGTATGAGGCCAAGCTCCGAGTCATCCAGGAGGAGATGAGCAACGTCCAGACGCTGAACTGCTATCTGTGCCACGAGGATCTGGACCAGTACTACCAGACCTGCAAGCAGCTGCAAGGTCTCAGGCTAGAACTCAGGGTAAGTGTAGGTGTTCTCCTTGTACCTATCTGCATGACTAACTACCTGACTGCCACTTGTGAGGAGGCAGAGTTGCTGACTCGAGTCATGTGACTTGGACTCGAGTCGGACTCGAGTCGCTATTTTTGTGACTTGTGACTTGACTTGTAAATACCAGCTTTGACTTGTGACTTGACTTGGACTTGCAAACAATGACTTGTGACTTGACTTGGGATTGCAAAAAATGACTTGTTACCAACCCAAGTCAGACGCTACTCGAGCGACCCAATACACTTTAATTAAGCTACTATACTTTTAATTAGCTTTTTCATTCCAGAAAATAGACCTCAGTGACTGAATCCAGTAAAATGAATAGTTCCCACTAGTTTCAAAAGTTTTCAATACGACTGTCACAACAAACTACACAGTTTTCAATGACCAAGTCTCTTGCGTAATGTAATGGTTGAACAAACTTTGAAAGGAACCTTTCATGAAAAGAAAGCAGGCCTTTGTCAATTGCATGTAAAATACCGGATAGCCTAACCCATTGGTAGGCATTTAGTATACATGAAAATTGAACAATAAAGTGTTAGTATACTACATGTAATCGAGTGAGTGAAGTCTTTTTTTCATGTCATCTCAACATTTATTTCTACAATGTAAAGTAAATTTATTAAAGTATACAAAGGGCTAATATCCGACAGATATGTGATAAACTACAAGAATAGTAATAGCAACACATTGAAAAAGGGGAATTAAGGAAGCATGTTCAAAATAACTTGTAAGTTGACGCCAGGTTCTTTTAGCTTATTACAGCTGGACAAAATAATGTGCAACTTGACGTGTTCTTGGACAAAGATATACTTGTGACTTGACTTGTGTTTAGACCAAATGACTTGTGACTTGACTTGTGACTGGACCTAATGACTTGTGACTTGACTTGTGACTGGACCTAATGACTTGTGACTTGACTTGGACTTGCAAACAATGACTTGTGACTTGACTTGGACTTGCAAAAAATGACTTGCTGCCACCTCTGTGAGGAGGGCAGTGCTATCAAATAGGATTACCCCGTGTTGCCAATGAATGGGCTGAATGTTGACCATTGTGTAGACCACACGCTTGAAAAGACTTCCAGTGAATAGCCATTCTGAATCAATTGAGCATAAATTTTCTGTGCTTGGGACCAGCTTTTCAACACTTGTCATTCTTTGTGTCTGGTAACAAAACCAAGGATTCGTAATAAGCCCACATATGGCAGCTTGAAGCAAACTAAAGGCATAATTGTAAAAAAGAATGCACAGACGGAAACTCTTCAGGAAGCCTTGGGGATTGAGTGTGTGGATTGATATAGGTTTACCACTTTTTGATTAGTGTTTTTTGGTTTTGTAATTTTAGAGAGTATTGATGAGAGAGTCTTTGGAAATAATGTGAAAAATACTAAATATGACGGTATGCATCAAAACAAAGGCTAGAAAAATGCCAACTTACTAACTTTTTTCTTTTGGTGGACAAGTGTAATGATCAGACGCACTTTCCAAAGTGCCTTTCAGACCGGCGGCGATTGTCTAATTCAATTTCATAATTAAAAATCCATCTTTTTTCCCACTAGAAAATGATAGCATCTCATCCCTTGGGAGTGAAGGCCCTTTCGCCAGGACGCGTTGTTATTGTCTCCACCAAGGAGCATCGCAACGCCCTGGGTGTCGTCCTCAGTTCCTCCACAGCAAGCAAAGAGAGAACATTCAAAACCTTAGTCCTGACCAATCACGCCGACCCAGGGGGTGCGGGCATGCAAAACGGAACAGCTGACCCAGGCGGGGGTCACCGTGTACACGTGCAGCCCCTGCGTAAAGAGCCGCTATTCCGGCCGGAGGGGCCCTGCGGCCACACGGTCTTGGATCTCGTCGGGCAGGAGATCGGAACCGTCACCACGGTCGCCATCAAGATCGCCAGCGACCGGATTGCGGAGGATTTCAAGAAGAGACAGATACCGAGATTCAGGTGCAAAGACGACAGCAAATTTTGCGCGATCCTTCGCGAACCCCTGGCTTTGCGAATGCACAAACAACGCTGTTTGGGTGTTAAGAAGGAATATTCAAGTGGCTTGAAGCAATCGGCGCTCGTATTTCACATGAAAATGCTGATTCCCTCAAAAACTACACACAATCTTGTTCCGTATTAGGGGGACTACACACCTGATTTAGCGATAGTTATTATGGGGACTGAAAGGAACAGCAGAAGTCCCCGGAAGTCAGTCCTAATTTTCCTAACAATATAGAACTTCACCACAACGCGGTGCTGGCTAGGGCGTTTTAATTGGCCTCTGCCTAAATCAGTAGATGAGCTCATTGGACGTGTACAAATGCCTGGCAAATTGACCAAGTCAGGGTTTCTGGACTAACAATGAAAATAACAAGTATGTGTAGATTTTTAACATGTTGACCTCTGGAGCTGACGCGTGAGGGTGTGCATTATAAAGAGCTCGCAGCTGTTTTTCGTGTGTGTAAAGGGCGCCAGCTTGGTAAATTGCTGCGCAGTCCATTTACCCAGGCGCGCTAAAACACCGTCCTGCAAAGGTCGTCTTGAAACAAGACTTCAAATTACCCTATTTCCAAACTATCTGTTCTTTGTTCTATAACCTCGACCCTCACTGCCCCACCCCCTCCTGCACCCCACCCCTTTCCCTCCCTCAGGGACAACCCGCCCAGCCAGTCCACCAGCCTAGCCACTCAGGAGCTGTTACGGATCACGGAGGCCAACCCTGAGGGTCTGACGTCCCTGGATCCCGTCAAGGACCTGCATCTACGAGAGCTGGACCAAGTGGAGAAGTTCCAAGAGAGGGACACGCTGGAGTCTCTCCTGGACCAGTTTGGTTGTCTTAACTGCCCTAACTTCCTGGAACATGTTAGTGACAGCGGAGTCTAAATGATTATTCTTAAACATTCCAACCCCGCGTTCGAATACTTCCCCCACGCTTATTTGTGCAAGCGTGACTGCGTTCGATTGTACTCCCACATGACTTCTCATGCTAACTAAAAGCCTGGCGCAAGTAACTGACCTGCTGAGCCGGTTACTCGGGTAAGTATACCACAATACAATGCAAAAACGTGGCAGCTAAGACTATCGCTGCAGCAGCGCATTGGGCATTCAAGCATGTCCAAGCTTCACTTCACACGAGTACTAGATGATGGGAGAAAAGTTAAGTTAATTTTAAACAGGGACGGCATTTCTTGTTCACTTATAGTGGCCACCATGGCTTGCTTTTCACGGCAGCGGCATCTAAGTCTAAATGACAATGACATCTGTGTCAAAATGACAGCCAAGTCTAAATGACAGTGATGGCTAATTTTAAACGGCAAAAAAGCCAAGTTCTAATGACAAGATGTCATATCTGTGACAACTTAAGTCTTTAGACAAGATGGCACATCTGTGACCATGACGTCCAAGTCCAAACGACAATGATATGCAAGTCCCCACTTGACATCTTTTGTTTGTAGTTTGGCGTGATGTGTCACCGCATGAAGCTGAAGGAAGACTTCAATCATCTACGCTTCCTGCTGTCCGACCAAAGCCTTCATCTACTCCCAGAATACCATCAAAGAATACAGGTAAAGGATTGTCACCAAAAAAATGGTTGGAATAAACATGTGAGTTGAAAGAGAAATATTGAATTTGTTGAAGAGCACGAACGCAACTTTAACCCTCTAGGAATTGATTGATTGATTTTTTTTTAAAATTCTTCAGGTGCTACGGCACTTGCGTCACATCGACGGTGCCAACACCATCCAGCTGAAGGGTCGCGTGGCCCGTGTGATCAGCAACCACGAGCTGATCATCACGGAGCTGGTGTTTCAGGGTCTCCTGACGGGCCTGCCCCCGGAGGAAATCGCGGCCCTGCTGTCCTGCATGGTGTTCCAGGAGAAACGCTGCAGCGAGCCCGAGCTTACGCCATCCTTAAAAGAGGTTTGTGGCTTGGTCTCAAACCCTCCTCAATCCTCCAAAATCAACCAAGCGCTCTTTGTAGGATTGAGGTTGTTAGTTTTGGAGGGTGCTTTGTGTTAAACTCCTAAGCTGTACCTTGAGTTGTTTACGCTTAGCCATGCAAAAATTTAGGCCAAGATTATACTGGACATCCTCCGTGCGGCTTCTGGATATCATCAGCACTGCCTTGATGTATTAACTTTGATTGTAAGAGGATTGAGGCAGTGGTCACCCCTTCACTGATCAAATTCAAGAAATATAATGGATGATTTTGGAGGATTGAGTCTGAATCAAATTGTTGCGTCGCCTAAACACTATTTGGGACTTTATTTTCTGGAGTGGACACTCAATGCTTTTAGTCAAAATTTTAAACAAAATTTCCTCTTCTCCAAATTCTGAGTAGGGGGCACAACGTATAGCACATGGTTCGAATTATGGTCCCGCTACAGTCATGGACATTGACTTGAGCAGATTTTGAACCTGCAACCTCTGAAACTACATACAGGTGCTCTACCAACTGAGCTATCCAGCGCTATATTTGCAGCCCCCCAATGCACTGCTATAGTTTTCCGGAGGTCCTAGGTTCACACATCCAGTCAAATTCTTGTTACATTGTGTTATGACTTAGTTATTCATTTTCTTGTTTTCTTTTTTGACCCAGGGAGTGGGCAAGATCAAGGCCGAGGCCAAACGCTTGGCAGAGATCCAACACGAGTGCGGCATCAATCTATCCGTACAAGACTACGTTGAGCAGTTTCGCTTTGGTCTGACGCAGGTCGTGTACGAATGGGCCCGAGGAATGGTAGGTGTTCATCAAATTCTTTATCTGCATTGTCCTTGGGTTGTGTGCAAGCAGGCCCGAGGAACAGTAGGTTTTCAATTTGAACACGTGAACCTTGTAGTGCATGGTTTTTGGAATGGATCAGAGTTGATCAGTTGAGGGATTAAACATCCACGCATCCGTGGGCCTACTGGTTCACGCGACGAATTGATTCCGATTGTGCACATACCTGTAGTGACTTCACGTGAGCGTCGATTGACAGTACTATAGACTGTCCCTCCCAGTGGTCTCCCTCAACTTTCCCTTCGTAAACGTTGAGGGCGTACTTGCACGGCGTCCATAAATACTGGTGGACATGTGCGCTTTATAAATACGCATTTACGATTTGTTGTCGCAGCCGTTCGCCGACATCACAAACCTGACGGACGTGTCAGAGGGAATCATCGTCCGCACCATCCAGCGATTGGACGAGGTCTGTCGCGACGTCCGCAGTGCGGCCCGCATCGTCGGCGACCCGAGTCTCTTCCAGAAGATGGACGAAGCCTCGCAACTCATCAAGCGAGACATTGTGTTTGCGGCCAGCCTCTACACCCAATAGCAATCGCAACCCTATAGCAATTGCATCCCTGTAGCGATCGCCACCCTATAGCAATCGCAACTCTATTGCAATCACAACCCTATAGCAATTGCAACCCTATTGCAATTGCAACCCCATATAGCAATTGCAACCCTATAGCAATGGCAATCCTATAGCAATGGCAACCCTATAGCAATGGCAACCCTTTAGCAATGGCAACCCTATAGCAATTGCAGCCCTATAGCAATTGCAACCCTACAATCTAAGATGTGGTTATTCTTGGTCTAAGACCAGACGTGGATTTTATTCCCATAACACAGCCCGACACGTCTTCAAGAGGAATCAAATTGGGTCTTGAGAACTTTGGCAATGCTACCCAGGAAATTCCGAGCATACTTTACGCCCTTACATTAGCTTGGCTACAGTGTGCATGAGGTATGCTCGGAATGTTCTGCACCACAGTGACTTCAGCGTGTAAGGGAACGACTGTATTAGGCCTTGTAGGCTTAAAAGCTACCGACTGACTTACTGACCGAGTCACTGAATATGATTAATAATAATAATATTAATAATACCCGAGTCATATATAGTGCACGTACAATTAGGTACTCAAGGCGCTGGAAATTATGTGTATTATTAGAGACAGGTAAATGAAGTTAATGAGAAGTATGAGACCCATTATGTAGCACCTTATAATGGTTTACAAGATGCTGCGGCGCATATTGCAGCCACTGCCAGAAACACCGGGGCAAACCCTCTCTCTTAGTGATTAGTGTTACTGGGCTCTAATAACGTGCATAACACAACGCACGGGACCTACAGCTTTACATCCCATCCGAAGGACGAAGCAATAATGGTAAAGTGCTTGCTCAAGAGCACAAGCACCATGTTCCTACGGTCAAGATTCAAACCCATGTTCACTGCACACGAGTCGAATACCATAGCAATTATCACATAACCATAGAATTTTGAGTCAAGCTTACAAGGCCAACCTAGTCTTGTTAATCTAGAATCATGTGGATTTTTTTTAATAGTCCTGTAATCTGAAGGCAAATTTAGTAGTTTTTTTTATTTGGTTGGAACATCTGAATCCTACAGAATGTTCCAGGGCGTGAAACTTTGTCCACTCAGGAGAAAAAGAAAAACCCAGATTATTTGTAGAAGACCCTGTGGCCAAAATTGAATTATTATTCAATGAAATTTGTGTACTGTGTATGAATTTCTTTAAGAACCATATACATGTCGATTCTTTGTTTTAAGTTCAAAATATAATGATTTTTTTAATGTTATTTCTATCAAATTCCAAAACCGGCAATGGCCCGGTTTGGGAATGTGTCACTTTATAATAGACGCGCATGCGCATCGATCGAAACAAAGCCGGCCTTCCGAGAACTTTCAGGAAGAGTGCATTATTATGACCACAGCATGGCATTTGGTTGTTTGTGGTCAAATAATTTTGGTCAATTTTCGGGGACAGACAGACCAACCGACCGACCGACCACCAAGTAACTTGTAGAAGTTCCTGCCAGAGCGTAAAAGAAAAAAATTTTATTTGTGGAAGACCCTGTTGCCAAAATTGAATCATTGTTCAACGAAATTTGTGTACTGTGTATGAATTTCATTTTTAGAACCATATACATGTACATGTATATACATGTAGATTCTTTGTTTTAAGTTTCAAAATATAATGAATTTGTTTATGTTATTTCTATCAAATTATAAGTGGGTCTTTGGGTGTCGGATTTCGGACTGCCCGTTTATTGTGGCTGTTCACACAGGGATTACCCAATGGTGGGTAGCAGGGCGGCGCAGTGCGTAAAGCGCTCGCCTCTCACTGCTGTGGCCCAGGTTCGATTCCCAACTCGATCAGATGTGAGTAGAGTTGTTTGTTGATTCTCTATTGTGCCACGAGGGTTCTTCTATGGGCCCTCCGGTTTTCCCCCTTCCACAACCTATCTAGCTGTACTCCAGTGGTCATATGGCGGCAACCCAAGGTGCCTTACATGACTTTGGCTCGACCACGTTGTAGCTGCGTCCTTCACTATTCAGCATCTGCTGCAAGTAAGGACTACTAGCTGCCCAAAATTGATTTATCTGATGAAATACTTAAACCATCCTTGATCCTTAACTTTTTTTCTGCTATGAAATCCGAAATGTAATTATAGAGTAGCCATTGATGCTAGTATGTGCCGACAATGTTCTTCTTGTACAAGGAGTATCTTACAGTTTAAGGATTAATTTAATTAGAATGAAATATTTATCGGTAAAGGGTGCATCTAATGTGCCAATTTAATATCAAGAAGTTTTAAGGGAATACAGAAGGAACTTACTTAAATAGTCATGAAATGACATTCGCTGTAAAATGTAATGAACATCAGGCAGATAAAATAAAAACCAAAAGAACAATATTTCAAATGTATTTTTCTTCTTTATTTACAACCTTTGTACATGGACGCTCACAAATTATTTTCTTATAAAAAATTTACAATATTTCACACTTTTCAAAATGGGAAATTCAAAATCTGTGATTATTTTATGAGTGAGGTGATATGAAACTGATCCAAACTCTGGCTTAAAGTTTTGTTACACTGATGCGCCGTTTACAGTTCGGGTTTGGGTTGGTAGCCGACAATTTCGTCCCATCCTTTCCGACATGTTCTGATGATCCATGCATGCTCATCATCATCTGGTGAGAGAATAAAGCATGGTAAATATTCTTTAAAAAACTGGTTTAAATTCATTGTCGTAATATTTACAATATGCAGGAGGACACTGACTGATCTATTAAATAATTGATTGATATTGACTTACTTAATATTAATTTTGATTTAACTGATCAATCGTTGAGGAATCAATTAATGGATGGAATGACTATTGATTGATCTTTTGATTGATCAATCAATGGATCAATTTGCTATTGATTGATCAAATGATCAATCGAACATTGGACTTTTGATCAATTGATTGATTGATCGGTTGATCAATTGACTTTTGATGACTTGATTGATAGATCTATTAATAGATCAATCAATTAAGAGATCAATCAGTAGATGAATTTACTACTGGTTAGATTGATACATTGATTGATCCACTGACTGACTATGCAATGGATCAATTGACTATAAATTTATTGATTGATCCATTGATCGATAAATGAGTGGACTGAATTACTATTGATCAATGATTGATCCACTGACTGATCAATTAACTATTAATGTACTGATTGATGGATTGATCAATAAATCAGTGGATTGAATTACTATTGATCAATTGATTGATCCACTGACTGATCAATTGACTATTAATGTATATATGCATTGATCAATAAATCAGTGGATTGAATTACTATTGATCAATTGATTGATCCACTGACTGATCAATTGACTATTAATGTATTGATTGATGCACTGATCAATAAATCAGTGGATTAAATAACTACTGATCAATTGATTGATCCAATGACTGATCAATTGACTATAAATTTAATGTATTGATGCATTGATCAATAAATCAGTGGATTGAATTACTATTGATCAATTGATTGATCTACTGACTGATCAATCAATGGATCAATTGACTATAAATGTATTGATTGATGCACTGATCAATAAATCAGTGGATTGAATAACTATTGATCAATTGATTGATCCCTTGACTATTAATTTTTTGATTGATCCACTGATCAATAAATCAGTTGCTGGAATAACTATAGATCAATTGATTGATGTATTGAATGAAGAATCAATGAATCTGTAAATTAATCAATTGAACAATCAATCAATCTAAACCAATAATCAATCAGTAATAGAAAATATAATGATAACAAAATCATAAAGAGATGACCCACCTGCATTCCTGAGAAACTTGTGGTTATAATCCACGATGACTCTGGTATCCGGGTTGTAGAAGCCATCTCCGGTGTCATAGCAACCCTCTGGGATGTCCCGAGGCGGGATGCGGTTGGTCAGCTGGGAGCGACCTAAAAATACACCAAAGCTCACAAATGTCAAATTGCAGAATTTCAGGTTTTTTTAAACCCTAACTACCTAGGCATTTTTGTTAGGATGCAAAACCTCAATCATGCCAAATCCTCCAACTGCATAGCTGCCAACTGTTACTAATTTTTCGTAATTATTACGAATTGTTTGTTAAATTACGAAAATACGATTTGCCAATAAAACATTACGAATTTCCCATTTTCTACCTAATGAAATAAAAAATACTTGTAAAGTATCGTTTTTGACCGAATACTTCTGGCGAAATGTCGCGATAATGGATGGACTGGTGACAAGTCTAATAAGAATGCAGTCAAACACCTGATAGACATCAATGCAGTGTGCGCAGTGGAGTACTTGAGGACCAGACTAAAACTATTTTTCAATGGTGTGTCATTTGAGTGTATCTCGTGGATGTGTGGTTGTGTGTTCTGTATGTGAGTACTTTTCAGTGACGATCATGAGCATATTTGGTCGCTTATTGCCGGGTTGAGACCCATCAGTGCGAGATTTTAATCATGGAATTTAATAGGAGTATGGTTGGAATATTGGTATTACAGTTTGAGTTTGTCACAACGTGAGAAAAGATAAATCAGCATGCGTTTGCAAGGTATGTTGGCGGGATATTTCTATTGCATACGGTCATGACGGTGGCCCTAAATCATTGTGTGTAAAAACATTGATAGTGATACGAACTCGAAACTCCACATCGATAGCATGCATCTCAAAAAAAATATGCGCACATTTTATTATTGTTATTATTTATTTGACTCCAACAAACAAATACAGACATTAAAAAAAAATTATTAAAAAAAAAAAAAAAAAAAAAAAAAATTTTTAAATTTTTTTTTTTTTTTAAATTATCTTTTGGCCTACATTACATTATTATTCACAAGAAGAAGGGTATGCACATGTATGTGAACATGTAAACCATGTACCTGTACTCGATGTTGGTAAAACGAGCAGTTGAAAATGACCGCGCGGGTTGATTACTAATTGGGATTTTGAAATGTTGGCAGCTATGCAACTGCCTCCATATAAAAACAGCATACAGTCTCAATCCTTCAAAATCCTCCGTTATTCCTTGAATGTGGTCCTTGGAGGAGTGACCACTGCCTCAATCCTGCGAAATCCTCCAGCAATCACCGTCAATATGTTGAGGCAGAGCCAGTGACATCCTGGGGCAGTGCGGAGGATTTCAAGTATAATCTAGGCCTAAATTTATGCACGGCTGAGCACTAAACGACACAAGGTCCGGCCTAAGACCTTGACACAGTGCATCCTCCAAAATCAGTCACACATTTTTGCCAAAATCACGCAAAATCCTCCATTTTGCAAGGAGGATTTGGGAAGGTTAGGGGTAATTACATGAGCAATTGACAAAGAAGTTGAGTGGAGCAGGGTTTGAACCTGTGACCTCTGGATTACCATTCCAGTGCTCTACCAACTGAGCTTACCAGTGCTGTTGGCGGTTTCCCTACTTTCCAATGTCTTTATATAAACCGCGATCACATATTTGCACCATCCACCTGTGTACATTGTATATTCTTTCACTGTATCCCTCAGATTTCCTGCACAGTGCTCTACCAACTGAGCTTACCAGTGCTGTTGGCAGTTTCCCTACTTTCCAATGTCTTTATATAAACCGCGATTACATATTTGCACCATCCACCTGCGTATATTCTTTCACTGTATCCCTCAGATTTCCTGCAAAACGTTTAGCACTTGCTACGTCTGTGTTTGTATGTAACAAGGCAGAATTTGAAACCTGTTCGATAAACATGAAGTTGCAAGCTGCTGACAGAGGAATTGTTCTACTACTGTCGGTCATAAAACGTGACCAACACCTTCCAAACCGACAGGAAAATTACTGTTTGCACCACCTTACTAAGGAAATCCGTAGGAAATTGCCGACTTTAATTCCCTTTTTCAAAATCAATCCTCCAGAGCCATCAATTAGAAAGAGAGAGTGATAGACCAATGGCTACCAGGTCAACCGATTGCGGCATGATCAACCAATGACCCAGCTCGATTAGCTGATGGGCAGATCCACCAATCTTGCCAAATATATGCCTTCCAATCTCTTTTTTGGGGGGGGGGGGGAAAGGGGGGAAAGGGAGGGTTTTTACCTGCTGGTTTGAGGCCGTCACAGGTTTCGGTGAAAAATCGCCTGTCGTAGCCGTCGCAATACAACCACTCTGGCTCATCAAACTCCAGACCGTCAGCGAAGGTGTACTTGCCCTGAATTATCAGAGAAAATTGACATTACAATATTGAGGACTACTCGAAATTATATGTTGGCGTTCGCTACTTTCGTTCACGAAATTTAGCGAAAGAAATGTAAGAGAGAGCTAGAAATGAAGCAGTCGCCAGTGGCTCTGAATCAGACTGGGACCGTGAGTGCATAAAAACGTGCAAAATTACTACTGACGTTTTTTTACTCACCATTTGGCTAATTAATACCCACACAACACATACATCAAAATGCATTAGTTGCAAGCATGTCACCTGCGAAATTTGAGACCTTAAATCCAATTTTAAGGCAAGTTTTTGGCAGTTCAAAAACCATCCACGTCATTCTCCATGCTCTGGAAATGTGTGTTTGATTCCCAATGTATTCTGGGTAGGTGTAGGTAGAGCCTTGCAGCTAACTTGTTTTTTAATCGATGGCCAAATGAACATAGCGCCCTCTGTTAAAAAATGAAACATTTTGCATTCACTCAGATCAAAAAGAGGGCGCTGTTTTATCTACAAGATGAAAATGTTATAACTGAGGAGTCTTTTTGCACAATGCATTGCAGTACACATCAACGTGACGTCTCACGTTTGGATTTCGATAACTCTCTGCAAAATTAGAATTATAAGCTGAATTTTTGGTGATGCAATGCTCACAACAGCAACTTTGCGAGGCAGAAGTTTCAGGGATTATTGAGGAACTGTAGTGAGTAAGAAGCTTGCGAATTTGATTCACACTGGTTTTATTATGCAGCACAAACTTTTGCACGATATGAATACCTTAAGTTTTGGGACTCTCATACACAGTTTGAGAGTCCCAAATTTTCGGACTAGCTCTGGATTCTAGGCTTTTCGAGATGTGTAGTTTCCATGTAACATTCAGAGACAACTTTCAGACCGATAATTCTCAAAATTTGGTCACTACTTACATCGACAGCGATTCCATTCTCCCATTTGGCCACGTACTTGCTGCCGTTGGGGAAGAACAGCGTCCCTTGCCCGTGGAACATTCCGTCCTTCATTTCGCCCTCGTACTTGGTGTCAGTCGGGAAGGCATACTTGCCTTTTCCTTCCATCCTGTCAAGATACAAAGTTCACCATCAACTACGCAAATTAATAAAAAGGTTTCTCGTTCTGTCTTTTTTTTAAGGGAGGAGGCGGCACTTTATTTTCTTTTTCCAAGATGGGTTCTTCCACTTTCTTGACTCTTTTCCTAGTATTATGTCCAGGGGCGGCTTTTCAAAGTGTATGCATTTTGTGTGTCTCGGGAACAGCTGTGATCAATCACCAATGCACAAATATATATTTTCTTCGACGTCCGCAAAAGGCAAACACTAAGTTTACGAATGAAATCACGACTAGCACCCAACAGCTTGACTTGTTGGGGTCGCAAGAGTGGACCCCGAAATTCGTTCACGCACACATAATACACAAATAACACAAAAAAGCCCAGTTTTTAAAGGATAGGGGCCTAGTTGTGTGAATGTTTATATCCTACTTTTAAATGTTCTCTCCGATTAACATCATTCCGTTCAAATTTTGAAGCCCAATTGGGCTGTTGCAGGACCCAGTGTCCTTTTAAGAACAGGGTCCTAAAATGCCTCAAACCAGATAAGGATTTAGAGTCCTTCCTCTATGTGATAAGGCTACCATTTTTTTTTTTTTACAGTTTTTCATGTTTGTAGAAATGTAGGCCTAGCGCCATAGGCTGTACTGGATGAAAAGTCCCATAGAGTTGCATGTAAATTGTAATAAAAACATAACAAAAACAGTTTTACATTTGACTAATTTACTATTCTCAAAGAAAAACAATCGAAAATAAGTTAGTCCTATATCAGGAGGGATTCATAAGGTACTCATATTTAATAATGAACTACGAATTACTCTTGCAGAAAGTGTAATTTACCGTCCATTTTTATGGTCCCCTTCGTAGCTGCTACCGGTGTACTCCATGATGTTGTTTAGCTGTTGTCATGACGTCACAACTAAGTGTTTCTTGACTTCCCGCGATGCGTTTATGGCCGGCCCGATTCCATCGTAGGATGTGAATCATACAAGTAACCCTAAAACGTTATAGAGGGCGCTATTTAATACTCGTGAAATCCCTTATTGAAAACTCGCTTAATATAGGTTTTCCCGGACAATTTCGGAAAATGTGCGTTTGAATTTGTAAAACATAAATTCAATTTGGCGCCGAGTTTGAGAACGACGTACATCCTGGTTTCATTTTCGCAATAACTAGCATTCAATTTCATTTTGCATCAATCAAATGAATGAATGTGCATAGCGTTTCATTTAAGGGATTACAAATACGTGATTAGGTTTTCGGTTTGACGTATGAGTTGCCGATTATTACGAATGTGCAATCCAATTCGCAGAAAATCGATTGTCTACTGTGACATGGGCTGAATTGAACATTCTTTTTCATTTGTTACAATTTAAATTCGCATTTTCTGCATTCAATTTAAATAAATTTTACAGGCCTATACAAATCATTATACAACTTTGATTTATTAATTAATCAATGTATGCCTTATTGATCATTAATGTGTTTGTTCTTATATACACAAAGGCCTATGTGAAATGTAGGCAAATGGAATGTGAAAATGATATAAATATGACCAATATGAAATCAATAAAAATAATCATGTAGCCATATTATTGAAACGGTAAAGAGACACATCACGTGCCATGTTACATAGGATCTGCATGGGGACTTTTGTTGGTTCATTGTCTTGGTTGTATTTTAATTTCTTTATGTATTTCTTAAGGTTCTCTCTCGTCTTATCAGTTCGATTGTCTATCCTTCAATGACCTGTCCACCAAGACATCGACGGAGATATGTCTGAGAATGGTTGTACCAGGCGGTGCATTTCGCAGGTGTCACCTCTCCAATGTTGAGTGCAGCCACCTCCTGGAGACGGAGGGATCTCCAGACTTGCAGGTTCACACCAGCTTGGACTCTTGCGTCTTGGTCTCAAAATCTGTCCTGCCATTCAGGGAGCCCCAGTGTGCGCTTCACTCCCGCCCTGAAAGCTGAGTGCGCCATTTCCGTAGGATTTAAGAATGACGAGTATGGGGGCAGCAACTTGATGGTGAAATTGCCGGCATCAGGGGGTAGTTGGGCTCAGATATGAGGACGAGCGTTGTCATATGTCAGATATATGCGTTCGCCTGCCTGGAATAACATACCGCATTCTTGTACAGTCGTCGCTAAGAAATCCTCAAAAGTCGCTCTCGTCACAGTCTCTGATGATATTCTGTCCAACCTCACCAGAAATGGCAAACGTGATGTTGACTTGCTTGCCTTGATGTTGACTTTCTGGCCATGGACGACACGCCTTGCTGGCTCTCCACGAGGAGCGCGACCATAAGACCGACGGGTCCATATGTTATACCCAGTCTCGTCAATGTACACAGTGTGGCCAAGGACACCAACCTGAAGAAACCAATTTCCAAATATGACTCGTGCATCTAATATGCGTGGCTCATTCCTCTGTTCTGGACCATCTTCCGCTAGTTTAAGAGTTATAAGCATACCATCTAGAGTTCTAGCGATGGTACTAGTGGTAACGAAGGGCTTATCGGGAAGATCAGCTCGCAGTTGAGTATTGAGTTTACGCAAAGTTAGAAGGGGGTTGTCATCTAGATATCATTGAAGGGCATCTCTCATGTCGTCGTCAACCTTCTGGTTGTTACGACGACCATCCCGAAGATATACGCCAACGATTGATCTGGCCGTTGAGTGCTTGATGCCCAGCGTATCTGCTACCTGTAGATAGTCAGCGTCGTCAGCCTCAAAGGCATCGATGAGGCGATTTCGGTCAACGTCCGAGATTCGTCGGTATCTCCCTCTTGCAGCCATTATTGGATATTTAAGGACTATGTGAACTGAGACTCTTGGCTATATGATGCGATTGTGGCAAATGCTGAGCAGAAAAAGATTTTCTTAAGGTTAGGTTTTTATATAGGATTTATTACAATAGTTGGTATGTTTCAAAAGACTACACCTCTTGGTTTTAGCTCAATCATCATGAATATTCAAAAATTCAATCATTCAATCAAGCTCTCCTCAAATGTTACTTTAACACATAAATGAATTCCAATGCTTGACCAGGCATACGTTAAATAACACTGCGAGGGAAATCGGCTGCACATTTAGCGAAAAAGATTGATGACAAATTAAAAGGAAAATAGGATTGCGGATGTGCCTTCGATTTCGCGCTAAAATGAAATGTCAATACACTAAATGCAGTGCACATTCGGGAAATCGTACGCTGATTTTTTACGACTGAATGCACCTTCACGGAAAAAGAATTATCATATGTTGAATAGAAACAGAGATTTGGAAGGTTCATTCTATTTCGCACGAAAACGAATGCTTCTTTTACAAATTCGTGTACACATTTTCCGAAATTGTCCGGGAAAACCTATAGTAAAAGGCTTTTTTTCGGTTTTTTTTTTAAGAACTACGATTATCATTATCTTATTTTAAAAAGCTTGATTCTTTTTAAAAGCTGCCCTTTTCAGTGAAAATATAAGATAAAGATTGAGAACAACTGAATTGGATCAATTTTGTGTAATTTATGTATTAAGGCGCGCAGGCTATAGGTATTTGTTTTATATTGTCCGCAATAATACTAAGATTGATAGAAAAATGGCAAATTCGACTATTGCAAATAAAATTATTGTTTGTCTGAAATGGCTTATTGTAAAATGGATGGGTATTTTATGTATTGCATTAATAATTAATCACCGAGTCTGCTCGTATATCATACATAATTGTGTGCATGCGGCTTTGCACGTACGGATAGATGAACGACTGTTAATTTTGAGCTCTAGAAATATGTAAAAATTTATTGATACAAAATGTCGTTTTTTCCCAGTTGGTGGAATTGTTTTAATTTTTTTTTTAGATTTTGTGTGTGAACGAAAACAAGTGTTTGTTGAATTCAGTTTTTGAATTATTTTTATGGTTATTGATATGTTTTTATGAACATATTTATTCCTCATTTATTTTATAAGATTCATAAACTGAGAGCACCGTTTACCCAAAATCTCGTTTTTAATTACGCTTTCATCAACAAGTTTTCGGGAAGATATGGTCCCAAACCGAAAAAAAAATCAAATGCGACATGTCATAGTTCATGTTAAAGCTAAAGACATGGTGCCCGGCGTTAACATTATGTAGTTATCACTTATTAACATTAATAAATAAAGGTCAAAAATATAGGATCATGAATATTCAAAAAAAAAATTAGCTGGCTTAACCAAATTCGAGACCTGATCGAGCGCAGAGCCCATCCAGCAAATTTGATAGCTGCCGCGCGCAGTGAAGCGGTGAAGCTGTCTATGTCTTTGTTTACACAAAATATTGATAGTATTCCCACCTGGACGGGCTTAAACGCCACAGGAGTACGAACCGCCTGATACTGTTGTTGTACCATCGTTTGCAAACTTTGACTTCGGCGGCCATGTTTGCAGTTATCGCTGTTGGTTGTCTCCTAACCTTCGGTCTTGCGAACGGAAACTGGACAGCCCGCAGAAATGATGCCTCCTTTGAAGACCTGGTAATTATTGGTGGAAATTGTTCACTATTGAGGTTATAATTTCGTTCATTAAAATTAGGAAGAAAAAAAAACAAATTTAGTTAATCTGAAAAAGAAAGAATGCTTGAAGCTGCAAAAGTCATGTCGGAATTGACTGTCATTATTTTTCAAAACTCTTGGACGGGACTTGTAAAATATGGTGGTGTCCTAAACTACACAATTACCGGGGAAATAGCATTGCTCGACAGTGTTTCACCCATTTTTGTTAACAGTGAGAGGCGTATTTTATGAAGAAATTATAGAAATTTTAAAGTAAAGCATGTTTAATCTTTCTTTCAAAAATACGGAAATTAAAAGTCTGTCTATTTAATGTTTCTCTTTGTTCCAAAAGGAGTTCTTTGCGTGGAATTTAGAATGTAACGACGCCAAAACTGTGTGCTCAAAGTGCTTCGTGGGACACCCGTACGAAGGCGCGGACATAGTCATGCGTAAGTCCATGCTTTGTTTATCGAAACAAGTTAAGAAATTCATTCGAAAAATGATCAGTTCCTTATGGCACAAGCAGTTGAATGGCGTACAGGGTGAGTAAAAAAAAAGCGAAACCCAAATGTTGGGACCAGTGTTTTAGGGAAATTCTGCAAGCAGCACTTTCAAAATCTAGGGTATGAAAGCCCAATTCATAAGCTTTCTTTTAGTACAAGAATCATTCGAATCACCCATGTACTTTTCAAGTTACGGAATTTTAAACACAACCACCGTTTTAAAGTTCAGTCCACGGATCACAAAAAAAAATGAGTGTTCTTTCAGCAAAACGAAAACAAATCACATAAGGATGTGTGTGAATTGTTTCGTTTTGCTGAAAGAGCACACACCTTTCTTGTGATTCCTGGACAGAACCTTAAAACGGTGTTTTGTTTTGTTTTTAATTCCGTAACTTGAAAAGTACATAAGTGATTGGAATGATTCTTGTACTAATAGAAAGCTTATGAATTGGGCTTTCATGCATATCCTAGATATTGAAAGTGCTACATGCAGAATTTCCCTAAAACAGCGGTCCCAGCATTTGGGTGTCGGGTTTTTTTTACTCACCCTGTATAAACTATAAGTAGAGATTGCGTTTACACCATATTTGTTACGAAGTGTTGGCACTGAATAGAGCCGGTTGTAAGAGTAAGGTCTCGACGTTTCAAACTTGATACTCTAATCGTCTTCTATCGTATACTTAATATTATAAGCATTTTTGAAAATGTTTTGTTGCTGTCTTCAGATACATTCGAATACACGAAGGACCCGTACAAGTTTCAGTTCACAACACAACCTGCAAATCAAGATACGAAGGCTTCTTTTGTCCAAAGTAAGTTTTTCCTATATAGCAACCGTACCTCAAGAATATAGCATAAAATACTTTGCTTTTTCAAAATTTCGATTCCCTTCTCTTCCGAACGAAATTTAAAGAATAATGTCCTGTAACAAATAATTTTGCAGGCCTTTATACAGTTTTAAAAGTGGTTTTAAATGGCGCATTCCAGTTAAGAAATTGAGCACACTATATTCAGAACGAATTAGCGTCCCGCTCTTAATTCAAGTTAACTTAATTGAAATTAATAATTAATTGATTACTTGTCATGGGCCGATTTTTTTCGTGCGATGTCTCATTGGAAAGCTCATAACTAATGTAAGGCTAGAAAATTAACAATTCCATTTGAAAATCCATTTTTCAATGTGCCAGACCAAAAAAAGCATGCATACACCAACTTTGAATGTTTTTCAGGGATGGTTCTTTGTACAAGTACAAATCGTCCAGTGGATACGCGAGTATTGGTATTGACAATATGGCGGTGAATTTTTCAGCCTTTGCGGAGGTCTGCGCTCTCTGAGTGCTTTCTAGTTGCTAATGTTCCTAATAAGCGCATAATACAAAATTACCGATATTTCAGATGATGCCTTGGAGAAGTTTCACTTTTGCAGCGAAATCAACAACTCGGCCGCCGACATCTCCCGCGGTTGGACTTGGACCCTGTGCCTCGAGAACGACTTCACCGGTCTGACCGTGCCTCCGGACTGCCCCTCGCCCGTGGCCGTGTCCAGGTTGGTCGGCCACATGAACGATGCCAAACTCGCCGGCCAACAAATCATGTACTGCTTGCCTTATTAAAGGAATACACATGGAGATCTTGATAATTCAAACCTTAAGGGAATAGGTTCAAAATTTGACTTAAGCAGAGTTTTGAGTTATAAAGCAGGGTTGTATAATCATTGTTATACTACTGAAGGGAATGGATTCTTTGTTTGACGTAACAGTTGTTTTGAGTTATCAGAGTTTGACTTGGCGAGATTTCACTGTAATTACGAGATTTTTCTCTTTTCCCCAATTTAAAGTAGCACAATTGCTTAAAATCTTTAAAAAAAGTATGGTGCATAACCGCTTACTCTTATTATGTTTAAGCTGAGTGTATTCAGAGAAGATACACGCACAGTTTTCTATTATCAGTGCACGTGAAAACATATACCAGCAGGCACACTTTTTTAGTGCCTTGAATGATTGTTTTCTCCCGAGCGATACTATATCAGGGGTCATAATATTCACAGGTTATTTGGTATATAAACATACATGTCCTTTTGTCACTCGGAGTCTGAGCAAGGTTTTTTTCCTACGGCGTTTAGACCGGGTATATACTGGGTTATTGTCAGGGGATTTAAGCGGTATTAAGATTTTTGAAATTATGTCATTGCAGGACCTGATTTTCTTATGGGGACCGTTATTTGAGAATTTTAAAAGACACAGGATATTTGGGACCGATTGGGGAATTTTAAGGTTTTTTTCTGGATTTTTGGAGTTTGGGACTTTGATTTTTTGGAAATCTTGAGAATTGTCGGACAATTTAGGATGGTCTTTCTCTGTCTTAAAGTACAGACTATTACATATGGCCTACATAAAAACAAACGTACTACTATTTAGCTGTCTTGTTTATTCCCAAATTCACTTTAATACTTGTACTTATGACAGAAATCAAGACTCTGTTTAGGCAAGTACCTTTTTTTTTTTTTTACTATCATTGAGGTGAGTACTCTATGTTCCGGCACCCCTGTATTCCGACAACCCGCACTTAAAGGGAATGCACAACATTTGCTTTTGCTGCAATTTTCAAAAATACTTGGATTGGGAGGATTAGTATGTTATAGAAAATATTGTTAAACTGACTTGCTTCACGTTTTGGGTTCGGAGATGCTGTAAAATCCAAGAAAACCAACCATGTTCTTGTAGTCTGGTTCCCTGACCCCACTTAAGATGAATCGGAGCAATTTATAGACTTTGGAAAATTGTAAGGTTAGAGAATCAGTCTAGCTGGCTTGTACCATTTCACAGGTGAAGAAACAATTCCAAAGAAAATGCGGAATAACTCAACATGAAACATTAGGAGCAGTTTTTGAAAACAGCCAGTTTTCTCCAACGCTGGTCGGCCGACCAGCGTTGGAAAAGTACAAGTCTTCTTGAAAATGTCGACACACCAGGAGCCACAATTTTACAGCATGCTTTGGACTGTCATTCCCTGACAATCCAGTGAGATATTTCGTGATAATTTGCTCATCTCGTTTTTTGATGTTTGCAAATGTTGTATCTTCCCTTTAAGATTGTGTTACTCCCAGTTAGGGTTAGGATTAGGGATAGGGATAGGAATATGTGCAGTCGGAACATTATGGGGTGTCGGAACATAGGTGTGTTGGAACATAAGTGTGTAACCATCATTGAAATATTAACACAGCAAACCATTCAATCGAATGAATATCTAGAAGTCTAAGCAAACTTATTAAAAAGAATTCTCATTTTTTTGTAAAGCCTATATGATCTTTAAACGTATATATTCTAGCAGAAAAAACACTAACAGAAGCAAGCATTTCAAAGAATGAGATCGCAAAATGAGTCTCATAATCATACACAGTTACTATGGAAACGAGGTTGATGCTAACATTAATTTGAGCAAAATCTAACAAGGCGTTATTACATTATTGAAATGAACTGAACAGAGTTATACAAATGATGCATGTAACATATGACAATGGTGGAATTGAAATATCTTGAAAATGCGAACTAAAATTTTAATGCTGATTTTGGAAAATTGGAAGTTTGAAATAAGTCTAACACGAAGCTAGGTGCACTAGGATGACAACGATCCACCCATATTTTTTTTTGTGACTTCAAATTTACATTTGAAAGTTTAGAATCCTTCCAATGCACTTGTCATGTTTATTATAATGCTTAACTCGAATTAACGGTGTTCCTGAAAAGACAAAATGCTGGATATGGTCATTTTACAATTGGTAACGTCTTGATTATCAATTTTATATTAGTTTACCCACCATTCTTTAGCACTTTTAAGCTCTGCCATCATTCAACCTCTCCCCCTTCAAAAAAGTAGATGAGTCACACATGTCTTTCCCCCACAGGACAATGGAAGATTCCTGAACTCCTCCCAAAACAATTTTCGTCCCATTGAAATACCACTTTAAATCAATAAACCTGAAAAAACTCCAACAACTTGGCATTGCTGTACCGGGATTTTTCAACTTTACTTTGCTGACTGAAGTTGGGCCACCATCGGCATTTGGGTCATTTTGTCGACAGTTTGCCGTGATGCATCAAACAGCCGTCTACAGGTTCTTGACCACGGTCGAGGCGCGGTACTTCCGCCGGAAGTCGTCCGTATCGTCGGCAGCGAAGATGGGCCCCAGCTCGCCGTGAACGTACAGCGTCTCGTCGTGGCGGTCCTGATCCACCAACTTCATCAGCGCGTCGGCTACTACGGAGGCCCTGTAAGATAAGAACAATGGTAATATCTTTAGGACCCCGTTCCTAAACTACAACAACTGACTAAAGGTCACTCAAAATTGACCAAAAAAATGACATTCTGATGTTACTTGACACAGCTGGTATTGCTATACCTCTGTCTTGAATACTGTATTTTCATTTGCCTAGAACGATCACGTGTTAAGTCCCACAGGGAGTGTGCCTTGACTTTGTTCGTATGACAGTGTTGTAGTCGAGTCACCCAACGTCGAGTCCGAGTCCCGAGTCACAAGCCCCGAGTCCAAGTCCGAGTCCCAAATCACAAGCATCAAGTCCGAGTCTCGAGTCACAAGCCTCAAGTCCGAGTCTCGAGTCACAACCCTCGAGTCCGAGTCTCGAGTCACAAGCCTGGAGTCCGAGTCTCGAGTCCCAGTGTCGAGTCACAAGCCTCTAGTCTGAGTCCGAGTCACGAGTCACAAGCCTCGAGTCCGAGTCTCGAGTCACAAGCCTCGAGTCCGAGTCTCGAGTCACAAACGTCAAGTCCAAGTCACGAGTCACTTGTTCTTAGTTGTTCACCAAACTAATCAATTTTTTTTAATTATTGTTTTATCATCCATTCGGTATTTCAAGTAAATCCCAGTGTTTATAGTTTACCTTGTGTGTATACATGTTGTTTAGACCCAAAATGTGTTTTTCTTTTAATTCCCATCCCTAAAAAAAAATCCTCCTCCATTCCTTTCCTCCATGTTTTATGATCCAAACATTATTCCTCAATGATCCTTTCCCATCCTACGTTAGGTTTTTTCTTTTGACGAAAATACGTGACCGTCGAGTCACGAGTCACCAAGCTCGAGTCCGAGTCATCATGGTCGAGTCCGAGTCATTTTCCAATGTGACTCGAGTCGAGTCCGAGTCACGAAAAATGTGACTCGAGTCCGACTCGAATCCGAGTCCTGGACTCGAGTCCTACAACACTGGCGTACGGTATACGGTGTGGAAACGCTTGTATCGTTGATACCCACGCTATGTTTTTACACATGAGTGGGAGCAGCGAACTAGCAGACGACCATGCTGTTTCGAGCACGCTACATACATGTGAGTTGACGTTCGGATTAGTGTCATGATTGCTGTGTTTTATACTGCTATCGACTGTAGCCTCAAATTTGAGACTAAAGCCGTTCCTTTACTCGTTACATTGAGACCTAAAGAAAAATTGAATTAAAAAAGGAAACCTGAATGTGGATGACACAAAGACATCTTTGGAAACATAAGAATCGAGCCGAAATACTCCACACTTGACTCGAAACCTTATCAATCAGCGGAAAATTTCAAACCTAAGACCTTATACGTGAGACACTCGGCATGCACTATTCTCCGCTCATCAATAGTTCCCACGGAGTTGCACTTCGGTTTGGAATTCCAAACTCACGAGTGGGTGTTTTTGAGGGTATGACTATAATATACAATCTTACGGTTTTGTCTTGAGCTTGGTCAGGGTGATCGTGGCATGTTGCTTTACTTTCTCTTCGGCCAGTACGGCCGTGGACATCTCATCACCATCCATTGGACATGGGCAGAACACGTTCACGCGGATCTGTCGGTCCTTGGCGACCGGGTCGTATTTCTGGGAAGACAAAAAAGGAGCTTATTATAGATGTTAGCTCGAGGATGCGTCGAGAAGTGGACAGTCAGTGCAGCCTATAGGATCATGAAGGAGCCTTCAAGGGTGGTCGATGAAAATGATACAAGAAAATGCATTATGAAAAGTAGAGATTAAAACTCGCGATCCACTTGACATCTTTCCCCGGAAAGTTAAAATATTTACTCTTACCGCTACGGTCTTTGTGTACGCAAGCACAGCAGCCTTGCATGCGCTGATGATGGGCAAGTATGGAGCCAGTGTCATTGCTGTAAATAAAAACAACATCAGCATTACAAGTCGAGCTTAATTTATGCATGCTTAGTTTTGGACCAGTTTCACCCGATCTGACCTTAGGATTGCCCTTGGACGTTAACGTCAATCCATTGTGCTGGGATTAGGTTTAGATGTTCGGGTACCACATAGGTAGATTTTTATATTGGTATGATTTGGGAATTTGACACAGAAGAGGGACTCTATTTTGTGACACTCTCAAAATGGTTTTTTAACTACTACTCTAGGGCTTCATCATCATTAAAGTAAACTGCATGTAACCTGTACCTGCAACTGACGTGACGTTGACAAGAAGCCCGTGACGCTCCAGGTATTCGAGCGCCAATCGGGTGCCGTGGATCACACCATGCTGAAGAAAAAAAATGTGAACAAAGAAAATGGGGTCAAAGAGGTTCATTTGGGATAAAACGCGAAAATAACCTGATCCAGGTTATAATATGTTATTGAATTAGAAACATGAGATAAGCAGATTTAGTGACTGATTTGGGTTTGTTGTTATTTCACAAAATTAAAGCGCCCAAGGCTCCACAACCGTTAATGGTAGGAATCCCCCCCTAGATTTCAACAACTTTTACAAACAAAAAAGTGAAGGAACTTTTCAAAAAAATTACCCATCTCCTATACCCTGAAACACAAACCCCGATACGCTACAGCATTTGGAAACCCAGCCACAACCTTCTTCACAACGCTCACCGCAACCCTCACCACAACCCTCACCACAACCTGCAAACCTCACCACAACATTCACCCCAACCCCAACCACAGCCCTCACCACGTCTCTCACTTCCCTCACAACCCTCACCAAAACCCTCATCACTAATATCACCACAACCCTCACCACAATCCTCACCAGACTATCACAACAACCCTCTCTATACAACCCCAACCCCAACCACAGCCCTCACCACGTCTCTCACTTCCCTCACAACCCTCACCAAAACCTTCATCGCTAATATCACCACAACCCTCACCACAACCCTCACTATGACAATCACAACAACCCTCTTTACAAACCCAACCATAATCACAGTCCTCACCACGTCTCTCACCACTTGCCTCACCAAAATCCTCACCAAAACCTTCATCACTAATATCACCACAACCATCACCACAACCCTCACTATGACAATCACAACAACCCTCTCTACAAACCAAACCCTAACCACAGTCCTCACCACGTCTCTCACCACTTGCCTCACCACAGTCCTTACCAAAATCTTTATCACTAATACCACCACAACCATCACCACAGCCCTCACTATGACAATCACAACAACCCTCTCAACAACCCCAACTGCAACCCCAACACACCCCGAGTCACCACGTCTTCCACCACTTCCCTTACCACAACCCTCACTACACCCCCTCACCAAAACCTTCCATCACTAATATCGTCACCACCACAACCCCAACCACAACCCTTACTACAACTCTCACCACATCCTCACTACGAACCATCATCCTAACCCTCACCACCCCAACCACAACCACCACCATCACCACCCCACACACCGTCACCCTGAATTCACCTACCAGTGAGACCTCTATCGTGTTCACCCATTCGATCTCGTCCCAGGCCGAGCCGCAGTTGCAGACCACGTCTATCCGTTCGTACTTGGCCTTGGCTTCCTCGAACCCGGCCTTGATGCTCTCATGCTTGGTGATGTCGCAGTTGTACAGCATCACTCGCTCCTCGCCGTACTTCTCGGCCAATTCTTTGTTGGTCTGGTTTGCCCTCTCGGAACCCAGGAAAACCACGCCCTAGTTTACCAAAATAATGTTAATCGTGTAGTTAAAGTTAGGACCCCGTTCCCATACAAGAGAACGAAAAGACACTTATGTTTTGGGACGAGTACATGAACATTTGGCTATGAAGCAGGAAAAGTCACTTTATATGTTTGGAATCATTTAAATAGTTCGCTAAGATATGTTGAATATCAGCTAGCTTAATTTTGTGGAAAGAGGGCAAGATTTTGATTAATGAACGGAACATCATAAAGAGGTGTCCTAAACTACAAGAACACTAAAAAAGAAGAAGACAAATCAAGCCTAGTAAAGCTGGTCACAGAGGGCACAGAAATGTGATTCCGAATAGCAATTTTTCAGGCGTATATCTGGACTATACTCAATGGGTCATTCATTGCCGTTATGCCGGGTAATCCTACATGATAGCACTGCCCGACTCAGGGGAGACAATCAGTGAGTCGGTCAGTGCAGTCAGTCAGTGAGGAGAAAGGTACAAAGAGGACACTATAGACTGGCTCTCTGGGACCAGCAAAAATGAGTTTAACTCGATTTAGTACAAGACTTTAATTAGACTTCAAACTGAGTTGATTTGATTGCATTTTTGAAGGATGCATGTCATGGGGAATGTGGGTCGGTGAAAGGTTTTCCTTCGTGAAAACGTTGATCCTTAAATTGAAAGAATCTTGTGATTCGCATTAAAGGGCCCATGCAATGTATTTTTTTAAAATTCAAATCTTTGAAATTCACCTTTCTGTCCCATTTAACCTTATTTTCAATTCTCGTCTGATTTTCAAGGGTATCTTGATGCCCTTTTTGTTTTTATGCTAATGCGAATTCCCATTATCCATGAGCAAAAGTGTGATGTCCGATTTTCAGGCAGAAACCTCAATGTTATAAATTTCAGCACCAACAGTTGCCAGAATTTTTGATATTTTGCTGTCATAAATCTTTTTTTCGTTTGTGATTCGTTGTGTTAGTACATGGCAGTATAAAAAGCCAACGAGCAAACCTTTGTCACAAATATTTTTAATCAGCCGAATTAATAAGCAGATGAATGTTGGGTTCACAATTTGAACACAAAACCCCTATTATTACTGAACAGTGTCTTCCTGAAATGACATCACAGCAACAGCGCCCTCGGTTGTCTGGAAAAGTATAGACAATTATAAATGTTTAAAGAAGTGCACTTTTCAATAAACCTAACCAAAATGGATATCAAATACTTTGCATAATTTAAGAGGAGTAGAAAAATGCGCAAAATATGTTCCTTAGAACAATTCACTTCACGGCCCCTTTAAAATAGACCGTAAAACAAACTCTAGCAGCAAAAACGACAAGAACACTCAAAAAAGTTTTTTTTTTTTTTTTAAATTAAACAAACCTTCGCTCCTTTGTCCAGTAATATCGTGCCGAATGCAGGCCCCAGCAACCCTTCGCTGCCTGTCAACAAAGCCACTTTGTTCTTCATAAAGATTGCCATGGTTACGACGAAAGAAAAACTGTCTTAAAAATCCAACCGACGAAAAAAGGATGGGCTGTTTTTTCAATTCAAGATGGAGACGGCAGGGTGGATTTTTTTTGTTACAGTCACAGCACGGGCGAACTTTTTTTTCTTTTTTTCTTCTTTTCAAGATATCGCCGTATCAATAGTGTACCCTGGACCTTCGCTGTTAGTTTTGCAATCAAAAAGTGTAACAAAGAAGCAGATTTATATACAATTAAATCTTTGTTTGCACGAATATAGCGTAGTAGTCTTTGCTCGAGACTGGATTTGTCATTTTTACTTCCCCTTTGTACAGCCAATCCCTGACAAACGCGGTAAAGCTACGACGGCGCGGCAGAGCCTGCTATCAACAAGAAGAGTTACATTCAGTCTTGGGAAGTTCGGCAGCTCTTCCCACTTTCGAGCATACCTAACGCGCTGTAATCAAGCTAAACTGGGAGCAGCTATATTATGAGGAATAAAACTTGTCTTGGACTAAGACTAGTAACGGAGCAAAGTCTTTCGACTTTTTTTGGCTTATCGATAAATGGGACAAAAATCAGGAATCTGACCTGGCCTATTGCACTTTGATTTGGGAGCGTTGATTCCCGTGGCCACATTACACACGGACCTGTACATGTACTTGTAGACATGATGAACTTTGAATGGTATTCATAACCAAATTAGTGTGATAGCTAATTGGTAAATTAGTTATAATAGATGATGTTGTATAGGCTGTCGGTGTAAAAGCTGTCGAACGTTCAGTGGCGGATGCAGGATTTTTAAGGGGGGGGGGGGGTGGTTTTGAATGGGAGGTGGGCGGGGGGGGGGGGGGGGTTACAGTCAATGCAAATGTGCCATGAGCGATGGGCCCTTTCCCATTTAAATTAATAAATACAGTACCAAAACAAAACAGGCTAATGTATTCTTGTCATGATTTCGGTACTAAGAGTCCTTATAATAGTTGTCCGTGACTGCAAACATGGGCGTCGCCAGGATTTTTTCTAAAGGGGGGGGCAAAAAATTTGTTTGCCAAAAAATGCTTGTATTTCTCAACACATTCTCGATTTATCACTTTTAGAGGGGGGCAGGGAAATTCCCCCCCCCCCCAACTCATTAAATTTACACCACTTTGTCTTCGCGCCTCTTTTTCTTTCTTTTTTTTTTTTTTTTTTTTTTTTTTTTTTTGCTTTTCCGGGGGGGGGGGGGGCAAGTGCCCCCCCTTGCCCCCCCCCCTCGCGACGCCCATGACTGCAAACCTATACGAAAGGATAGTCCATAGCCTGGCCCCACTTTGAAATTGGGCAGAACTTCGACCCAATTTGTGAGTTTTTTGCATATTTTCCGAAATCTGAAAATAATTACCCAAACTATTTGCTGCAGATCTCTTCGGTCTAACCCCCCCCCCTCGCCACCGGCCGCCCCGCCCCCATTTACAATTATCTTGAAGGGGTTTCGCGATCGCCCCAAACATATTTTTGAGGTTAGGGCTACTACATTTTTGTTTTCTGCCATTTTTTGGCAAAGGTATTGGATGTCAATTGTGATTTGTTTTATCTGATCTTAATGAAAGGGGCACAAAACCCCTTTGGCGTGAGCTATGAAACAGCCGTTAATTGGCACTGCGTAATCGAACAAACAAAAACAAAAATGTCAAAATAAAGGTAGGATTATACTAGGAAATCATTTGAAAAATGAAAGTCTTTCTCTTGCCATGCTTTCTCTTGAGCACAGGATAGGAATGTGGGCAAAATCCCTTGATAAAATGATTCACTGCCAATTTTCCGACTAAAAGAATTATGCAACTGTTTTATGCCCCGGAAGCGGAAGTGACGTCACCACATTGGCATCGGCATAAATAAATCTGCAGCTGGTCCGGTCAAGTGGCGTTCCTTCATACTAGACTCGGTGATATTTTCGTTGTAAAATCTCATTTTACGACACTTGGAGAAATATTTTAAACAGAACGTGTTCGTCTTTGTGTTCATATGTGAGAAAGTATTGATTGAAAACGTCAGAAATGTAATAGTTATCGTCCTGAAAAAGCCAGTAAGTCAGCAACCAAGTCAATTTACACGCACGAGTGGTGAATTGTTTTTCAGCGGACGCGCACGCGTTGCTCGGCCGTGAGAGACGGGTAGTGGAAGACGAGTCGGTGCGGTCTCTATCTCTGTGAGTCGCGGACTATCGTGAGCAATGAACTCGCCATTGGGATTCATAATTGCTGGTACCGCAATTGTGGTCTGTTTTCACTGGATATGTGTCGGTGCTTCCGTTTCGAGTGGTGTGGTGAATATTACGGTGACAAATACATCAGGTAGGTTAATTTGTCAGCAAAAAATGCCTTTAAAATGTTTTGGCATTATTATGGCGACAAAAGGGCTGACGTGCTGCCAAATTATCGGTCATTTCTGAATACATATAGGGCCTATGAGGTGCCAATTTTCAACTGTCTTTTCTGTTAATTAGAGTTAAACAGTAATGGAGAAAAAGGGGAATAAATATGTAATGTAAGCAGAATGTTTAACATGTTTAGTTCTATTCTTTCAACATGTTCAAATTTCATTTTCAGGAATGACAGTTGACACTTCAATGACAGTGATTGAGTGAATCATTTGAATGCTTCAGATATTTTTGTCAGATTTTTAATACTTGGGCTACAAAAATGATGTATTAATTATGTAGGCCTGTGAATGTACTAAATAATGCTAATATTAATAATAGTACTACTAAACTTTGTTTATTGAAAATTAAATGGTAAAATATAGATGAAGTTTTCCCCGCATTATTCACTGGCTTTATTTAAACATAGTGGCTATCGTTACCGCAGCCATAACACGATTTTCTACTGCTATTGTTTAGGCATTGCCAAAACACCGTTGTGAATCTAACGTTATCACATTTATAACTACCCATTCAACCAGGGCACTTAGGTAGCTTGATTGGTTAAAACGTTTGACTAGTAATACTATGGTAAAGGTTCCAAGATCGCATACGCACTGTGCAATTTTAGATTTTTTTATTTCATTTTTATAGTTTTCTTTACTCAAATCATGTTTGTAATCAAATCGTTCTTTTAACCCTAACCCCCTAGGCCCTTGTTGTTTACAACCATCTTCAATCCTCCAAAATCCTCCAAAATTTTGCAACTCCGCCTAAATTTTTGAAAATTGTCAGACAGTCCTGCCTCAAAATGCATTCATCCTCAATCCTCCAAAATCCTCCTCATCCCAAAATTTTGCACTCGTGTTTAAATGAAGGATAACCAACGCCAAATCCTTCAAAATCATCAGACAGTCCTGCCTCAAAATGCATTCATCCTCAATCCTCCAAAATCCTCTTGTGCTTCAATCACCATTCATCCTCAATCCTCCAAAATCCTCATGTGCTTCAATCACCATTCACCCTCAATCCTCCAGAATCCTCATTTGATTCAATCACCATTCATCCTCAATCCTCTAGAATCCTCCAAAACCGCCAGGAGGATTTTGGAGGAGTGAGGTGGGTTAGGTAGTAGATTTCATTTTCTTCATTGCAATCAGTGGCTTTGGTGGACTGGAAACCACATTCTTTCCACAAAATTGTGTCCAAAGGAGCCATTTATAACCCTTTTTACATAGTCACAATTGTGTTGGAAACAAATAAAGATATTATTAATTACTAATGTGCAAGATATGCAAATGGTTGAATAAAAAAAAAAGGATGCGGATGGGGGAAAAAGGAAGCGGGCCAGGCGAGGGCGAGACTCTAGTTTATTTTTAACGTGACCTAAGAGTAGTTTTAGTTTTTATTTAATTGAAAAAAAATGCTGACTGTAAATTTTGGGAACTATGGGGAAATTCCCAAATATTGAATTGGCAAATCTTGTTAAAATAATATGAGGAAAGGTTTATCAAACAAAAATGTGAAGCTAGAGAAAATTAGATTAGGGAAAGAATTCCATACTGGGCCACCACTCAGACCTCCTGCACTAAGTCTATGGGCCATGACAGAAAAAGTTAAAAGTATTTTAAGAATTTTTGCACTCCTTAAATAGTGTTTTTTTTCCATCAGATTTACAACTTTTGGTACCTTTCAGGTCATATTAGGGAATATGAGTGGTGGCCCAGTATGGAACTCTTTCCCAGATAAGTGCTAGAGACTCCAAATCGTGATTTGACTTTTTTTTTATTCGTGACATGTTTATTCGGTCTTATTTCACTTTCAGATTGTGTTTGCAATCCAGTAGGCTCCCTGAACACGACATGTGACAACACGACCGCAGACTGCCTCTGCAGAAACGGCTACGAAGGACCAAACTGCACCGACTGTCAAGATGGCTACTATCACCATAGCAACCGAAGCGCGGAATGCATTCCATGCCAGTGCGACGAGACGGGGTCCTTGAATAACAGCTGTGACAGGTATTAAAAACATATATTATTAACCCTAACCGCCCTGAATCCTTCAAAATCCTCTTTGCCAAAGTGGAGGAATTTGGGGTTACATGGCAAAAGTGCGTTACTGATTTCATAGGATGCACTTTGTCAAGGTCTTGGGCCGGACCTTGTGTAGTTTATGCCCAGCCAGGCACAAATTTTGGCCTAGATTATGCTTGAAATCCTCCGCACTGCTCCAGGATGTCACTGGCCAAGCCTCAACATATTGACGGTGATTGCTGGATGATTTTTCAGGATTGAGGCAGTGGTCACCCCTCCAAGGACCACATTCAAGAAAGAACGAATGATTTCGGAGGATTGAGGCTGTATGCAATTTGTACATGGAGGCAGTTGGAGGATTTTGCAGGATTGAGGTTGCATCCTAGCAAAAATGCCTAGGGAGTTAGGGTTAATTACCGTTAACGACGAGAAACCATCTAACTTTTTCCCCCTGTGTCTATACCGTGTAGCTGCTGAGTGTGATTGGTACATGTAGTTCTGCGGTATCGCCCGATTGCGCTGCACTATCAGTCGATAATGCAGCCATCGGTCAATCACCTTTTCTTTCTAATTCTATGGCTCTGGATTGTTACTTTTGAAAAAGAGAAGTGAAGTCTGAGATTTTTACAGGATAGACTGCATAGGCGTAGCCAGCAAGGAGGGAGGGGAGGGGGGCCGGGCGGGGTGAGGGGCTATATTTACCCCCCAATATTTTGTAAAGACTGCCTTTTTCCATTCCAGTGCCCTTTTTTCATCAGCGTTTTAATAATCTCCAATATTTTTAACTTGTGCCCCTTTTTTTGAACGAGTGCCTTTTTTTCCTGTACAAATGCCCTTTTTCACCAAAAAGTCATGGCCTTTTTGTGGCAGTGGTTGTAACGAGTGCCTTTTTAAAAAGATTTGCGCATGTATCGCCCTAAAAAGCGCCATATATTGTCCGTAAGTGTTTATAATCATGATAATCGTCTGTTTTGAACAGCGCCCCCATCTGAAAATAAAAGGACAATTTATTGACACTGACAGTATACAAATAACGAATGTTTGTGAGTGCGATGGTAAGAATAATTTCATGAGGTGACAGATTGAATGTTCTATTCCACGAGGCGAAGCCGAGTGGAATAGAACATTCAATCTGTCACCGAATGAAATTATTCTTTCCATCGCACGAACGTAAAACATTCGTTATTTGTTTTATACAACACCTGAATAAATTCTCGTCATTTGATTGGTACATTATAAACTACAATTTATTTTGATTTTAAAGATGTTGAACTTACCCCTTTACGAAAATGTTTGAACCCAACGCTGTAGCGCTGGCTCTTTGGAACAATACGCGCTACGCTGAACGCGCACACCAGCATGCATTTTGCACGCAAATACCGCGTCATGGAACAAGCGCAAAGTGAAACGGTATAACGCATGGGTATAACGCATGGTCGCACCGTGCATTATACCGAATAATAATATGTCACGTGATCTACAATTCACCAATCAGATGATGGGGATTTATTCAGGTGTTGTATAATATTATATAATATAGGCCTATATACATTTGGAATTAATAAAAAAAAAGGGGGGAAAAAGGCGGCCTGGAAAAAGGAAATTGACAGGGGACGGAAACCTGCTTAATTTTATTATTTGGCCTAAAATGTCATTTTCGTAAAGACAAGATTGTTTTGTTTTGACATGCATCCCTATGCATTTTAATTTCACCGTCCTTAATTTGCTCCGGTCTTTGATGAAATGCTCATCCGCTTTGACGCTTACGACGGTCTGCGTTGACACCCACATGCCCCAGGGTACAGAACTACCTTGTTGTACCCAAGGTCAATTCTTCCTGTGTTGTACAAAGCAGTGGGGATGAAAATAATTGACAGATTTTGAGAACAATGAAAGGTGATGTTTCCAGGCAACATGAAGTGATGTACGCTAAAGCACAGTCGATATCAGAATTTTCAACAATCGATAAATCCGAAATCCAATATTGAGAATATTCGATATATCAATTATCCCAAAAAAAGTTAAAAACTGTAAAGATGACTCTTTGATTTGAAAAAACACAAAGTAACAGCACAAATGGGAGATTTATTTTGAGGATAATCTGACGCATTTTTCGATATCAATCATCAATATCAAAAAATTCGATTTTTCGATAATATGATTAAAATATTGCTATCGGCGATGTAGATATCAAAATAATGTCTATTAATATTGATATATCAATGGTGCTTAATGTACGCTGTGGAGTCCCTTACATTGTCTTGAACTTCTGTAGTACATTCAGATGAAAATCATGCATAGTTTTGAGCAGGCGCGGTTCTACGGGGGGGGGGGGGGGGGGGGGGGGGGGGGCTAGGGGGGCTGTAGCCCCCTCAAAATTTTGTCTAGCCCCCCAAAATAAATTCCGTAAAAAAAAAAATTGCATTAGCAAAAAGAAGGATTGTGATGTACATGCGAACGGTCTCCCCCTAAAGAAGAAATAGCCGTGACAAGGGTGCATTAGTTAATATAGTGTGAATCATCTTAGGATTTTATTGGCGCTCCCCATTGAAAATATGGCATGACCCCCCCCCCCCCCCCCACCCCCCCCCCCCCCCCCCCCCCCCCCCCCCCCCCCCCCCCCCCCCCCCCCCCCTATTGATTTTCGGAGGCCTAAGTGTCTGGACAAAATAACCGGTCAACATTTCAGCACGCCTCCCTGAAAAAATTCTGGATCCACCGTGCTAGCCCCCCTTCAAATATTGGTTCTAGAACCGCGCCTGGTTTGAGTCATGTACAAATGTACATACATACCGGTACATGTGCACATTGCAAAGTTACTAAAAAAATTTGCATTAAAGGAAGTGCCATATGCAAAAACTGATGTATCATCGGTTCCGTTTCTGTATTGCTCATACTACCGTACATAGTTCCTCAGTTACCTCAGTACACAAATACCGGTACGTGCATTGTTATTCAGTTCTATAAATTAAACAAACGTCAAGGTCTATCATGTTCTTGTGATTTTGGTCACCATTTTTAATACATTCAAATGCCAGTTAGGCCAAATTAAAAAAAAAATCAGTTTCTCAGCCGTTTTCTTTTAAAAAAATGTGAAGGAGGCTAGGTGGTCCCCCCCCCCCCCCCCCCCCCCCCCAGATGGCGGATGGTTTCTTCCATTTTCTTGACTCTTTTGCTGATACATGTACAACATTGTGTCCAAAGGAGCTGTCACCCTTTCTATATAACTACAATTTTGCAGGAAACAAATTAAAAGACAAAATGTTTTTTTTTTTTGTTAACTTGGTCTAATAAAAAGTTACTACATACATGTACGTATACAAACATTGTATTTGTACACATTCAGATGCCTACTGGACACATCAGTTAATTAAAGGGAATATACATTTGCAAACATCGACAAATAAAACTACCAAGTTTTTATGAAATACCTCACTAGGATGTTGGTTAATGACAGTCTAAAGCATCCTGTAAAGTTATGGCACTTGGTGTGAAGTCATTTTCAAGAAAATGGTATTTGTATAAATTTCCAGCGGTGGTCGGCCGACCACCATTGGAAAAACCTAACTATTTTTCAACTACTGCTCCAAAGTTACCATTTTGTTCAGTCAAAATTTCGTTTGCTATTGGTTACATGTTCATGAACGGGTGCAGGCCAGCTAGACTGGTTCCCTGACCTAACAATTTTCCGGCATCTATAAATTGATCCATTTCATCTTTAGTGGAGTCAGGGAACCAGACTACTTGAACGTTTTTGTTTTTCTTGGCTTTTCCAGCATTTTCGAACACAAAACTTCAAACATGTCAGTGTAACAATATTTGATCTATTATATACTAACCCCTCAAATAGTTCATTTTTAAAAATAACAGCAAAAGCCAATGATGTACAATCCCTTTAAACATAAAAGGCAATGAAAATGCAAATTTAAATTGCTGTGTATCATCGCTACAGTTTCTGTATTGTTCATAATGCATACTGGCTTGGTAGTTCTTCAATTACATCAATACATGTACCGGTACGTGTATGCAAGGGCGGATCCAGAACACAATTTTTGGGGGGGCCAAAAAAAATGTTTGTCCCCCAAAAAAGTGGGTCAAAAAAATTACGGCGTGGGGTTCGGGGCCCGCTTAAGGGCCTCGAAAATTTTTTGGATTCTAGATGCTCTGTGGTGCGATCTGAGGCAATTTCTGACCACTTTAACCAATGTTTTTTTGAGGAAAAGATGGTGGTGTACTCATTGCCTGCCTTTATTGCGATGTCACATAAAAAAAAGAAAAAATGGTTTCGTTTTGGGGGGGGGGGGGGCCATGGCCCCCTTTGGCCCCCCCGGATCCGCCCTTGCGTGTATGTGTACTATTTTTCAGTTCTAGAACTTAACCATACATGAAGGTCTATCACTGTGTTCTTGTTGGGATATTGGCCACCATTTTTAGACATCCCAACACCGGTTAGTATTCGTTTTCAAGTTTTGTCGGTGGGAAGAGTGCGCCCTCTATTGTTCACTTGATTGCCAGTACTACTGCCATGCAATTCCACAGCATCTAGCCTACAACTTAAATGACACATTTTGCTTCTCCAGAATGATTTCATTGATTGTACGCTGAAATGGTGTGTTAAGAGGGGCGGGGTTTTGGGGGAAGGGTGGGGGGGGGGGGCACTGCTGATGCAGTGTGCGTTGATATAAAGACACCATACCACCAAGACAGTTTTCTCCCCATTATAGTCATTTCCTTCAGGATGTGTGGCATTTCCCCCCATTTCCGTTTTGGGGCACACCCCTCTTTTTACAGCACAACGTTTGCTGTCCAATTCCTTAAGCCATAATATTGACACTATACTAAAAAAAGTTCAAGTATCAGCATGTACTATTATGAGAGGAAGACTGAAAATTGTATGTAAGTTAACATCTGTTGGGGGATGGGTTAGGGTTGACAATAACCACTTCCTGGCATTTGAGGTTCTTTGTTTTTGTTTTGTTGTACATGTATTTTCCACTAATTTCAGCATTTGCACATTTGAGGGGTTTCCCCTAATACTATGATGTAAACGATTTTTGGGAGGGATATGACATTGACTGACTTCGATTGGTGTGGTAAAACTTCCCCAAATTAAGGCATAGCCGAGGGAAATGGAAGGAAACATTCCCATATCTGGCCATCACTCATTCTTCCATTCATACAGTGACCTACCGGTATCAGCAATCAGAAAGTGATTTTATGTCCTAAAAAGTCAAATTTAGCATTGGAAAATATTGAAGTATTTAATTGAAGCAGCTTACAATAACCATCTCTGCCCTCACATGTACCCATACTCCTGGGTGGAGAGAAGCAATGGGTGCCAAAGTGCCTTGCCCTAGGGCACACGCACCATAACCCCAGGCTGGACTCGAAACCAGCAACCTGCAGAATTACCCACAGACCACAAATTCACTAATTCAGTGTTCGAGACCACGGGTAGGGCTCCATTTTTTTCCACAATGTTAATTGCAACCTCTAGTAATAACCATTCTTCCATGTACATGTAATAACTAAGCCTAGATCATTCAACGAGTTCCCAGGAAATTTATGTAGGCTTACTAGGTTATAAGGAGATCCCCATATGGAGATAAAAACTCAGAGGAAACGTGTCCCATATAGATAAAAATAACCTGATTTCTTACTGGAATCCCAGAGGATGGAGGACATTAAGGGGTTAACCCCCCCCCCCCCCCCCCCCCCCCACCCACCCTACTACTACCCTGGATACTTTTCCCCTGTTAATCGTCATTGGGTTAATTCTGTCCTGGTTGAGGATTTTGGACATGCTGAAAGAGTATTGAGAAAGATGCAGCCAGGACATGGGTGTGGTTAGAGGAGGGATGGGGGAGAGATTCTTGGAGTGTTTTACACCCAACTCTCCTATTAATTGTTTTTTTTTTTTTTGGCAAAATTGTCCTCCCAAAACATAGTGTGCACATCGGCAAAAATGTCCTGATGAATAGTGCCACTTATTGTCTGATAGTGTCCAAGATTATCCAGAGTGTTCAGCTGTACCCAGACCTCCCTCCCCCTTCCCCTGTATATTTTGTCACAAATTCTCACCACTCCCCCTTTTTGGGGACGCACACCTACTACCAAGAATGTTTCAGTTTATGGCTCAGCTTTTTCATCTGTTGTTTCTGTCTCTTTTCTTTCAGATATGCCACATGTTCATGTAAGCCAGGCGTAGGGGGAAAACAGTGCAACCAGTGCCTCAGTGGACACTACGAACTTTCAGCAACCGGATGCAAACAGTGCACTTGTGACAAAGTAGCCAGTGTGTGCCTTGACCAATCAAAATGTATGTATGAGCCTTAACCAATGACCTTGCGTGACCTTTGACTTCAAATTCAGCTGTCTCATTTCTGTTCGATTTTCTTGGCATTAAGACAACAGTAGGCTCAGATCGTGCGTATGACGTCAAAGTACATGTACTGGGCCACTGACTGACTGACCATCTGACTAATAACCTGACTGACACGCAGAGTATAAATAATGCCCAAATCTGGAAGGAAAAAAATGTCAGCAGCATCCCAAAGTTGTTCAATGAATTCAAAGTTGTTGAGAATGAGTTAAATTTTTGTCCCTTCTATTCTCCTGTGCAGTCCGTTCTTCCAGCCATCCGTCCATGTGCCACTACTGCCTTCTGAACGAAACCTGGGTTAACCAGTGCACAAAGCCGACCTGTCTGCCCAGCGAGTACTTGACGCCGGACAGCGTCTGCACGCCCTGCCAGTGCGGCCAATCACAGGGGACCGTACACGGGACGCGACAGTGTGACCTGATGACTGGGAAATGCCCTGAATGTGAAGGCGAGTCCTGCTCAAAAGGAGGTGAGTTGAAATCGTTTGGAAACAAAAATGTTTTAAGATGTGTTTTTGGTGTTCGACCATCTGTAAGGCCAAAAAAAAAAAAAAAAAATCGGTTTCTGGTCAGCTCGTCGATTTTAATCATGCGTGTCAACCTTTTTTTTTCTCTTCAAATTAACACGGAAGCTACAACAGCGCCCTCTATTGCCGCGCCTCCTCAAATTTTTGTACCAAGGAGCACCAAGGAATGGGGAAATTGCACCAAGGCAAATGATAAAGGGCACCAAGGCAAATTATGGAGGACACCAATGTATAATGAGGACACAAAAAAGCAAAATAGTACCCGCCTTGTCTGTACAATTCAAGCTTGAAGGAAAAAAAAAAAAGCAAAAAAAAAAAAAAAAAAAGCCGCGTGGCAGCGTCAATTCCGGAACTTTGGTCTGACCAGAGACCAAATATTTTTTTTTTTTGGCCTAAAACAGGTGTTTGCAAATTATTGTTGTAATTTGATGAAGTGGACTGATATCAGGGCTCGTAATGTAATTTGAAAGTCGAACAAAGAAATTGGCAGGTGCGGGGTTTGAACCTGCGACCTCTGGATTGGCGTTCCGGTGCTCTACCAACTGAGCGATCCAGCCCTACATGTGTGTTGGTGGTTCCCTATTTTGTCAGTGTCTTCTTTTAAGGGATGCTAGTCAGAAATCATAAACCTGTATATGCCCTGTAGCAGTACTGCAAACCTGGAAAATAGGAAACAGGGGAACATTTAGAGAGGAATACAGCTTTTTATTAAAAGAAATAGACTCAAATAACACACTTTGTTCCACTGACCTGTTCAATGCTTTGTGTTCATTTGTGCTGGAAAAACACACAAAAACGCTGTTGGTTTTCAACCGTGCCTGTGTGCTGACTGTTTCATAGGAAAAAACTTATATTTACCTAGCAAACCTATATGCATAAAGTCAAAAGCTGATTTGCGCTCGTTTTTAAATGTAGTGGTTTTTTTTCACTTTTTTTGACAGCTCAAGAAAGGTTTTTTTCACAGTGATGGTTCGATCTGAACCATCGTTAGTTGTGATACAAAGTTCCTCTTTCTTGAGCGTGACAGCTCAAGAAAGGTTTTTTCACAGTGATGGTTCAATCTGAACCATCGTTAGTTGTGATACAAAGTTCCTCTTTCTTGAGAATGACAGCGTACCAGACGCGATGATTTCGTTACGATTTTTAATTTTATTAACACATCTAGGTAATTCCCAGTATCAGGTCTACATCATCGTGAGCGGTGCCGCAGCTGGGGTCGTCGTAATCGTCCTCGCGATTCTGCTCACCGTCTATTGCCGACGGCGGTGTCGCAGACAAGCCAACAGGCCGCGACTACCTCTCTGGACCATTGAGCTACGACAGGATGAAGACAGGGACGAGTTCGACGCAACGCAGGAACTAGCGTTCGACGATTTGGATGTAATGTACCTCGACGATTCCTATCTCATGGAACCCACCCCAGAATACTTCAATGAATCCACCGATAACCTCAATGGCAGGGCCGGCTACCACACGCTGAGTAGTGGTTAAGTTTACAGACTTTTTCCCTCCACATTTTATTCTTTTTGTGGTACAGGAGCAGAGGGTTCCTTTAGAAGGACCATGTGCTTTAAGTTATGGAGAGGAGATGATGAGGAAGTTGCCAGAGTGGTAATCAGGGCATCACAAGGCAATCACATGTCCATCACTAGTCAGCACATGTCAATCACATGTCCATCACTAGTCAGCACATGTCAATCACATGTCCATCACTAGTCAGCACATGTCTATCACATGTCCATCACTAGTCAGCACATGTCAATCACATGTCCATCACTAGTCAGCACATGTCTATCACATGTCCATCACTAGTCAGCACATGTCCATCACTAGTCACACATGTCCATCACTAGTCAGCACATGTCCATCACTAGTCAGCACATGTCCATCACTAGTCAGCACATGTCCATCACATGCCTTTTATCATGTGTCCAGTAAATTTATCACGTCAATCACTAGTGTCTATCACGTGTCTATCACATGTCTATCACAAGTCATCACATGTCAACCACAAGTCGAATACAAGTTAATCACTTGTCTATCACAAGTCAATCACAAATCATCACATGTCAACCACAAGTTGAACACAAGTCAGTCACGTGTCTATCACATGTCAATCACAAGTTCATCACGTCAATTCACAACTCACCCAGTCTCTAGTCAAGTTTCAAACTTTTATCAAATGAAATGATACAAAGTTATTCTCTTGTTTTTGTGCATCCCCCGTTTTGTGACCTTGTGACTCAACTAATTCATGACTTGTGATTTGACTGAAAACCCAATCCGCGTGTCGGCGTGCTCAGGATTCGAATCAGGGTCACACAGGTGGAAGGCGCGGAATGTACCGCTGTGCCAACCTGATTTATTGTCCCAATTTTTTTTTTTTCATCAGAGGCTGGACCTCAAAAATACAAACCGAAAAATTCCATCTTTGCAAAACTTTCATAAAACATACATTCTCTGATTCTCAGCAAATTTTCATTCCGATCTTTCATTGTATGGAAGACTTCTCACGTACGTTTGAATTCTGGGTCACTACCAAAACTTTTATGCAAATGAATAGCTAATATGCAAATCCGTATATTTTCCCATGGTCGCACCAAATTGTTTTTTTCAATATATTTTAATAAGGAAAATGGAAATTATTTTTTCCATTTTAAGTGCATTAATACTTGCCTCTGCAGAGATTACATATGGAGTGTTATTTGATAAAATGTTTGTCCAATTTTATTAAATGCTGTGTTAGTTGTAAACAAATGCAGTCTTTTAAAAACGTCAGCTGTATGAGATGTATATATTATTGTTACATGTTTGCACGTGTGTGTAAAAAAAAATGTTTCGCTGTAAGCTGTGTGAAATTGTCTGTTTACCAATGAAGAATAATGCTTGCCTTTTCTCAGCCATGTGCTCGTAGAAAAATGTTGCAGGGCACCGGTCAGAAGACAGTGGATGTGTAGTTACGGTACATGTACAATGTGAACACAACTGGTCAGAGCTGGTAACTGTGACACTTCTACGCATATTACTTACATGTAATTAAGTTTGTGGCTTAATTCAGGGCTCAATTTCGTGGCTTTGCTATAACCAACGATCACCATTCCGTGCTAACAGCGCTAGCAGAAAAACTGGAAAGAATGTACAATTGTAGTATCCAGACGCCACCTCTTTGGTTGTGTATAACGTCATTATTGCAGGGTTCGACTTTAGCAGTAGCCTGCTAGCCAAATGCTAGTCAAAACAGCGGCAGGCTAGTCAAATTATTCCTTAAGTAGCCCGGCTGGCGAGTCAAAAATTATTGGGCTACGGCAAAGATGAAAGGAAAGGAAGAAATAAATCATACATTCAGAAAGCAAACCTGTATCAATTTGTGTCTAAATTCATGAACGTTTTGGGTTAAATTATTAGATCCGTTTATTAAAAACATTGACAAGATTGCCTCAGGACACACGTTTTACATGTTTGCACATTGGTGTTTATGAGACACTCTATAAAAGAAAAACATGCAGGCTAGTGAAAATGCCCGCGGGCTAGTTAAGAGTCTGTTTCAGTAGCCCGGCTGGCTGGTGAAAAAATAAGTTAAGGCCGAACCCTGCAATGGAGAGTCAAGTGCATTTTCAAAGTATTTTCTAACAAAATTGGAAATGTTTCTCCGTCCCAGATTCATGTCTTTTCAACATTTTTGCAATAACTGACCTTCATTGATGAAATGAAGTGGCATCAGGATGCAACATTCTTTCCAAAATTGCAAAATTGTGACTTATATTAACCTTGTAAGCACAGTTTCCTAAGTTATGGGATGTACATTAATCCAAATTCCTCACTACCCTAGTCTTAGTATCACTCGTTATCTACGGAGCAAGTCTCCTGTATAACGTCTGATATATCTAGACATGCAGATACAACGTATGCAAGCTGCGCGCCAGCCTATCGGAGTTGCTTTTCCAAAATCGTGACTTCATTTCATTCCCAAATCAGGATAGTTTGATTGATCGATTCGAATGCAGTATTTTGTTATTGTTGTACAACAGCCGGGCGCATATGCACGTTACATGATACAGAGCGCATGACACAGAATTTTTTTTATCCATTGTCTATGACGCGCAACGGGTGAATGACCGAAGACCCGATATAGAAAGCACCCGCTGATTGGTCAAAATCTAGAGGTCTAGAGGCGGACTTTGTCTTGCCTTATTAATCTGCGAATCTGCTCACATATGCTATAACGGTACACTACACTAACCCATGAAATATGCTTACTGTAAGTGTAGGCACTACATTTTCTGCTACAGTAAGCGTGTATTTTTTTCGCTAACGGTAAGCAGGGCCTTGAAATTGGGCCCAGTCCTGAATTGGACATTTACTTCAAATTAACAAAAAGATATATGTACATACACAACAGAGTTGTAAAAAAAAGTAGATATATGCTAAGTATTTATTAGAAAACAGCTGCAATACTTGAATGTGGTAAGCAAATTTCTAAAAAAAAAAAAAAAAAAAAATTTACAGAAAGTTTGTACATTAACCCTAACTCCCTAGGCATTTTTGCTAGGATGCAACCTCAATCCTGCAAAATCCTCCGGCTGCTTCCCTGTAAAAATTGCATACAGCCTCAATCCTCCAAAATCCTCTGTTATTTCTTGAATGTGGTCCTTGGAGGGGTGACCGCTGCCTCCATCCTGCAAAATCCTCCAGCAGTCACTGTCAATATGTGGAGGCAGAGCCAGTGACATCCTGGAGCAGTGCGGAGGATTCAAATATTAATCTAGGCCTAAAGGTATGCACGGCCGAGCATAAACTGTCCGGCCAAAGACCTTGACACAGTGCATCCTCCAAATCAGCCACGCAATTTTGTCATGTAGTTTCAATCCTTCCAAAATCCCCCATTTTTTACAGAGGATTTTGGAGGATTTGGGAAGGTTAGGGTTATTGTATCAGCTAAAACCCACCAAATTAACAAGTAAGTGAAGAAAAGTTATTTTCAAAATATCTATTATTTTAGTTATTTGAAACTGTAGATTGCTCATTGTATTTATCTGATTTACATATATACATGTTAACTGTGTGATGAATTTTGCCACGTACCGGTATTTACCACCAGAAAAATTGTGCATATAATTTGTTTGTCTTTTAATTATTCTGTGCAATCACGTTTGATTTTCCTGTTAAAATGCAATCATGTATAGTTATTAATAAACAGGATTTATGTTGCAGGATAATTATGTAAAATATTTATGTACATGTGCTAATCCTCAATATTTTCCAATATATTGAGTTAAATTTTGTTGAATTTTTGCAAAATCTTCCATGCCTCAAATGTTTGCAATTCCACCTCACCTATTTAGGAAAAAAACAGCACACAACCAAATATCTAAATTTACACTAAAACTTTATTTTTAAAAGCTCAGCGTTTTTAACACGCGAAGTACAATGTTATATCTATCTTTAAATGCATTTACGGTAAGTACACAGACTCATCACCGTAATGTAAAACAATAACCATGCGGAAATTTCAGTTATTTCATTATCCAAAAGTGGGGGAAACCTCAAAAATTGTGCAGAATGTTTTCTTTGTTTTCTCAAAATGTATAGTATCCACTGAGCTGAAACTTCAGCAGGTTAGTTGTTACGCAACCTACTTAACATTTCGAGCAAATTTGTTGCTTCGAACCAAACAAAACAAAACATTGCACAGGGTAAAATAATGATTCTAAATATATACATACTTTTATGTACCCAAAACTTACTACTCACTTTATGAAATTGTGTAGTTTTCTTAACAAAAACATACTGCAAGAATTTATACATAATAGTGGTGTGCATTTACAGGTAGTACAGGAACCGGTCACAGATACCCGTCAAAAAAAAAAAAAAAAATTCAAATTCTGGAAATCGTCTGAAGCGGTTTGTACAATGTAGCATTACAGTATCAGCTGTAATTTTCGTGAGCGTCGTCTGTCGCTTGTTAAAAAAAATGTTTTGGTTTTCCATGTACGTGTACCCAGGTTTTCATTTTGAAAATTTCTCACGAATGGCATTTACAGTACCTTTCTTTTTCATTGTCTGAGAAGTTACTACATAATTTGTAATGTTGGTTACGGGTACCCGGTTCCGATGTACACCCTGACACCAGGCATGCAACTTTTCCTCGGATCAGCTGATTTCCTTGTTTTTCACTTCACACTCACGCCATTCACAATTGAAAAACACTGTATCAAATTTTTAATTCCTAACTTCAGTTGTAGGTGAAGTACTGACTACTGAGTTAATGAATTTCATCATTTTTGAATTCCGAACAGATTTCAAATAAACTGCATAGGGAGACTGATTACGGGAATTTGTGATATATGTATTTTTCTAATTGTTAAAAGAAACCGACTGGAGCGGGGTGTGAACCTGCAACCTTCAGATTGCCGTTCTGGTGCTCTACCAACTGAGCTATGCAGCCCTATGTTGGCAGTTCCCTGGCGGGAAGAGCGCTGGAATGGGTATCCACAGGTCGCAGGTTCAAACCCAGCTCCAATCAATTTCTTTCTTCGGTTTAAAATCACAGGGTTATCTTCTTGAAATGAACAGAAACCGTCCATTATTGGAGAGACACACACTGTATGTATGTAATCTGACAAGATTCCATTCACGTTTTTACTGACAAAATTACATGTACAAAAGTAACTTCATCAGTCAATTCAAATGAAATTATTGTTTTTAACCCTCCTGCTATCTGAAGTTACAGACAGTCAAGGAATCCTCTTCCTCTGCCATGCCTTTTACTCAGGCTAGTCACCAGCAGTCAGATCATATTCAAGCAAGCACTGCGACAAGTCAAAATCAGTCAACAGACAAAAACAGGCAAGTGGTAAGCACAGCTGGCTTATCAATCACCTACAGTCAAAGCATAGCTGTATTAAGTTACATAAACAGTTACAGCAAGTCAATCCTGCTTATTGTACCGGTAGGCTGGGAGCTCTTAACTGTTGAAAACAGTCACTTGATTGATTTTGATTGAAAAGACAACTTTGCACAGAATGTATGTTTGCATAGGAGGGTTAAAACGAAATAGTTATAGCAACGTTCTCAGAGAATTAAGGCGGCATTATTAACAATCTTTTCAAGAAGATACAAAAAATTGATACGAGTGTTTCCCTGATTCTTTATTCTGATAGTTTAGTACATTTGTTTTGCGGTAGGGATTTTTTACACACGTCCAATTCTGGCCAGAATAATATATTGAATAATTCAATAATTTAAAATGAATTTTATAATTAAAATGAAAACATCGCTATATTATGCTCCTCACATTCATCAATACTTCCATTGAAGTCATTTATGTTTACTTTCAATTTCCTTATTATTTTGAAGGTTCACAAATGGATTTAAGATTCAATTAACAATTCTGTGAATTGACATTTTCACATTAAAGCCAAGTTGAATAAAAGACTTTATATGAGTTTTGTGATGTCTTCATTTAAGAGCCCAACTGTGTTTTACCTTTCTGCTAATAAACAAATAACGAAAGTTTATGAGTGCAATGGTAAGAGTAATTTAAAAAGGTAACAGATGGAATGGTCCATTTCACAAGGCAAATGGAACATTCCATCTGTCACCGAATGAAATTATTCTTTCCATTGCACGAATGTGAAACATTCATCATTGCTTAATACAACACCTGAATAAATCCTCGTCATCTTTTTGGTCAGAGCCAAATCGTTAGATGGAACTTCTATTTACCGTGGAATAGAACTATTCTTGCGGTGTGGCCGAGCACTGGGTCGGGACGAATAATTCAATGCCATGTGATCAACGACCAACACCCACCAATTTTACATGTAGATAATGAGAATTTCTTCAGGCGTAAATCGGGCGTTGTATAACATAAAATATTTACAGAGTGTGGTTCTGTTTAAAGGCACGTAGGAACATTTGAGATTACCCGAAAATGTACCTACTGATTTTAACCAGTTTGCGTCGGAGGACATGATAACACACACTTGCTGTTTTTATACACAGGCACAGCTGACGGGTTAACATGGGGGTTATACAGGTAGGATGTAGCCTACTGATATCAGAAACACACAACGTAAAAGACAGAAACGTCAGGTATTTTTTGTTAAGATGTCTAGGTTTGTACACTAAAACAATGTTACCCTCAATGCTCAATATTAGGACCTCTTAACAAGAGACCGATTTCTCTTTCTGCACGATACCAACGTTGTTGGCGACTCGGCTGAGCATGGCTTCCACTTTCTCTAAGGGAAGCTTGTCGCATTTATCGACCCATGCCCTAAGCAGATGCTTCGAGATCGGAAAGGCTTCCTGCCCCTTCAGATTGATAGGTTTGGACCTGCTTTCGTCCTGGCCCAGCGGTCGTTCCGCATCCAGGGTGACGGTAAAGATCAGCGCCGCGTCTTTGTAGCGCGCGTCGTCATTTTCGCAGTAGCTGTGGAAGAGGAGAATGGAGCACGGCGGAAGGGCGTCCAGGTTAAAAACGATGGCCACTTTCTCACCACCCTCGAAGCCTGCACTCAAACGCCTGTCTATTTCTTCTTTCGCGTCGTGGGCGTTCCGATTCTCGTACTCTTTGCCGTTGATCGGAGTCACGCCAGTGCGTTTTCCCGGCAGAGTTTTGGCGAGAACGGACCCAAGTTGCTTCGCAAGGCACTCATTGCTTTTGGCCGCGTCGGGTCGGCTGCCGACCAGCAGAACGATTGGCGCGATCGGCTCTGAGCCTTGGGCCAGGTGATCTTCGACCGTTGCCTCGACCATGTCCCAGAAATGTTCCTCCTGAGCTGGAAACGAACTCTTCAACATCTGCATGCGTTGTGCGAAATCCGGCTGAGTTACCGATTTGGGTTGGCTGACATCCATAAACCAGTAGACGTACACAAGAGCAAGGAAAGCCAAAGAAACTGCTGCGAGTGCGACATACACAAACACTCCCACAGATTTAGAGTCTTGATTCGTTTTAGCTCTCTCATATTGTGACTTCTTAAGCCCAGTTACAACTGAAGTCTTTTCTTTCGTCAGTTTCGTAGACTCTTTTCTCTTTGTGTCAACGTCGGCTTGTGCAGTTTTCAGTGGTTCTCGCCTCAGTCCCGTCTGGTCCTTTCTCCCTTTACGATTGTCACTCTGTGATAAGTTCCGGGTTCCGATGAAGGGTTGCGTCTTCTCTCCCCTACGACTGGGACGATCACATGATCCAACGTAGCTCAGATCTTGGTCGAAACTTTCATCGGCTTGCTTTGTGCTGTCCGTCAGGTTACTCCCCCGCCAGTCGGGTTCATCTTCGCCACTCGATTCATCTCTACTCTTCAGGCCCCCCTCTGGTTTCCCTTCTCTGCTCCTGACCCTGTTTCTGAGATCTTTTCGACCGAGTTTTGGCGAGGAGTGCTCTCGGAAGAATCCTTCGCTCGTCTCTTCTGTCTTTGCTTGCGCCATTTCTTTTTTTTTGCTCTGGGAACGTGTCCTCATTGACATTCTGAAAAGTAAAAAAAAAGGGATGTTTCTTAGCTCTTAAACTCACTAAAAATAAACAGAACAACATAAACCAATTTGTTTTTCATTATTCTCATTTCAAAAAGTACAAATGTACCAGTGTTACGACCCATAGTGAAATGGCCCCCCCCCCCAACTAAACTGGGATCATCGCCTTGCAAGTTGCAGCAATTCATTAATTTAATCCTTTGACATTGTCGGATTGCACTAAACACAAAATACAGGCCTAGTATTACATGTATTATGGTTGGTATAACTTATAATAAGGTTAAGTGGAAAGAATGTTGCAACCTGACGCTACTTCAGCGGTTGTGTACAAAGTCTATGGAAAGTCAAAAAAAAAAATTAAGACTTAAGGGGTAAGTAGCTATTTCCTAACAAAATTGGAAATATTTCTCAATCCCAGATTCACGTTTTATCGTCATTTTTGCAATGACTGACCTTCATTGAGATGATATATGAAGAAAAAAGCAGCGTGAGGTTGCAACATTCTTTCCGGTTTAAAGGGAATATACATCATTTGCTTTTGCTGTAATTTTCAGAAATGGATGGAATTGGGGGGTTGGAAATATAAAGCAAATATAGTTACACTGACTTTTTGGAGGTTTTGGGTTCGAAAATGCTATAAAAACCAAGAAAAACGATCATTTTCCTGTAGTCTGGTTCCCTGACTCCATATAAGAAGAAACAGAGCAGTTTACATACATTGGGGAATTGTAAGGTCAGGGAACCAGTCTAGCTGGCTCGTACCCGTTCATAGATTTGTAATCGATTGCAAACAAGTGCAATGGTCAATTGGGGCCAGTATTTGAAAAAAAGCCAGTTGTTTCCAACGCTGATCGGCCGATCAGCGTTGGAAATTGATACAAAAATACCACTTTTCTTGAAAATGACAGTATACCAGGTGCCATAATTTTACAGGATGCTTTAGACTGTCATTTACCAACATCCTATTAAGGTATTTCGTAAAAACTTGGTAATTTTATTTTTCGATGTTTGCAAATGTTGTATATTCCCTTTAAGTTAAAAGTTATGCAAGATTATGTCCGTTTTTCTACCTTGCTACGTTATACAAATGCGGCAGCCTATTGTCCTGCAGTATCACGCCTATGTTTTATTCATTGATTGGAAAATTTTGTAATATTTTCGCCGAATAATTTCGGTGAAAAAATCAGGCCTCATTTTTCAAACACTGAATGGCCAACACAATAAAGTGTAGATCTGATTAGAGGCTACAGTTCTGTCCAATCTTGGGAACAATCAAAGCAAAATTCTTACCTGAGAATTGAAGATAAAAATGAGAAAATTTTTGTAACACTGCACAATAGTTTCTCATCAGAAAACGGGACTTCCCCACGATTTTGCGCGCACAGCCACAGGCGGGAGAGGGCGCTGCTGCTCCAGGCCAGATGATCCTCAAGTAAACAGAGAAGTGAGCGTGTGGAACTCTCAGAAAGTCACTGTTTTCGGTACGTTATGTCTCGAAAAACATGATGAAATTGATATATTGTTTCAAAAGAAATTGCGTGTATTGTGTTCATATGCCTCGTATGTCGTACACGTTCCAAATTATTCAAGTAACGCCTGTGTGTAGGCCTAACGAATTTTGTTTTTCCACAATCTGTTCGCTTACGACACGTGAACGTGGCTTGTAAACTACGCCACGCTCTTGTGGTAGCAGACCAGTAAATAAACTTCCATAGACCCCAATGGTAAATGCTCCCACTTCAAAAATTCGGGAAAAATACTCACAACTCTCCAAGGTGTTCGAGACGCACATCAAATTAAAGCTTATTTCATCATCTTTCATTTTCTTTTCAATTTTCGGGGAGTCAACTGATGACTTTTAGGGGAAATTTCCATCTGAAGATGATCACCCCTGAAAATAGTCCTGAAGCCCATCGCCATTTTGAAAAACGATGCCTACACTCCATTGCAAAATAGAGCGCTTTTAGGGTCCAAATTACATCAAAATTACACAGAACTGCAAGCTCCCAGTCCTGTGCACGGCTTCCACCCATATTTTTTACAAACCCTCAAGTTCATGGCCCAAAGCATGCCCAAATACCGAAGATTTTGAGGGCATGCAAATCGTGATTTGGCCGGCGCAGGCAATTTCGGACCGATTTACTGGTCTGCACCCTATAGAGAAGCGAGGTTTTGAAAAATTTCCCCAAACCACTTGTACGGCACGAGGAAGGATGGATGACTCATATTTCATCAAAAAATTGCAAGAAAAAAAATCTCTGACTGCGATTTCTGGCCTGAAAATAAGCCCTCTGTTTGCGGCTACCTTACTGTAGGGCGCCCCCAACGGGCGTTAATTGAGTTTTTGTTCTTTCCGACCCCAAATTACCCCCCCCCCCCCTTGTTCGCTCGAAATTGCTGTGATCGGACGACGGTCCATCGGCCCTATTCAGATTTTGGGCGCATTTGTTGCGGAACCGCCATTGGTGACCCCTTTTGAAACGCTGCCCCCCCCCCCCCCCAGGTTCCGCCCCCCTGAAAAAAAAACACTCCGCAAACATTTGACAACAACGATGGAAGGCGCCATTTTGAAACTACAGGTAGCAGACCAGTAAATAAACTTCCATAGACCCCAATGGTAAATGCTCCCACTTCAAAAATTCGGGAAAAATACTCACAACTCTCCAAGGTGTTCGAGACGCACATCAAATTAAAGCTTATTTCATCATCTTTCATTTTCTTTTCAATTTTCGGGGGGTCAACTGATGACTTTTAGGGGAAATTTCCATCTGAAGATGATCACCCCTGAAAATAGTCCTGAAGCCCATCGCCATTTTGAAAAACGATGCCTACACTCCATTGCAAAATAGAGCGCTTTTAGGGTCCAAATTACATCAAAATTACACAGAACTGCAAGCTCCCAGTCCTGTGCACGGCTTCCACCCATATTTTTTACAAACCCTCAAGTTCATGGCCCAAAGCATGCCCAAATACCGAAGATTTTGAGGGCATGCAAATCGTGATTTGGCCGGCGCAGGCAATTTCGGACCGATTTACTGGTCTGCACCCTATATACATGTTCGAACCAAACGAAATCGCGACGTCCATTGACTTTTTGTGTACATCCGGGTTATTTTAAGCGAGATACAATCTTTTGACATTGAAAACTCGGGTTTCATGTTCTGACATCACACGCCATTTTATGAGCTACGACCCTGTTGCACGGACACAATGATGTTGGGATACCAAACTCGCTTAAATGCTGGTTTTGTTTAAGAACCTTGCCAACTGGATGTACAAATTGCCGATTGGTTTCATTATTTTTCTCCAGACACCGGTTTTGCACGATGTCGCTCCCAAGTTTGGCCACCGTCTTTGCTAGGCAGCTGCGGTCACTGGCCGCAGCCTCCAAGATGGTCCACCACCGCAGCAGCAGCAGCAGCAACAGCGGGAAATTCACCGACCGATTTCAGAAAGACTTAAAAACCTCCTTCAGCTTGACGGACAGGGAGGGTTTGGACGAGCGGAACCGACCGCCTCACGAGACGGACGTTCTCATCATCGGGGGCGGGGTCGTGGGGTCCAGCATCGCCTACCACTTGAAGAGGGATGCGGAGGCGGGGCTTAACGTGACGGTTGTCGAGCGAGACTGCATGGTGAGGGCGCACTTCAAATTTTTAAGACCCTTGAAAGGCATATGATCATTGGCATTCGGTGTAAAAAGTAAAAGTAAAGTCTGTCACGAGCCAATGTAGCCCATCAGGCCAGCGCTTATCTCCGGTTTCAGTAGCATGAAACGACTGAGAATATTTCTACTTCTCCTGGACGGGATGCTAGTCCATCGCAGGTTACTCCCCAGCTAATGCCGGTACCCATTTTATACTCCTGGGTGGAGAAAGGCAAGTGGGGGTAAAGTGGCTTTCCCAAGGACACAACATATTGCCAGCAGTAGGATATGAACCCCCTGAACCTCTGATCATGAATGGATGAGTCCTTACCACTAGGCCACGCTCCCCACATTGCATTTGTTGTTATTTCACGAAATGGACCGATTTTAGGGTTATTAATTTATAGGAGATATCATTCCACTGAGCTGTGTATAAAAACAGCCAGTGCGTGTTAAAGGGAATGTACATCATTGGCAATTGCTGTAATTTTCAGAAATGAACTATTTGAGGGGTTAGTATAATAGATCAAATATTGTTACACTGACATGTTTGAAGTTTTGTGTTCGAAAATGCTGGAAAAACTAAGAAAAACAAAAATGTTCGAGGAGTCTGGTTCCCTGACGCCACTAAAGATGAAATGGATCAATTTATAGATGCCAGAAAATTGTAAGGTAATGGAACCACTCTAGCTGGCCTGCACCCGTTCATGAACATGTAACCAATAGCAAACAAAATTTGGACTGAACAAAAATGATAAATTGGAGCAGTAGTTGAGAAATAGTCAGGATTTTCCTACGGTGGTCGGCCGACCACCGTTGGAAATTTATACAAAATACCAATTTTCTTGAAAATGACTTCACACCTGGTGCCATAATTTTACAGGATGCTATAAACTGTCATTTACCAACATCCTAGTAAGGTTTTTCGTAAAAAAAGGGTAGTTTTGTTTTCCGGTGTTTGCAAATGTTGTATATTCCCTTTAATACATCCTCTGACGCGAAATGATTAAGTTTGAACATTGCCTTTTATCTTAAATGCATTCAGATCAATGTTAAAGCTCTATATCCCCATGTTTACATGCTTGCATTTGATTAGAAAATACAGAAATCTTGAAGAGTCATTTAATTTTTGTTTCCTTTTTTTTTGTTTTTTGGCAGTACACAAGAGCATCGACAACTCTCTCCGTGGGGGGCATCCGGCAGCAATTCTCAATTCCTGCCAACGTGGAAATGTCGATGTACAGTGTGGAGTTTATTAAGACTATAAAGGTATGTCTTTAAAATTATATAATCGGAGGCTACTTCAACCTTAATATGGATTTAGGGTTCCCATCCATTCTGGAAATCGGGGAAACCTTGAAAATTAGTTTCCACCTTTCCCAGTCAGGGAAAACGGAGACGCAGTAGAGCCAAATGCACAGAAAAAAAATTATTTAAGATGGCACCGATTTGAGAACAGGGTGAGGAAACACTCCTTTTCTAACCAAAATGCTGTTAAGATGCTGTTAAAGATTCTGTCATTAGTACCAAAAGAAGATTGCTGAAGTTTGCAGAAGTAAACTATGTAAAATCTAAAGAAGAAAAAAAAAGAAGAACAACGGAAAAAAAGTTTTTCCAGTTGGAGATTTTACAAGATTCCCAAAATGTTGTGATAACGGCTTGTGGCGACTGGCGATAGAGATTCATTGTGATATCGCCCTATTTTGGCCGGTGATTGCATATCTAATGTACAGTAGACTCCGGCTAAACCGACATCGCACAACTCATCAAATCGCTCAAGTCGGCCCTCTAACTAAAGTCCCAATTGAATTTGTTATTTCTAAGTCGGCTTTTATAAGTCGCCATTTCACTCAAGTTGTCGTGTTACTCTCGTTCCCCTTTCCATAAAAAGCATTACAAAATCCTTTGTGTAAGTCAGCATTCAACAAATCACGCAATGGCAACGACTTCCTGTACTGCGGTTGGCAAAGTGTCGATTGAAAAGTGGTTTGGCACGGCCCGTGATTGCTGCATGCATCGGTGTCGAAAAAGGGTGTCCTACTGCATACATCGCATATATGCATCGCAAGCATATCAATACCAGTACCCCCTCTTGGCTGTACGCATGCGCTCTGTCCATTGTGGGGGTCGTCTTATTGAATGACTACGGCTGCAGTCAATGCCTGCGTGGTATATACCGGACCACGCATGCATTTAATTCGTTACTGTGCACGTACATAATTATGTATCATGCTCTCCACTATCAATACCCCAAATGTGATGATACAATTCGAGCATTAATTTGCTGGATTCAACTCAAGCATTAAGGAGATAATCCAGGGTAAATCGAAGCCAATTAGTGCAATGAATCATGTGTGCAAAAGACCATTCATGTAAGTCGGCAAAATGACGACTTACAGCAGATGTCGACATTTGCGTAAGTCGTCACAAATTCTTGGGTCCCGAGAGTGCCGACTTAGCCGGAGTTTAATGTACGTGCATAACAACATTGTCTTGGCTCAAAACTATAGTTTGACTTTGACGATTTGTCTGTTTTAGGAGCATCTCTGTGTGGACGATGCAGACCCCCCGGACGTCCAGTTCAATCAAGGAGGTTACCTCATCCTCGCTACGGAGAAAGGAGTCGACCAGATGCGGGAAAATCACAAAATACAAAAGTGAGAGTCCCAATCTCATATAAACCCTAATCCTTGAGGGCACATAGGATCATTTGCCTTTTGTGCATTTTCTTCGTTTCTAAAACTAACACCACTCAAAATCCAAATAATTAATGTTCAAAAGCTAAACCTGTTGAAGTTTCAGCTCAGTGGATTTACACATTTTCGAGAAAATTGTTAAAAAAACAAGGACCACCCTTTGATCACGAAACACTATTTCATCAATTCATCTGTTTAGTTCCAAAATCAGTCAATTGACTGATCGTTGGAAATCACCTGCATTTCTTGATTTCTTCTCAACGATGGCAAACCAGACGGAATAGTTTCATGGGGTGTTTAGTACCAGTACAATAAAGGCCAAAAAAAAATAGTTCTGCTTCCGATTACATGGCATTTGAAAAGAGGGAAGGTAGGTAGGGAATTTTTTGGGGGGCCAATTTTTGTGTGTGTACCATCATATGGAGAAGTCTGCGTGTAGTCAAGGGTAAAAGGTAGAAATTGATGGTTTTGGGTGTTTTTTCCCTTCTCATTTTTCCCATAACAAATTTAGGGTAGGGGCTGTCAGAATAGGGTGGGTAGGCAAACCGGAACCAGAATTTTTTTTTTTTTTTTGGCCGAAGTACTAGCTGGACAAAGTCAGCCACATTTCATCAATCACACTGCTTCCAATGCATGCTTTGCTTTAGGCCTCCAGGCCCAAGTCCATCATACTCCATCAATATTTAGTCAAACCAGGCCTGTAGGACCAAGCCCCCCCAAATCCACCAAAATGGGGGATGGATTTTGATGGAGCCAGGGCGGTTAAGGTTAATCCAAGTTAGCTTTTTTTATAATAAGTTGGTACATGTAGGTTACTTTTGGGATGAATGCAAATGATCCTTTATGCCTTTAACGCTATTAGGCTCCAGGGTATGTCATGTATGTTAGCTAGAAACCCTGCCATACAATGCAACACTTGTCCAAGTTACAGGCCTGCCCAGTGCAGCAAGATCCATCAGGCCAAAAGTCTCAAGGCCAAACTGCCTCAGAGTCTGTGGTCACTGAATGCAGCAGGATACAACTGTGGCATTGTTCAATGGGACTACAATCCCGGCCAAATCTCGCTGGGCCCCCAACCCCCCAGCCCCCGCTCAATGTTGTCTCTCATTGCGCGGTGTGTGCTCCATCCGCTGGAGAGAACAACATTGACCGGGGGAGCGGGGGAGTTGGTGACCGTTAGAGGCTAAGGTTCTTTCCAAGTGTCCCAACCATTTTGGCCGGGATTGTAGCTCTCATTATCTCGGAAGCGGCCGTTTATGCACTGGTGTTGGTAGCTGAATGCATCAAAGTGCACTAGACTTTCCACTTGATGTTAGGCAGGGTTAGGGTTAAGGAATTACCAATAAATTCGCCAAACTCAAGTACCATGAAGGAATTGAAATGGCACATTCTCTTTATACATCCAAAGGGGCATGATGAAACCCCAACCTTACAGATGTAATTTGAAAAAGTGTCAAAGCTCCTTTCTCATTTTGGCTATATTTTATTTTATTTATTTTATTTCAGCCACATCCAACAGCGCAAGCGCCAAGAACAGGATGGATAAATGGAGAGAAGACAATGAGAAGAAGTTACAGTTTTAGAGGTGGGAGGAAAAGCCCAGAAGAATATTCTGGGGAAAACCCACGGAATCAGGCAGGGACTGTAAACCCAATCCACATATTGGCCCAGGCGGGATTCGAACCCGGGTCACAGCGGTGGAAGGCGAGGAAAGTACCGCTACGCCAACCTGACTCCCTATTTTCCTCAACATTCGAAAACATTTTCAATATCTGTTTTTTAATTTGATGATTGTTATTTTCTTGTCAAATTATTTGAATAGAGAGTGCGGTGCGATGGTCAACCTTATGACAGCGAAACAGTTGAAGAGCAAATTCCCCTGGATAAACACCGAAGGCATAGCGCTCGCATCCTACGGTGGGTCAAAGTTGCCATTCAGCAAATTTTACGAAAACAATGTGTGCCGCTTATATCGCCTTCTACCAAAGCTACAATCCTGGCCAAATCTTGCTGGGCCCCCAACCCCCGGCCCCCGCTCAATAGTCAATACTGTCTCTCATGACGCGGTGTGTGCTCCATCAGCTGGAGAGAACAACATTGACCGGGGGAGCGGGGATGGGTGATGACTTTCCTCGCCTTCCACCGCTGTGACCCGGGTCCCTGCTAAGGAAGTGTCCCAACCATTTTGGCCGGGATTGTAGGTCTCAAAGCGCATTTTGACTCTCAAAGACAACATTTTAAAACTGTATTTGTGTTTTAAAAATCCATAACTGGAAAATTGCGTGAGCAATATGAATGATTATCAATCAAAAGAAAGCTTACCAATTGGGCTTTCCGGCACCCCGCAGATCTTTAATTAAACAATATAGGCGATGTGGTCCAGCGGTTACGGTGTTCGACTCAGGTGCCATGGTACGTGGGTTCGAACCCCGACGGTGAACATGGTCCTCGTGTTCTTGGGCCAGACACTTTACTACGATTGCCTCTCTCCACCCAGGAGTATAAATGGGTACCTGTGAAGGTAGAGACGAAATTGCGCCGATCTCAAGCTGCTGCTTCAAAAACCTCAGCTCTGACCCCAGTTTTATATTTTCACCTCTAAAATGTCCCAAAACAAAGTTGGTGTTTAAAAAAACCCACACTTTTAGCATGTTTAGTCGTCCCTTATAGTATACAAAGTGTTACTTAAAATCTTGAATCAAAATTGTAATGCACGGTGAATCCTACAGTTCTCCAAACTTTTTGTTATTGTAGGATACGACAATGAGGGCTGGTTTGATCCCTGGTCACTTTTGAAGGCTTTCAAGGAGAAGGCACTCTCTCTTGGAGCACAGTACATCCATGGAGAGGTGACGGGATTTGACATCTCCAAGGTACCCCGGGCAGGGGCGGAGATGGCTTACTACACCGGGAGTGGGCGGAGAGTCAAAACAGTCAAGGTCAGTCATATATACGGGAGGAGTATGTCTCAAAATTGAATGTAATACTCAGTCTTGTATTAGAGTCCGTCACAAGTCCTCACAAGTTTTCAGAAGTCCTCACACGTCCCTCACAGGTCCCTCACAGGTCCCTCACAGGTCCCTCACACGTCCCTCACAGGTCCCTCACAGGTCCCTCACAGGTCCTCACAGGTCGTTACAAGTCCTAAAAAGTCCACACAGGGGCCTCTTAGTTCCTGACAAGTTCTTGCAAGTCCTCACAGGTCCTCACAAGTCATCACATGTCCTCACAAGTCATCACATGTCCTCACCATTCCTCACAGGTCCCTCACAGGTCCTCACAGGTCGTTACAAGTCCTAAAAAGTCCACACAGGGGCCTCTTAGTTCCTGACAAGTTCTTGCAAGTCCTCACAGGTCCTCACAAGTCATCACATGTCCTCACAAGTCATCACATGTCCTCACCATTCCTCACAGGTCCCTCACAGGTCCTCACAGGTCGTTACAAGTCCTAAAAAGTCCACACAGGGGCCTCCTAGTTCCTGACAAGTTCTTGCAAGTCCTCACAGGTCCTCACAAGTCATCACATGTCCTCACAAGTCATCACATGTCCTCACCATTCCTCACAGGTCCCTCACAGGTCCTCACAGGTCGTTACAAGTCCTAAAAAGTCCACACAGGGGCCTCCTAGTTCCTGACAAGTTCTTGCAAGTCCTCACAGGTCCTCACAAGTCATCACATGTCCTCACAAGTCATCACATGTCCTCACCATTCCTCACAGGTCCCTCACAGGTCCTCACAGGTCGTTACAAGTCCTAAAAAGTCCACACAGGGGCCTCCTAGTTCCTGACAAGTTCTTGCAAGTCCTCACAGGTCCTCACAAGTCATCACATGTCCTCACAAGTCATCACATGTCCTCACCATTCCTCACAGGTCCCTCACAGGTCCTCACAGGTCGTTACAAGTCCTAAAAAGTCCACACAGGGGCCTCTTAGTTCCTGACAAGTTCTTGCAAGTCCTCACAAGTCATCACATGTCCTCACCATTCTTCACAAGTCGTCACAGGTCCTCACTGGTCCTCTCATTAATGAATTGGTGTACTCAGCTAAACATCTCAAGAAGTTTGGATCCAAATCGTCAGTTTCAGTTGTCCATAACCCACAGGTACGGCTGCCTAACAGCCCCGAAACGATCCCCATCAAGTGCTCCATGGTGGTCATAGCTGCCGGACCCTGGTCCGGGGAAGTGGCCGAGCTCTTGGACATCGGCAAAGGCTCCGAGGAGGATCTCTTGCACCGGTGCCTCCCCGTCTGCCCCCGGAAACGCTACGTCTACATGTTTCACGCTCCGGATGGGCCGGGCCTGGATTGCCCCTTGTTTGTCGATCCCGTGGGCTTTTATTGCAGGAGGGAAGGGTTCGGCGGGAACTACTTGTGCGGCCGTGGTCCGGAAGGAGAGGTAAGCTTTCTTACGCATTCTCTGTGAGAAAACTGAGGGCCTAGTGACCTCTCCCATGAGATTCAGGGAGTGGGACCTTACATGCGCCCATAGACAAGCTATACAGGGTGAGTTAAAAAAAAAAAACCCCAAATGTCGGGACCACTGTTTTAGTGAAGTTCTGAATGTAGCTCTTTCAAAATCTAGGATATGAAAGCTCAATTCATAAGCTTTCCTTTAGCACAAGAATTATTCAAATCACTCATGTACTTTTCAAGTTACAGACTTTTAAACCTAAGCACCGTTTTGAAGTTCTGTCCACGGATCACATGAGTGTTCTTTCAGCAAAACGAAAACATATCACATAGGGATGTGTGTGAATTGTTTTCGTTTTGCTGACAGAACGCACACCTTTTGTGTGATATATGACCTAGACTGGTTCCCTGTCCATCCTCTGCATACTGCGGGGATTAGTCTCGGAGACCATCGCAAGTTGAATTTGAACGTATTCGCACACCGACGACGCCTGACGCTCGCACGAAGATGCGGTGGCTATAGCTTTTGCACATTCAGGAAGTCGTGCGAAGTATGCGCACGCTGTGTTTCCCGTCCACGGAGCTCTTAAAAGAGGTAAAAACGCGCCCTCTTTTGTTGGCGCACGGAGCCCGTTGTTGCTCTTTGATCCTGGTATACCATAAGGCCATTGTGCATAAACTGGTTTAGTGAAATGTGACAAAAACATTCCTTTGCTAATGGTCATACCCTGTTATTTTTTACTGGACTTGGGAATAATTATTCTCGTTTTTTTTTCTTTTTTTTTGGAGGAGGACGAGCCCAACACAGACAACTTGCAAGTCGATTATGACTTCTTTGAAACGAACATTTGGCCACATCTGGCCCACAGAGTTCCTGCATTTGAAAATCTGAAGGTATGTTTGAAATGCAGTTTGGTAATAATTTGTTTATACTTAATTTTTAATTATCTGTCTAATATCCCCCCCCCTTCCCTCCAAACCCCCCCCCCCCAAAAAAAGGGGACATTCTCCTTTCTCTACTTGCCCTTAAGTTCTTAATTTCTTTCTAATTTTCTTAATTTACCCTGACTCGATCTCCTTAGGAATTTTGTTGGAGTCATAGTCGAGTAAGATCAGATCACAAGTCATCACAAGTCATCACAAGTCAGATGACAAGTCGGATCACAAGTCATCATCAGGTCAAATCACAAGTAATCACAAGTCAAATCACAAGTCATCACAAGTCAGATCACAAGTCAATCACAAGTCAAATCACAAGTCATCATAAGTCAAATCATCAGGTCAAATCACAAGTAAGATCACAAGTCAAATCACAAGTCAGATCACAAGTCAATCACAAGTCAACCCACAAGTCTTCATACATGTAAGTCAAGCCATCACAAGTCAGATCACAAGTCATCACAAGTCAAATCATAAGTTGCATCACAAGTCATCACAAGTGAACTGGGGATGTCACAGCTCAAAGGAATAGCTTAAGACTTGAAACTGAAAGGTTACGATTGACTTTTGATGGAAATTTACTCCAACTCTTTCACTTTTTGTCCTCCGATCTTGACGATCAGATCAAAAGTGCCTGGGCCGGTTTCTACGACTACAACACCCTGGACCAGAACGCCATTATCGGCAACCATCCGGCGTACCCCAACCTGTACATGGCCACGGGATTCAGCGGGCACGGAATTCAACAGTCGCCCGCTGTCGGGCTGGCAATCAGCGACTTGATCCTGCAGGGGAAGTTCTGCACGCTGGATCTGTCCGACTTCAGCTTTGACCGCGTCATGCAGAACGAACCCTTCAAAGAGAAGTGCATCTATTGAAGTACGGAGGCGAGGAGGGGCGGTTTGGGTAGGAGTGGTTGCTTTTTTGGGGGGGGGGGGATGGGCATGGGAGGTGGTAAGACAAAGGGAAAGTGGAAGATAATGACCTAATTGGGGTTGATGGCATAGCAACCGGACCACACACCAGCAGAAGCCCTTTTCACACTAGAGCCTCTTAACCTTGGGTGAACCCAGTGCCGCTACGGGTTGAGTTTTTTATTTTTCAACCCTGTGTTCAACCCCGCATTGTTCACACTTGTTTCATGCAAATCAAGCTTGTCATGCTCAGTTACGTACTACTGTTTTGAACCCTGGCAAGAATTTCAACCCGGGTTGAAAATCTCAACCCTGGTCTGGAGCAGGGTTGGGTTCAACCCGGGGCGAAATCAGTCTCGGGGTTGACGCATGGTTGACGCAGGGTTGAAATTCTTCAAGTGTGAAACTGTTCTTGTTTTCAACCCTGTGTCAACCCCGAGATTTGTCTAGTGTGAAAAGGGCTAAAGATGGTTGATCACCTCATGAGGAACGAGCGATACGAAATATGAATATCATTTGAAGTAGGGTGGGGCTGGGATGGGGCTTGGGGTGGTTGGGGGTGGGGAGGGGGGGAGGGGGGGTGGAGGGGGGGGGTGGGGGGTGGTGAGGGACAAGGAAAAGTAATAGGCTAAATTTTTGAGTGAATGAGAGCATTGTAACAATGCCATGTTCTGGGAACAGACTACTCCGAAAATTGGAAAGCTCAACTGTTGGGCTTCAAATTGAAATCAACTGGCTTCACTCTCGGGTGCAACATGTTAAAGAAAAGTCTCCTTTAAAAATTGAATTGAGACTTCAAACTTGGCTGGTGAAATACTGAGGACCTTGTCTTTGCCTTATGGAAATTTTGGAGAATTCTTTCAGCTTCTTTCGGCTAAAAGAGTGAGTAATGTTGACCTGATTTTGTTTTGCATGTTTTTCTGTAGTCGGGGCCTAGTCTGGGTACAGACATTAATCAAAGGTCATTGATGTAAGTTTAGACAATAAGCTAACAAATTGCAATTTCAGATTTAAGTAAACTGCTGCGATTAATGGGATTATTCTAAGGTTTGAACCCAGAATATGGCATCGTTAATATGCGCTCAGAAATATGGCCTGAAATTTACAGTCCTGACTCCCTCAAAATACTGCATATTAAATTGGAAATGCCTTTTACTTATGCTGACAAAGCAAACTTTGCCGATACTTGTAATATTTTTGTATATATCCAGTGAGAGATTATGAACATTGGCAATGTTTGCGATGTACTCATGAGTGGAACGCGTGGTGTTATATTTTTAAGGATTTCGGGCAGTTTGGTTAGGCCCAAAAAAATTTCTGGTTTCTGGTATGGAGCTTGCCCCAAAAGTGGTGGGGCGACGCGTTTTTTTTTTTCCCCCCAACTTTTTCTTCTTCTTCATATGTCGGCTAATGTTGCAAGATGATGCATTGATCCCCTTAAAACTCTCAAAAATATCCTTCAGGGTGGAGCTTGAGGTGACCTCAGTAAGGCCATAAGGCTTGAGAATTCTGCACCCACTTACAATCTCGACCAACACGAACATTCTTCGGGAAATTTGGATATAGTCAAGACAACAATCAGAGAAAACGGTAACGTCAGACCATACAGCGACATCAACTTTGTGCATGTGCTGCCAGGCTGGTCATTAGTCTGCAACCTTACATATTGCGCTAATTAAAAAGCGTTTACAGGTGGCCAGATACACGACCATCGCTCCCTCAGTCTGGCTTCCAGACGTACAATTACAAAATGTACATAATTACAACACGGTCTGCTAATGGTGCCCGACTAAATTTAGTGCAAAATATATGGGAGCCCATAGAAGCCACACAAAGCTCATACTCGATCGTAACCCCATCTAAAAACATGTTAAAATTGTGCAGCAGTAGGATTCCAATCAGTTTTGAGACATCATCTTACGTAGAAAAAAAACCTTTTTAATTTTGATGACGCGCATGGCTATGGCGACACGCGCATACCAGAAACCAGAGATTTTTTTTTGGCCTTACTAAAACTCAACGTATGTAGCTGCATTGCCTGAAATACTTCCAAGACGTTTTTGGTTAAGTAGTAACTTGACCACCGAGAAATAAGTTCTGATGTTTAAGATATGTGCTGTGCTTTTTACCATTCTCGACGTATATTGTTTTATATCCATGAAGTACGTCTTCCAGAGCCTTTATTGTGTAACTTTTATGAACATTATCAGCCTTTTAAAATTACTAAATTTGAAGAAATTCACTTGATGGTTTAGTATCCAAATACTTGACTGTAAGGGTTTTTTCCTCTTTTTTTTCAAAATCACCTAGAGAAATTGTCGTCGTCTTCGGATCCGAGACCAAAGTGGTTAGTGGGGCAGATAGGGGATATATTTGGGGGAATTGTGCCTTTGATGATACAAGCGTGGCATTTGGCACACAGTCAGAGTATGTCATGAGAAAGATATTTGGCTATAGGGCCATTGCAGATTTGTTCTTTGAAGAAATATCGGTAGAATTACAAACAATTTTTCAAATTTCAAAATGGCTGCCATTGCTTGTTATCCTACCTATATTTTTTTAGAGGACAAATCTACGATGGCCCTATAGCCAAATACCTTTCTCAGGACATACTCTGACGGTGTGCCAGATGCCATGCTTGTATCATTAAAGGCACAATCCCATCACCTATCTGCCGTACTACATGGCACTGCTTTATAAGCAAAGAATCCCAGTTTAAGGGACCGAAAAATCCCTGCTTACTATAGCAGAATATTCCGTGCTTACGGTAAGTGTATTTCACGCGTAAGTGTATTTTGGCTTCTGCGCCAGGTTTATCCCAAAAGGATTCTGTGCTTACGGGTTTGCACAGAATTTTTCTGCCAGCACAGTTAGCACAAAATTTGTGGTCGTAAGCACGAAATTATGTGGTTAGCAGAGCCAAGGAATTGGGCCCAGTATTTTTTCGTTTCAAATTAAAAAAAATCATGCATTGAGGGTGGTTTCAAATCCTCGTTTGTACCCTAATTTCTTAAAGTGAAAATACAACATTTGCAAACATCGAAAAATAAAACTACCAAGTTTTTACGACATACCTTACTAGGATGTTGGTAAATGACAGTATGAAGCATTCTGTAAAATTATGGCACCTGGTGTGAAGTCATTTTCAAGAAAATGGTATTTTTGTATAAATTTCCAACGGTGGTTGGCCGACCACCGTTGGAAAAACCTAACTATTTTTTCAACTACCGGTACTGCTTCATATTTACCATTTGTTTCAGTCCAAATTGTGTTTGCTATTGGTTACATGTTCATGAACGGGTGCAGGCCAGCTAGACTTGTTCCCTATACCTTACAATTTTCCGGCATCTATAAATTGATCCATTTCATTTTTAGTGGAGTCAGAGAACCAGACTACTTGAACATTTTTGTTTTTCTTGGTTTTTCAAGCATTTTTGGACACAAAACTTCAAACATGTCAGTGTAACAATATTTTGTTCTATTATACTACCCCTCAACTAGTTCATTTCTGAAAATTACAGCGAAAGCCAATGATGTACATTCCCTTTAACGTTTTCCTTTTTTTTTGCACTATGTTAATTTTGGGAAGTTTGTTTGCTATATTCCTATTGCTTTGCAAGTATCTACAGGTTTACAATTTTACTGTTATCCTTTTTCAGATATATGTGTATGTGCATGTGTGACCACCCAGCACAAAACGGGGTCTACCCGATGTTCCCCTATACCTATGTTCCCTGAAATCCTTAGGATTAGGGTTAGGGTTGGGTAAGGATTTCGGGGAACATCGGTATTGGGGAACGTAGGTATTGGGGAACATAGGTATAGACCCCACAAAACCAGTCAATTTGAGGACAATTTTTGAAAACTGGCATTTTGGGTTCATTGGAAAGGACATTGAATTAGTTTTCCTATGATGTACATGTAAATTAGAATCCGGCGACCAGAATTAGAAGCTTTGGGCAAGTTCGGGTAAGAACTATTGTTGACCAATGGTTAACCATAGTTTGACTAAAGTTAGCCCGAACTCTGTCTAGTCGATTATTTGGAACCAGCTTACTGGGTCTGGTTGCATCGCTGGTAACCAACAGCCACACGTTTTCATAGCGTACAGCAGGGAGCCAGGACCCAGAAGTTTTGCGATGACATTTTGACCAGCGTCTGATTAGAGACGTTCGCACGTTGCTATAAGTGTGCAGGCGTAAGGTACGTCACAAATCAACCACTAGTCGACTAATGGTCCTTGCCGAACTTGCTCTTTTACTGCACTGGTGTCATGCTCATGCGCATGCTGCATGCGTTCTTAAAGACGAGGCGCACCGCATTTTGGCCCAAAGTGCATGTGTACTACCTGAGTGCGACTCGCGCTAGCCTTGCACCACCGCAGAAAATGACTGCCGCCAGATTTGTTAATAGAATGATCAGTTCCCAATTTTTGGGTCTGTTTTGGAAAGTAAAAAGAGATTGAGAAATTTGTCGTTAAAAGTTTCCCAAATGAACTCCTTAGAATATTTTTACAAATGAAATTCATTGAGAACGAGATATATTCATTATTCTAGCTTCTTACTCCTAAATCACCATTTCGATCATTTTTACCATTTCGATAATTATTACAGGCTGTGTCTCAAAATACGGCTGCGCGACTTCCGATGGGTTTTGTGCTGGAGGGTCACGTATGTAGTCGTAGTTTAAGATATTTTATGCTCTTTTTCCTTTTGCAGAAATACTTATTTTTAAAAAATGCATTTTTAATTTTGATGACATCAAAGCATACTATCCGTAATATAATAGTTTTCACCGATTCTTCTCAAAACTAAACTAACAAACTTTCCACTTAATTGCCGACTTAAAAAACCTTAAAATTGTTTGCTTCAGGCTTTCAAGTATTCCTACTTTTTCTACTTTTTTCCTGGGTTTTTTTACCTTGCTCCAACTTTTCCTCCTTTTTTTTCTTGAAATCCCTACCTTTTTGTCCCACAACTTCGAAAAATGAAATCTCATTGAATATTTTTCATAAGTGTTACACACTGTCGTATGTAAATCACACGGTGAAGGGCTTGGGCGCAGGAGTACTGCAACTGTACTTCCCAAGAGCTTAGTTGAAGATTGAGCACAAATGTTGAGTGCAGAACATGCCAAATGCGTCTTATGATGCTGTGGATAGGATGAATCAATGAAAAGTACTCCTGAAAGCCTGCAAAAGTCCCATTGTCCTGGGTTTTGGGTGAAAATTTGACCCCACTGTTCTCCTTTTTCACATGGGTCTGCTTGAAGTCCAAAGAACATTGTTTAACAATTTATTTTTTATAGTCAAGGTATTTTTGCCAGAGGTTTTTATAATCACACGACATGCAAATTGTTGTGGGAAAAAAAGAACTTTTGAAACAACAGCAGTAAAGCACAATAATTTTAGTTTTAGGCATGTTCTTTTCACAACACTTTACGATCATATCTGATTCAAGGAAAATCTGAGAGCTTTTGAATGAAAGCAAATTCAAGCTGTTTCACAAGTTGTAATTTTGAAGGAAAAAGGTACACAAGTACATTAAATTCTATGTGTCAGTTGAACTCTTTCATTATCATAGCGAGCCAATGGGAAAAAAAATATTTTGTTTTTAGATTTAAGTCAAGTTTACTTAAAGGCACATGGAAACATTTGCAATTGCCTGTAAAGATGCCCACCGATTTACGAGAGATTTTTGCTCGAAGGGAAGATGGGTCTGGTACCAAATATCTAGTGAAATTATTTTGCCTGAAGTGGTATCATTCGGACAAAAACAATCATTGATGGTGGTTTAAAAAAGTGTGCCTACGGGCACATTTTTGAAAAAATGTTAATTAGCAGCGGCCATATTCAGTAAGGAGACCCTACAACTGTGCATAGGTTTTCTGTTTTCTCAAATTGTATACATGTACATCTACAGCCTGTCTAAAAAAAAAATGGTACAATCGAAAACGATTTTTTTTTTTTTCAATATTAAATCTCAACATAAGTAAGTCGTTTTGAGCATCACATTAAATAAAAAAGACCAGGCTTTCCAATACTTTTTGTCTCATCTCATTTGCTTTTGTCAATCCAGAGATAACTCCAGTTTACTGCGGAACACAAAAATCGAGTTTGTTTCTTTTGCCAAGTTGCAGTCTTTTGTGAGCTTCAAGACAGCATGGCACAGTACTCGAAACAGCTCTGCCCATGCATAAAAGTGGCACAAAATCGATTTTGGTGTATTGCACTAAATGGATTATATCTCTGAATTGACAAAAGCAAATAAGATCAAACAAACACTATTAGAAAGCCCAGGTTTTGTTCTTTAATATTATGCCAAGTAAGAATGACTTATTTTGAAATTTCATATTCAACCAATTTGTTTTCTGTATGTACCATTTTTTTGAGACAGGCTGTAGTATTCACCGAGCTGAAACTTCAACAAGTTAATTGTTCCGCACCCTTCTGAAGATTTTGGGCAATTTATTGCTTCAACCAAAAAAAAAAGTTTGCAAAGCAAATGATCGTATGTACCTCAAAATTGGACGTTGTTTAAAGTATATATAAGCAGACAGTATTCATTTATCAAATAATGCAACACATTTAATTTATTGCTGTATTTGTGCTTATGTCATTTACATTTTATCAAGCAAACCATTGTATTGATAATGTACAAAATGTATATGAAATTATTTTTGAATTGTACTTTCATAGAGGATGCCTGTATTCCGTGTACAAATTGGGCACAATATGAAAAATGTGGGGGAAATAACACATTTTATGGGTACATGTATGTATCTGGAGTATAAAAGCTACAGCCAGAAATAATGACAAATGAAAACGTTCTCCTTTTTACCAAATATTCCCTGTTTTGGGCATTTATTGATCTCGCAAAATATGTCCCTTGCAACTTTTTACTTCAAAATTCCAATGAAATGTAACTTGACAAAGGTCTGTTGAGCCATGTTTGCCCCCTTTGGCACAAGAAGGGCAGTATATGCACGATGTTGTCTGATTGGCCGCTTCCCTCAAGGACACACCCCCATGTTGACAATCTTGGGCTCTGATTGGTCTACTTCTTCTTGGACACACCCACTGTTCTTCCTCTTCTGCCAGTGGTCTTGGTGTGCTGTCCTCTGACACGCAGACTGCAGAAGATTTGGAAAAAAATGGACCAAAAAAATTAATCAAAACAAAAGCTTTCATTTTTACAAATTTCCAAATTTGATGATGAATTGCAGGTTAGGTCCAGGGGTACTTGCCTGACCATCCTATGTGGCCCAGGTTCGATTCCCGCCCAGACTAAAATGTTGATCTGGATGTATTCTCTGTTGAGGTTTTAATTAGAATATGTATCCAGGGTTTTCCTCCCACATTTAAAATTGAGAATTTCTTTGTCGTCTTCTTTCCACAGGTTTTTCCAGCTTACAGTGGAGTCAAGGCGCAGTGATTCGTTCCTCGCCTTTCACCTCTACGGCTCGGGTTCAATTCCTGCCCTGGTCCGCATGTGTATTGGGTTTTCAGTCCCTACCTGATTCCGTGTTTTTTTTCCCCCATAATACTTTTCTGGGCTTTTCCTCCCGCCTCTAAAATTGTAACTTCTTCTCATTGTCTTCTCTCTACAGGTTTCTTCAGGCTTGCAAGCTACTTTGCCTAGGGCACTTTTGAGGAATCCTTGGTACCATTGCCAGAGTATAATACCTACAGTGCCATGGCTACCTTCGTTTCATTAACTAGAGTTTTCTCTCCAAACCTTAATTTGTTGCCAACTTTGTCCTCAGATTTTAAGCCCCTCAGACTTTGACGACCCTTGCTGAATATATGACCAAATTCTGTGCTTTGACCATTGAATCCTATAACGGTGTTCCCAACATTTTATGAAAACAAATCCCTGAATTTTCTCTGATATTCCCCTGAGAAATTTTAAAAATTCCATGAGAAATATTAACGAGGTTGCTGAGAAGTCAAGAGGTGGTTGCAGCAAAGCAACTGAGATGATAATACAAAGGTAACTTGTGGACAAGCGATGGCCTCCCTTTTTCCCTTACAGCCTTCCTTTCCTCACCATATGCAACAGAGACCAGCATGCAACTTGGAAGTAACAAAAAACGAGGAAACTCCAATCTTTACAAGACTTTGTACAGTGTTTTTCAATTTTTAATGGCATAAGTGTGAAGTGAAAAACGAGGAAATCAGCTGATCCGAGGAAAAGTTGCATGCCTGAGAGACGCACGTCCGCTAAACTGGCGAAAACCTTTCCCTTCTGGGTCACTGTCACATTCCCTGATTCTGGCATTTTCCCAAAATTCCCAAATTTTTCCTAACTGGAAAGATCGAAACTGATTTTCAAGGTTTCCCCTTGCGTTTGAACACTGACAGCTTCCAAATGATCCTGAATCTAGCGCCAGACCCGAGATTTTGGAAAAAAAACAGTGGACAATCGAGTTACGGTGACCTACCCCCAGTAGTGACGCAGACCGCGATGGGCCCGGATCTTCTTCAGTCTCTCCAAGTCCTCGCGGAGTTTGTTGTCCAGGGCGTTGGCCAGGACCTGACTGAATTTGCCGTCGCGCTCGTCCTTCTGCCTGTTCAGGAACCAGTCGGGGATCTTGTACTGGCGCGGGTTGCCGATGATGGTGATCACCTTCTCAACCTTACGTGAAAATCAAACGGACCATTTAGGAATCCTTTGACCAATTGAGAATCCGTGCACTTGCAGCAATTAGAAACCACAGACCAATTCGGAATTGGGACACTTACAGACTCCACCAAAGAAATTAATATGGCATCCTGACATGGCATCATGAAAATTAAACGGACCATTTAGGAATCATTCGACCAATTGAGAATCCGTGCACTTGTACCAATTGGAAACCAAAGACGAATTCGGAATTGGGACACTTATAGCCTCTACAAAAGAAACTAATATGGCATCAGATACCAAAATCATTACCCACAATTATTCTCCCTTCTGGAAATTTAATTTGAATAAAAAATATTCAAACTCTTGACAACAATTAGGGGCCTACCTCTTCTTCTGTCAATTCACCAGCACGTTTGGTCAGGTCAATATCGGCCTTTCGACAGCAAACATTGGCGTAACGTCTTCCTACACCCTGAAAGATAACGGGAGTAAACAGAAAACAATCAGTCTTTGCAATTTTTTTTTGTATTTTGATATTTTGTAATTTTTAAATTTATTTTCAGGCCTAAATTAGTTTTTTACGGTCAATTGTGACTGTTAAGTTCAGTTCTCGTTTGTTTCTTTTGGGCAGATTTTTCAATAAACATATTTTTTAATGTTTGTTTGAAGACTTCACCTTGATGGCGGTGAGGGCAAACATGATCTTGCGTCTGCCATCAATGTTGGTGTTCAGAACACGCAAGATGTGCTGAAACTTTTCAGGTAGAACCAGAGTCTGGAAAAAAAAGGCACAACAAAATATGTTACAACATTTGCCGTGGCTATTGTATGTTTGGCAACCAAAACACGACTTTCAACTGCTATGGTTATGGAACCGACGTCATGATCTTAGGCCATGTAGGCTGTTGGAACCAAACTATCAACCAAATGGTTCTCTGGCATTTTTTTCCTTTTTAAAACAAACCTCCGACATTTTTTTGTCCAAAACCACTGATTTCATTTTCAAACAACACGCTAAGGCCTACGTAAACAATTTAAATTCTTGTGCAGAGCATGACATTCGAGTATTTTTAATTTAAGAATCGCGCGTCTGTGACATATTTTTTGTTAAGAATCCATATGCCTTTCTAATGGCCTACTGAACCTTTAAAAAATCTTAAAACAGGGGGGCCTAGTTGGAACGATCGAAAGTAACTGAAACAATCAACCCTCCGGTTCTTTTTCACTTTTTTTAGGTAGTAAAAGCATATTCTTTTTTCACGAGAAACCACGCAATGTGTGTATATAGTTTTACATTTATCGAAATGTCACATTTAATGTTGTTAAAAGTCATAACATCGACGATTATAATGGATTTTAGGGAAGCCTCCGGTTTCTCACCATGATGGCTTCAGAGATGGATCAGAAAAGACCGTACAAGAAGTCCCACAATGCAATAGTAATTTACGGGGATTCGCACATTTAGGATACGAGTATAATGATTGGCTTGTAGTCACATCATATACATTACAACGAAAATTCAATTGACCAATGAGGGCGAGTCTTGCATAATGATGGAACTAAAGGTGAAAGCGACTGAACAAAATGGCGACCACCGAGGGCAGCTCAGCAGAAGTTGGGCAAGAAGAAGAGGTGAGTTTGTAGTGGAATAACTATTGCATTGAAAATCTAGCACATAATTAATATGAATATTCAGCCTTCAGGTGGTAGCTTTGTATTTGAACAATTTGTATGTTAACAAAAGTAATAAGCTAATATTCTCTGCGTCTGACGTCTGTGCACAAGACGTTGAAGGTTAGTGCATAACGTTAGAGGGCGCCCTCCCGTACTCCCAACAGTATGCTGGGCGGAGGTGTCATGATTTGGGGGGGGGGGGGGGGGGCTGGGGGAATTATGTTACTTTAATAGGATTTCGAAAACAGTTATAGATGGGTTGACAGAAATTCAATGGGTTGAAAAGAAGGGTGAACAGTGTTGGAGTTGGACAACATGCTTTTGAGTTTTGTTGGCTACTTTTTTGGAGGGCATATAGTCGTGTTCCTAACGTGGCGCACTTCGAAGCTTACCGAACTTTCCTCGTGTAGTGTTGCCAAACCTCTTTGTTGATAAACCTCAAATTCATGCAGTGAAATGCTGGTACTTTTACCTTTTTAATGCTTGCTATTTAACCTCTGTGAACAATTTCGGTTTCATAAAATTTAATTCGAAATGCAAAAACGGTCGCGTCCGGAAATTGGGCACAAATTGGCGGAGTGTTCCCCAACGTGGCGCACTTGAATAAATCTCAGAAAATTCCAAATTAACATTTAAGAATTTCTGTAAACTTGATAAATTCTGATAAATCATTATAATCTTTACTTACAAACCCAGCCAGATGTTTGTCAGAAAATTATTTTCTTATTTTTCGGGGCATTTTCAAAGGTTCACTTTGCACTTGAAAATAAAATCGGAAAATCACGCCAAAATAATGTTTTCTTTTAACTTTGTAACGGGTAAATAAACTCGCGATTTATGAACGGGAGTGTTTAGAACTTGATGAAATTTCACTTTCTGTGAAATTTCAGTTAAAACTTTTGCTCTAGCTAGGCGCTACAGGCGAAAAATAAAAGTGCGCCACGTTAGGGGCCGCGCCACGTTAGGGTACATCAACAATATGCCATGACGTTGGGGGGCGGGGGGGGGGGGGCGATTAACTTTCTGTAACGTGTAGGATAGTCGGCGACGGCGTGAATCACCTTTTAATTATATTTGGAACAATGCAGTACCCCGCCCCTTAGACAGGTGAACGTGGCGTTGAAAACAACACCACGTTCCGGTGTAACTGTAAGGCCAAATAAAACATAAACATGTTTAGTGTCCAGCCTTTTTGAAAAAATGGAAGCAGAAGGCCCTTTTTTTCCCCTACAAAATGGCCGCCGGACCAGGCTATTTTTCAAGATGGCCATCATTATTTTTTTTTAATGGCCGCCATTGGACTCGAAAAAATGACATGCAGGCTCTTGGCCAAAAAAGAAAAGTCTCTGGTTTCTGGTATGCAGGCGCGTCGCCATAGCCATTCGTGTCGGCAGCATTTAACAAAAAATTTCAATGGAAGATGATGTCTCAAAACCGCCAACTCACTGGTTTGGCTGGAAAAGTGCTGCACAATTTTAACGTGTTTTTAGATGGGGTTGCGATCGAGTATAAGCTTTATGTGCAGGCATCCAACTGGGAAGTTACAAAAAGTTTCCAAGACTTTGTACAAGTGTTTTTCTATTTCTAATGACACACATGGGAAGTAAAAAAAAAGAGGAAATCAGCTAATACGAGGAAAAGTTGCATGCCTGTATGTGGCCTCTTTTGGCTCCCATAGCACTGAATTTTGTCGGGCACCATTTGCAGTCATCAACCGACAAAAACAACGCGTCGCCGCACCACTTTTGGGCCAAGCTCCATACCAGAAACCAAAGACTTGGGGGGGGGGCCTTATATGGGCTAGATGCAACAGACAAATGATGTCATTGTTTAATATTTAGCGTTTTGTCAGTTTAAAAAAAGAAGAAAAAAAAGAGGTGGCCTCCCAAAAGGAAGCAGGTGGGGACCCTCAACCTGTTTTTTTTTTAATTTGGCCTAATTTTGAATCACTCGATGTCATTTTAGTTTGATCTGTTACATATTACCATGCATAATTTTTTTGTCCTATAGGTAAATCATTTACTTGTTGGGCTTTCTGTGAACTCACACGAGTGTTGGATCTGTCATTCCCAAGAAATTGGATGAAAAATACGGCACAACAAACGTGTTCAAAATAATCAGAAAATCAAAGACACGCATGGTACTCTGCTACCCCAAGTTCCGCATGCGCAAAACGGTGGAAGTCCCACCAGTGGGTACTCGTCTTACGTTGCAGGGTAACCGCGTAATACCATGTTAAAATTCCGCTAAATCCACTTCAAAAATCTGCCAAATCACACGGTGTTACACGAATACACAACGAGTCTAGACGTTGTTATGGTTTGATCAGCAATATTCAGCCGCTGCGATAAAACCCCGCAGTGAGAGGGCGCTATCACGACCAACCAATATCACTCACGAACCGGTCAGAACAACGTCTAGGACATTTCCTAAAACCTAGTGTGGACATCCGTGTTTGATGGCACCGCGCGCTACGCTCTGATGAGTGGTATATTTCTACTGCTGGAATCCTGATATAAATACATTGTGATTATAATAATTATTTCCAGTTTCCATTTGTGTTGCCTCCCTCAGAGTTTAGACCTTCCTGAGCTGAATCTAGGAGTTCTAGATCTGACTTCAGATGAGTTCATTCTGGATGAGGTGGATGTCCACATCCAGCAGAATCTTGAGGATGACGTAGTCAAGGCCGCTTTGGAATCGGTGAGTGCAAACCAGTTGTAGTATTAAAATGGGGGGGGGGGGTGAGGGGGAGGGGGCTGGGGGAGGGTGGTGTTGGGGGGGCGGGGGTAGGTTGCATATAATTGGCCAACATCAAGTTTGGGGCCCTGTTTTAAATAAAGGCATTTACAGGTAGCTCTGTTGGTCAACCTGTAGTACTACATGTAAAAACTAAACATCCTATTCTTGTTCCTAAATAACTCTGTTGTTTACCGATAAAATTAGACCAACCTTTCAGATCATGTAAACAAGGCATGACAAATTTTATGGAGCGAGTTTCATCAGCTTTGTGCAAGAGTGTGATACTTAAAGGCCATACGAAAAAAAATCACTCTCGGAATCTGCCATTTTCCACTTGGTGTCCTCCAATGTTGATACAGCGCTGGAGACGGTGGCGGAAGGGGCACGCTGCGGCCGAAAGTTTCTGAAGAAACGCAGGGTCACCCCCTCGATTGCACACCTCGATAGTTTGGCGTTTTCAATCCTCTTAGGGAGCGTAGCACCATCGGCTTCGCCTTGGGTGCTATGCGCTCCTCGGTTGTTAACCCTAACGTACCTGAATCCATCAAAATCCACCCCCCTGTTTCGGGGGATTTCGGCGGATTCAGGATACCTCCATATTGTACAAACTAGGGGATTTTGATGGATTCAGGATTGTAAGCTTAGCGGAACTGCAGGATTTTGATGGATTCAGGATACCTCCATATTGAGCTGTTGTGGATTCAGGATCTCAACAGAAAACTCTTTGGCTATTTTTGTGGTCAAGTAAATACTGCTTGTAGCCCTGCCAGGTCTGTCACATGCTGTACAAAATGTATGTACTGGGCGGTTGGGAGCTTGTGACTGTGGCTTATAAGGCCTCAGCATATAAACAATGGATTATGTACATAACCCATCCAGACAAAGCAACGCTGGGGTCGGACAATGGCTCATTGAAATAGCCCTTCCAGACAATGCAAACATCATAGTATACATAATTACCCACAGCCCAAGTTGAAAGGAAAAACAACCCACATCATATCCACCAGTAGTTGAACCATTGCATTGGTGTATTGAGATGGATCCTATGCAACAACACACATCACAATTTTCATGCGAGCATGGTATCCTGAATCCGTCAAAATCCACCAGAAATTTAGGTGATGGATTTTGAAGACTCTATGGAAAAACATGCTGTATTTTTTTTTTATGCCACCATGGTATCCTGAATCCGCCAGAATCCATCGAGACTTTGGCGGATCGGGATACCTCCAGCATCTACACTGGGGGATTCTGATGGACTCGGGTTACCAGCAATTTTTTGCGTGACAAAATTGGTGGATTTCGGCAGATTCAGGATACTTTCTAGTAAAAGAGCCCCAGGAGTTGGGGTTAATGTGCAATGTATCCCACGTCACAGCAGTCATCAGTAGTCATCATGTTAAATGTCAACTGGTTGATGTTTGTCACTTGATTTCAGGGTGTGGATCTGAGGCAGTACTCCAAGCAGATTGAGAGTGAGCTTCAAGCCGTCGAGAACGCCTCCATTCAGGACTGTATCCTTTATATTGAACAATCATTACATTGTTCTCCAACCTGTAAAAGTAACCTGGTGCCCCGCCAAGCTCTCTGAGGCACCCGCCAAGCTTCAAAAGCTGCCGCCAAGCTTAAAAAGTTGCCCGCCATGCTTAAAAAAGAGGAAAATATAATATTAAAGACAAACAAGTGCCACTTCCATTAACCACCAGGATATATTTTGGCCAGAAACTCTGCCAAAAACAGTAACATACCAACACTTGTCAAACTGACAAGCCTGCCCATTGTAGCAATCAATCAGGTCAAAAGTCTCAAGGCCAAACTGCCTCAGAGTCCCTGGTCACTGATGTGTTAAAAAAGATGATGCTGAGCCAGTAATGAACTTGATTGTTAGTGTTACTGTGTTAGAAATGACCTAAAAGCTGTTATCCGTACATAAAGTACATGTTCATCTGCAAATAGCGCCCCCTAGCATACAGTTGTGTATGACTGCAAATAGCGCCCCTAACATAATTATAGCGCCCCCCCCCCTCCGCTTTTTGACGGCGCACCGACCTTTAATTTTCGAAGTTGGAGAACACTGCATTATACTCACAAGGGAAATATGCTACGGATTGCTCTTGCCAGAAATGCACCATTGTATCCCATGAAATACATTCAAATTCAGTCTTTGTATATTTCAATTTCTAGCAGATTACTTATTCTAAATTTCCATATTCCTCGTCAAAACATCGGTGTCAACTTCACTTGAATAAAATTTAGCATGAAAAAAAGGTTGACTTAATAATTTTTCGCACCAATTATTTCACATTTGAGAATCATTTTGTGAACCCTTTGACTCCCTTAAATTTGTGGAATTCACTTCTTCCTTGACTTTGAGCCCCCTTCCCTCTCCTCCGACCACCAGATATCAAAGAAAGCCAGAACATTGCCAGCCTGCATAACCAGATCTCAGCATGTGACACAATACTAGAGGTAACATTCATGTATTGCTTACATAACTATATTGTTAACCCTTTCATACCCACATTATTTATTGACTTGGCTCTCCCCAGGACCAAATTGTTTGCTCAGTCATGCGGAAATCGCTAGAGCGTGAAAAAAATGACCACTAGTCGAAAACTCACTTTCTTCAACCCAGATTTTCACTGCCAAGGAGTGATTAAAATCATAGGAGTTGTGTGTAAAGTTTGTTCCTTGAACCTTATTCTTTAATGTGATGTAAAAATGAAGTCCATACGTGCAAATGTAACAAAAGTTATGCCTTTTTGTTCATCTGGTCCCATTTATCAAACTGCGAGCCATTTCACCACATGACCAAATGGCACTCCATACCACAAATTGTGTGTGGATACTTATGAAGCACTTTTCTCATTTTTATGTAATGGTAACACTATGAATAAACTTAACCATTAGAAAGATCCAAAAACCCTCTTTCAGATGGTATTTAGTTGATGTATGGGCGGCCAAACATATCAACATGCCACCTTTCTGAAAAGTTGTAAATATATCAGTGTTGAGGGTGTTATGTGTGTGGTTTCCTGGCCGACTTAAGTCGCCCATGGGAATCAGCAGGGGGGTAGTTCTTGTCGGCAAAAGTCACCCATGGTAGGGAAAGGGTTAACAGCAGAAATGCAAAAATCTGTTCAACATGCGCCCCAGCTCTGAAAGGGCCTTTCACACTCTCCACAATCTCCACGTGGGACCCAGGTCTGACATAGAGGTTTCGGAAACCCCTTTCACACTAGCAAGAATCCAACCCAACCTGTGCGTGGGTCCGGTGTTTACACCGGTCTTGGGTTGTACCCAGGTAAAATCCTACCCTGGTAAGGACCAGCGTGGAGAGGCTCTACCCGGGTAGAGAATCCAACATCTACAGCCAACCCATGTGCACCCGGGGTAACTGTGAACGGTACACCATGCCTACCAGTGTTTGATTGACCCAGCTGCAACAGTATAGGTACGGCGCTCTACCCGGGGTAAAATCCCACCCTGGTCGGGACCAGGGTGGAGAGGCTCTACCCAGGTAGAAAATCCCAAATCTACAGCCAACCCATGTGCACCTGGTGTAAGTGTGAACGGTACACCATGCCTACCAGTATTTGATTGACCCAGCTGCAATAGTACATAAGTACGGTGCTCTACCCGGGGTAAAATCCAACCCTGGTCAGGACCAGGGTTGAGAGGCTCTACCTGGGTAGAAAATCCTAAATCTAAGTGTGAACAGTACACCGTGCCTACCAGTGTTTGATTGACCCAGCTGCAACAGTACATAGGTACGGAGCTCTACCCGGGGTAAAATCCAACCCTGGTCAGGACCAGGGTGGAGAGGCTCTACCCGGGTAGAAAATCCTAAATCTAAGTGTGAACAGTACACCGTGCCTACCAGTGTTTGATTGACCCAGCTGCAACAGTACATAGGTACAGTGCTCTACCCGGGGTAAATCCAACCCTGGTCAGGACCAGGGTGGAGAGGCTCTACCTAGGTAGAAAATCCAAAATCTACATCTGACCCATTTACACACTGGTGTGAGTGTGAACACTATGCATTGCCTACCTGTGTTCGATAGGACCTGGTTCTACTAATGCTGGATTTCAACTGGGGTAGGCAAAACGATAGTGTGAAAAGACTTAGTGTGGCATGTACACATTTATCAGTCGATTAATAAAGGGAATATACAACATTTGCAAACATCAAAAAACAAAACTTCCAAGTTGTGAAATATCTTACTGGACTTTTAGTGAATGTCAGTCTTAAGCCTCCTGTAAAATCATGGCACCTGGTGTGCTGTTATTGTCCAGAAAAATGGTGTTTTTGTATCAATTACCAATGCTGGTCAGCTGACCAGTGTTGGAAAGAAATAGCCTTTTGCAAATACTGCCACCAATTGACCATAGTTAGGTAGATCCGCATTTTGATTGCCATTGATTACACACCTACGAACGGGTACAAGCCAGCTAGACTGGTTCTCGAACCAAGGAAACAAAGTCTCTCCAGATGTCTCTTTCCATTAAAAAAAATTGAAACCGAGATATTATTGCTAATTGGAACAGAAGTAGGGCACATGTGAATCAAAGGGAGATATCCTCTGTTATGGTTGAATCTCCTCTTTAAAATGACCAATTTTATGAAAGGGTCTATTTACAGGCTTGTGCCACTTTTCAGTTGCGGTTTTTGTGTTGCCATTTGTCACAGAGTGAAAGGCTATGGAAAGTAGCACAAGCCTCTAAATAGACCCTTTCATAAAGTTGGTCACTGCTCAGTCAACCGTGAATGCAAGGACATGATCAGGGTGTCATTTTTAAGAGGCGATTCAACCCTAACAGAGGATATCTCCCTTTGATTCACATGTGCCCTACTTCTGTTCCAATTAGCAATAATATCTCGGTTTCGGGTTTTTTTATCCACCCTGTATAGTCTCAATCCTGTAAAATCCTCCATTTTGCAAAGAGTATTTTGGAGGATTTGGGAAGGTTAGGGTTAAAATGATTTTGTTTGGTTTATTTTCTCTCTCAGAGGATGGAGGAGATGCTGAACGGATTCCAATCGGACCTGGGCAGCTTGAGCGCGGAGATTCAGACGCTACAGAACCAGTCCATTGCGATGAATATCAAGCTGAAGAACCGACAGGCCGTGAGGGGGGAACTCAGCCAGTTTGTGGACGAGATGGCCGTACAGGAAACCATGATCAAGTAAGGGAAAAACTTCAATCACAAATCTTGATAATTCTGCATACTGTTCAGTTTTTGAACAAAGTGCCTTTTCTAAGAGTCACTATTCAACAGCATGTAGGATCATTTGCTGTTCTTGCATTTTGTTTGTTTCCAATCATAACACCACTCAAAATCCAAAGGAGAATGTTCAAATCTTAACCTATTGAAGTATCAGCTCCGTGGATATTACACATTTTAAGAAAACAGTGAAAAAGCAGGCACAGCCTTTTTATCTTGAAACACGATTTCTTTAAAAGAACTCTTTGTTCCAAAAATCAGTTAACTGACTGATTGTTGGAAATCACCTACATTTCTTGATTTCTTCTAAATGACAGCAAGCCAGACGGAACAATTTCATGGGGTGTTTAGTACCAGGACGATCCTTAATCCAATTAAGCTTTTATATAATAATTTAGTGACTTTTGATAATAATTTAGTAACTTTCGGAGAAATGAAAATGATCGTATATGCTTTCAAATGATGGTACATGCATTGGAAAGGCACAACTGTATACTGAATTTAAAGGTACAAAGAATCATTTGCTTTTTTGTGCATTTTTGTTTTCGTATGAAGCAACAACAGCAACTAACTTGTTGAATTTTCCACTCAGTTGCTGCTATACATTTTGAGAAACCAGAGAAATCATAATACACCATTTTTTAGGTCTCATGACTGGACTCCGTTGCTAACACATCGAAAAGTGCGCCTGTGGGCACCCTATTTTGAAACCACCTGCAGTGTTAGATTTCTCCCAAACGATACCATTTCAGGCGGAATAATTTCACAGGTTATTTGATACCAGTCCTATCTTCACTTTGAGCAAGTTTGTATGTCATTGAATCGGTAGGTACTCTTCCATGTAATTGTAAATGATCCTACGTGGCATTCAATCTCCCAAACGCAAAATTCCATCTTGTAAATAGTTTCAGTTCAATGTGATTGTCTTCATTGAAGTACTTCCTAAGCATTATCTACTCGCCTTTTGTCTTTTCGGCAGTCACATTCTCGACACCCCGGTGACAGAGCGCCAATTTCTGGAGCAGCTCCACGAGTTGAACCACAAGATCAGCTTCGTCAAGGAGCAATCATTCAAAGAAGCCATCTCGTGCAAGGACGTGCAGGATATCTTGGACAAACTCAAACTCAAGGTAATGTTCTAAATCCGCCCTCAGGTTGACATTGGAACAACGACACAGAGCAGTCAACGACTGACTTTCAGGATCAAGCTGCACCTGAGCTACGACCGTTGGGAACATTTCAGTCGCAGCTTTTTTTGGCATCCTTAGTGTAACTGCAACGATATTAAGACGATCGGCAAAATTTACAGTCGCAGAAGTAGACTTTTTTTTAATTTTGCGTCGTGATGGAATCCATCAGGCAGGAATCCATCGCAGTCGCCCTGTGTGAAGTTAGGACCTCCTGCGCGCATAAAATGTTATTGTAAATTGTCGTCTTGTTGTTGGTGATGTGAGCATGGTTGCGATTATTCTGTGTCGAGGTGCCGCTTGTTCGACGATAATCACCCAATTTCTCAGTTTTGTGACCTGAGCATGATTTTTGAGCTTGATGCCGACAGTTCCGTCGCAGTGCAAGCAAATCGTGGGTCGACCTGAGGCCGGCTTAAGGACTTGGTCATGCACCAAAGAGGGCGCTGTGCAGTTTAGCCAAAAAAGTAGAAGTTGAACATTCATTCTTTTATACTTTTTAAATCCCCATGAACGATTTAACTGAAGTGGTGCCAGTATTCGAGGAATAGTGACCGTATTTATTTTTCGTCAACTTTGCGTTTCCCCAGGCAATCGCCAAAATTCGAGAATTCCTTCTGCAGAAGGTTAACCAGATGCGGAAACCGATGACGAACTACCAGCTACAACAGAACACGATGCTCAAATTCAGGTAGCGGAAAACTTTCTGTTTTTTTTACATTTTACAGCATAGACATGTTCATCATGTTTGTTTTTGGAGAGACTGTCATAGCTGTATCACAAATTGTAAATCTACTAAAGGTTTAGCATAAAATTGAGCACTGATTTTTTTTTTTTAGATTTTTTTTGCATTTTAACTAACTTTGAATTTCTGGCCATTTTGTAATATTTAGTATCCATAAAGGTAATGGACACCATTTGTGAATTTTTTTTTAATGTTTTTGCCGATTCAAGGAATAACAATACAATAAATCTGAAGCAGCTTAAAAGGAAAATACAACATTTACAAACATCAAAAAATGAAATGATCTAATTATCACGAAATACCTTACTGGATTGTTAGGAATGACAGTCTAAAGCATCCTTTAAAATTGCGGCTCCTGGTTTGCCGACATTTTCAAGAAAAACTGCATTTTTCCAACGCTGGTCGGCCCACCAGCGTTGAAGAAAACTGGCTTTTTTTCAAAAACTGTTCTTAGTTTTTCATATTTTAGTTTTCTGAATTTTCTTTGCAATTGATTACACACCTCTGAAGGGGTACAGGCCTGCTAGACTGATTCTCAGACCTTACAATTCCCTAAAGTGTATGGTGCTCCGTTTCATCTTATTGGGGTCAGGGAACCAGACTACAAAAACATGATTGGTTTTCTTGGTTTTTCCAGCATCTACAAGCCCAAAACGTGAAACATGTCACTTCAACAATATTTTCTATAACATACTAATCCTCCAAATCTATTTATTTCTGAAAATTTGATGCAAAAGCAAATGTTGTACATTCCCTTTAAAGAACTTATCTTTCAAACTTCCAGCTCTGTAGATATCATGTGTTTGAGGAAGCTGTGAAAAAGCAACTGTATTTGTCTTGACGTAAAGCAAGCTTTCCGTTGAAAGTCTTCGCTTTCAAAATTTTTGTTAATTATATTTTGACTTGCACCCTCTTGTGGTATGATGCCCAGTTCGTTACTCAGGAAAATAATTTTCAATCACAGATAATGTAACCGATTGCAAACTTAATTAAATTTGGTCGATTGAAAAACCCTGGCTTTTTTTTATGATGGTTCAGTCCAAACCATTGCGAGGAAGTGATGTCAATTCCGCTTTTTTTGAAAATGACAGCGTACTAGGCGCAAAGATTTTATGGGATGCTTGATCCTATTATTGACCAACAGTGAAGTAGGATATTTCTTAAAGCTATAGTCCATCATTTGCAGCTATCCGAAAAGTAACTGGCGTAATTATCGTTGAAAAATATACTTGGTTGAAAAATAGTAAGGGGACTAAACTCCCTGTGAAATTATTTTTTCTGGCAATCTGTCATTTTGAAGTAATCAACAAAAGAAGGCCTTTCCAACGGTGCTTCTTAAGACGCACCGTAGGAAATTTAAATTAGTAGTTCGTTTTGTTATTCGGCGAAACGCGCGCAAGCATTGGCACAACGCACACGCACACGGGGTTGCTATATTTCTTCGGATCTGTACGCGACATCGCGTAGCTGCAATCGGCTCAGTGAGAACGTGTCTTGGACGATGAATTCAGGCCCAATTCAAAACATGATTCAGCAACTTTTGATTTGAAATTGAGGTCCTAGAATGCTGTTTTTCTCGGAATATACAGCTGAAGCTGTGCTGAAACTTCATCAGGTTAGTTGTTCAGTCCCGTTCTTTAGATTTTGAGCCACTTTTGTTGCTTCAAACGAACAAAATGCACAAATTACAAATGATGGACTACATGTATATCTTTAATTATTTTGTCAGTTTCGTTTTTGAACATTTGCAAATGGTTTCCATCTTTAAGTTGTAATCTTTGTACCTTTGACAACTGCATCTTCCGCAGGTTTTTCTTTGAGTTCCTGTTGTCCAATGAGAGACAAGTTGCTAAGGAGGTCCGCGACGATTACGTGGATACCATGAGCAAAGTGTACTACTCTTACTTCAAGGGCTACATCAGCAGGCTTATGAAGCTACAAGTGAGTCCCATTGAGTTTGAGCCATAGTCATAGCCATAGCTACAGTCATAGCCGTACATGTAGATACAGCCATTGCCATAGTCACAATAGATGTAACTTATCACAGTCACAGCCACTGCAATGCATGTAGCTAAAGCCCTATCCATAGTTGTTGTCGTAGCCATAACCATATTCACAAAGCAATAGCCATTGTCATAGCCACAGCAATAGCTTTAGCCATATCCTTATTAAATAATCGTTATAGGGCTCGTTCAAATGACGTCATTTTCTACAGACCATCCACACGTGGCCACGTGCATCGGCATTTTGAGCGTCATCTTGCATAACGTGCATCGGCTGCGTTGTATTTCGAACACATTTCGAGCAGCACGCGCGCTTGTTTGGAACATTTCAACACTGATGCGTGCTGGATTGCGTAAAATACGCAGTTGCAGTTCTCCTACAGAGATGGCCGTCGAGCCCTATTGTAACACCTCACCCACAGATTCTGTATCGTGATTGGCCGAGAGTGAGTCACATGGCATTCGCTATTTTTGCTGAGTTAGCCTAGACGTTGTTCCGACGGGTTCGTGGGTGGCATTAGTTGGTCGTGATAGCGCTTGGTGGCGGGGCGGGTTATCACTGCAGCAGGTTATCGCGTATCAAACCATTAAAAGTCTAGCCCCTAGACTATGTACAACGCGATATGAGTTAAATTCAAAGAAAATAACAGTTTGGGCATATTTATCTAATTTCTCTTGGTTTTTAATTTGTATTCAGTATGATGAAGTTGCAGACAAGGAGGATTTGATGGGAGTGGAAGACACTGCAAAAAGAGATATCCTTTTGAAGAATAATTACTGAATAATCAACTTCAAAACGTATCTGTTTTGAGTACATGGTGGACATTTGCGTATACATACATGTACCCCCTTGGGATGAAAATAAGAGACTTAGCAATTTCCCAAAACTTAGCGTGTTCTCCATTTTTGGCTACATCTCTGGCTTCAGGTTCATTGATCAAGATGCCTTTGATGTTCATTCAAAATTGACACTAAACACCACGTGAAATTATTCCGTCTGGCGTGCTATCATTTAGAAGAAATAAAAAAATGTAGGTGATTTCCAACGATCAGTCAATTTTGGACCAATGTTTGGAAATACAGAGTGCTGTAGACGAAATTGTGTTTTGTGATCAAAAGGTTGTGCATGGGTTTTCATTGCTTTCTCGAATAGTGTAATATCCCCCGAGCTGAAAATTCAACATGTTAGGTTTTTTAAAACACTCTTCTCTGGATTTTGAGTGGTGTTATTATTGGAAACAAAAAATTGCATGAAAAGCAAAGGTGGAAAAAAAATCAGTACACTTCTGTGCAGTTGTTATCAAGTTTCCTTTTTACTGGGATCCTAACCCCATGTAAAGCATAAATCAGTTTACGAGTGCGGTACTCACTCCAACAGATTCTAACAAAACATGCAGTTGGATTTTGAAGGGTTGGGGGTAGTTAGGGTTAATACAGTCTTAGTTCAATGGATGTGTTTTTAAAGAAGATTTATAGACGTTTCCTTAGCAGAATACACGGTTCTTTTCCAAGCCCTCGCTGAAGAACAGATCCACCGTCTTCACGCTGGGAAACAGAGGCAGCATCATCACGAGCAGTCTGGAATCCCCAATCATCATACCCCACGCGGCGCAGAAGGACGAGATCAAGGTAAAGGGGACAATGCAAAAGTAAACAGGCAGTAACTCGATCTTGACCCCGAGGTTTGCCTCAAGGTGATCCTCAAAGCTTCATGAGGTTTTACAGTGTTTTGTTGGTTACCTCAGGGTAAAACCAGAAGGACGAGGTCAAGGTAAGGGGAGAATGCATAAGTAAACAGGCGGTAACTTAAACTTTAACTGGAGGTTTACCTCAAGGTAAACCTCAAGGCTTTATGAGGTTTTTACAGGGTTTTGTTGGTTACCTCAGGGTAAAACCATGAGTTACCGCCTATAACTTGAGGTTCACCTCAAGGTTTTACGAGGTTTAACAGGGTTTTGTTGGTTACCTCGGGGTAAAACCTTGAGTTACCGCCTGTAACTTGAGGTTTACCTCAAGGTTTTATAAGGTTTTACTAGGGTTTTGTGGGGTAACCTCAAAAATTACATTACATGGGTCTTTTAAAGGGCCATGCAATGTAAATTTTCAATGCAGTCCTTGAAAATGCACCTGAAGTTGTGTCCTATTTAACCTTATTTTCAAGTTTCTTTTTTTGCCGTTTCAACAATATTTTGATGCCTTTTTGGTTTTGATGCTAATGCCAATTTCCATATTCATGAGCAAAAGTGTGATGTCATTTCAGGCAGAAACCTCAATGTAACAGCTATTTCAGCATTGAAAGTTACCAGTATTTCTGATATTTTGCTGTCGTAAAATTCTATTGCTTTGGTGAGTCATTGTTGTGTTAGTACGTGGCACTATTAAGCCAATGAGCAAAGTTTTCTCACAAGTGTGTTCAATGAGCAATTGTTTGGGTTCACAATTTGAAACAGAAAACTGTAACTGAACGGTGTCTTCCTGAAATGACATCACAGCAATAGTGCTCTCAGTTGTCTGGAAAAGCATGGACAATTTTAAAGTTTAAATATTTAAATGTAATATAGTTATCATATATTTAAGAGGAGTAGAAAGTTGCCCAAAATGTGTTCCTAAGAACAATCCTTGTTTATGGACCCTTTAAATCTTCTTTTTCTCAAACAGTTTTGAGAGTTTGTTTGAAAAAAATATGACTGTGCCAAGGCAGTCAAGCACTTTTTTTTAGAATGTCGTTTTACAAGAAAATCATAAAAAGCTTGAAATTACAGGTTTTTTGTGACACTTTTTAATTGCCACGAGAAAGTAATATCTGTCAAATCAGTCGCCAGTTTAAAAACTTAATCAATTTGAGCAAAACTTAACTTTGACAAGACCAATTGTTCAAAACACTGCCATTGTTAAAAAAAAAGTTTGGTTTTTTTCCAGCACACTTTTGAGAGTCTCTTTCGGAGCCAGCACTATGCCCTCCTCGACAACTGTTGCCGGGAGTATTTGTTTGTTTGTGATTTCTTCATGGTAACCGGCTCCAGTGCGCAGGACCTGTTCAACGCCATCATGGGCAAGACGCTATCTATGTTCTTGGTGAGTGCGAATTTGGTCGTGCTATTTAGCGTCAACAAAGCGTCACCAATCGTCAACAAACACGATCAGCGTCAACAAAGCGTCAACAAGCTCAAAATGCACTCTCAAGCTTTAGAAAGTTGTCATCATTATTCAATAGTATACAAATGTTGAGTGGCTCAGAGTGAAATGGGAAGAATATTGTCGCAAGGTAAAATCTGGACTTTTCCATTTTAAAAGGTGAAGCCGAGTGAACTGAAAAAGTCCAGATTTTACAGAGTGAAAGTATTCCTCCCATTTCACAATTTTAAAGCTAATATTTGTATTATATAACCTACTTATAGATCCTTGTAATTTGATAAATTTGAACTTTTATTTCAATACAAAATTGGTGGAAAATGTATTTCTCACTTCCAAACCACCCCTTGACATAAATGTTTGAACCCAACTCCGTAGCGCTGGCTCTTTGGACAAATTGGAACAACATGTGCTACGCGCAACGCTGAACGCGCACATCTGCATGCATTTGCAGAAAAATACCGCGTCATGGAACAAGAACGATCCTAACTGTTGAATAGTATTTCCCATTCCCCATGGGTGAATGGGACTTTTTAAGCCCCGGCGTGAATGGGAGCAATAACAAATGTCACGTGATGTGAATTCCACCAATCAAATCAAATGACACCGATCTCTGGGTCAGTTACATAAACTCTCATAGGTCGTACTTATGTTAGAAGTCAGTGGAATTCAAATTCACAATCCCACATAAAAACAAAATTTTTGGCAACAAATTATGGTGGCAGGAAGCCGCCATCTTTCTTTTCTCAGCGGCAATACGCTTTGCACATGCACGATTGTACCATTGTCCTAGGCAAAAAAGATGGCGGCCAGTTTGTCCGGAAGAATGGCACCGTTGTTGTCGTACTTTTTCGCTTAAAATTGCATATTTAAACATACTTATGTGATATGTTGGAAATAATCGTTGACAGCCCACTGATTATTGTGAACACCTTATGTTTTGCTGAAAAGTGTGTGTACAGCTTGTTGACACTTTGTTTACGCCTTGTTGATGCCTTGTTGATGCCTTGTTGATACTTGTTGACACTTGTTGAAGCTTATGACCCATTGAATTTTGTCAAAGAGTTTGTGGAACACCCAAATCTTTGTTCCAATTTTCTTTCTTTTACGTTACTTTTCTTTCACATACACAGGTTGAGTAAAAAAAAACGAAACCCAAAAGTCTGGGCCATTGTTTTAGTGAAATTCTACATGTAGCACTTTCAAAATCTAGGATATGAAAGCCCAATCACATAGGGATGTGTGTGAATTGTTTTCGTTTCGAAAGAACACTTACCTTTTTGTGAACCGTAGACAGAACTTTCAAACGGTGGTTGTGTTTAAAATTCCGTAACTTGAAAAGTACATGAGTGATTTGAATGATTCTTGTACTAAAAGAAAGCTTATGAATTGGGCTTTCGTATGCTAGATTTTGAAAGTGCTACATGCAGAACTTCACTAAAACAATAGTCCCGTCATTTGGGCTTTCGTTTTTTACTCACCCTGTATGTAGTAACACTAACATGTATCTTACATTTCGTCGGTTGTACCACGAACCGACGTATCGCATTATTTTGTGTTTCGAGAGAAAACCGATTTAAAGTTGGTCATTATTTTGTAGGTTCATTCCATATACTCCCTGTGTAAGAATTCAAGCTGTTTCGTTTTTGCTAGTAAATTATAGATTGAACTTTATTGTATGCAATCCGTGTGCATCTGAGTTGCTAAGTTTTTGAGAAATTCTGCTCCAAAGTTATTTGTCACTTCGTGAAACAGATTTTTATCATGTTTATCCTATGTTATACAACGCGCGTAATAGTGGCCGTGTGCCAGATACAGAGATACGTCGGTTCGTGAAACACTAAATTCCAATTTTTCATGTCTTCGCTGCTTTGTGACGTCATAGCACTATGGGAATTAGCGTGTAAAGCGGCGTATCGGGATACGCCACTTCGTGGTGCAGCATTTTTCATTTTTTAGAGATACGCCACACAGTCTAATTAGCGTTCTTAGTTAATTAGAACTCCGATCGGAATAAAACTTTCTGAGAATGAGCACTTTGATGAAATAATAACGTTTAATGACAAAAACTCAATTTGGTAAAAAATCGAGATACGCCGGTTCGTGGTGCGACCGACGAATTCATGAACCTGTACATGTTGTATGGCCTGAAATCACAAGGTTCCAGGTTCGAATCAAACTAGAGTCAATTGTGTTTTTCAAACTGAAAAATATGTATAAAGTGAAGTCGGTCAGTGTATATTGAAATTTTAATCCTTTTTGGTCGTTCCAGAAACACATGGACATGTACACCAACGAGTGTTTCGATTCCATCGCCATCTATCTGTGCATTCACATCATCCTGAGGTACCGAATGCTGATGCACAAGCGGGCAGTCCCTGCACTGGACAAGTAAGAGAATTCTAATCTGTCACGGGAACAAATCTGTATTGGATCCATGCATTAAAGGGAAAATACAACATTTGCAAACATCCAAAAATTAAAACTACCAAATCATTTTGAAATACCTTGCTTGACTGTTAGTGAATGACAGTGTAAAGCATCCTGTAAAATCATGGCACCTGGTATACTGTCAGTTTCAAGAAAAGTGGTATTTTTGTATCAATTTCCAACGCTGATCGGCCGACCAGCGTTGGAAAAAACTGGCTTTTTTTCAACTACTGGCCCCAGTTGACCATCGCACTTGTTTGCAATCGATTACACACCTATGAACGGGTACAAGCCAGCTAGACTGGTTCCCTGACCTTACAATTCCCCAATATATGTAAACCTGCTCTGTTTCTTCTTAAATGGAGTCAGGGAACCAGACTACAGGAAAATGATTGTTTTTCTTGGTTTTTATAGCATTTTCGAACCCAAAACCTCAAAAAAGTCAGTGTAACTATGTTTGCTATATATTTCCAACCCCCCAATTCCATCCATTTCTGAAAATTACAGCAAAAGCAAATAATGTATATTCCCTTTAACTTGCGAGGGCAGCATTCAGTCAAATCGTGTATGCCAGAAGTGTTTGCAGGCCATCAGCCTGGGGGTTTGGTCCGTATCAAACAAGGGGAATAATTCTCATTGTGATTTTTGGCAAGGTATGCACCCCTGTAGTTGGAAAATATGTGATAGCATTGCAGCGGTTGCAACTTTTTGGGTGCTATCACTTAAAAAAAAAAAAAAAAATGGCGGCCAAAACATGCTTGTTACCACATATAATTAAAGAGGTTGTGGAATGCTCAAAGACATTTCCATCATTTTTCGGGTATATGTAGCCTAAGGTGTGATGAAGTAAAAACGAATATTGTGTCTGTCATGAAATGAGTACAAAAGGTACTTTTGAGAGCTGTTTTTCGGGCCCTGTTTCGACCCAAACGTGCAATTTGTGTAAAAGTCGTCGTTGGGGGTAGCAAACAAAACATAGTAAATCGTGACATAATAAACAGGACTCGTTTATACTACGCTGCATCGGGAGTCCTGTTTATTACGTCACGATTTAATATGTTTTGTTTGCTGCCCCCAACAACGACTTTTACACAAATTGCACGTTCGGGTCGAAACAGGACCTGAAAAACAGCTCTCAAAAGTACCTTTTGTACTCATTTCATGACAAACACAATAATCGTTTTTATTTCATCACACCTTAGGCTACATATACCCGAAAAATGATGGAAATGTCTTTGAGCATTCCACAACCTCTTTAATCCGGTAACAAGCATATTGGCAGCCATTTTGAAACAAAAGTTAAAAGTAATATTAAACACCCAAAAAACCTCCACCACTCGCACTGCAAAGCTGTCACACATTTTCCAACTCTAGATATGTATACCTTGCCAAAAATCACTATGAACATTTGATACCGGTGGCCCAATTTTTGGACCAAAGCTGATAGCCTATCTGGCAAAGTAGGAAATATAGATCTGCTATTTTTTTTGGCTTGCATTAAAAAATTTCAGTGAAAGGCATCTTACCCAATATCCATATCTTTGTAGTTTCACCCAGTATCCATATCTGCAGGGTTCGACTTTAGCGGTAGCCCGCTAGCCAAATGCTAGTCAAAACAGCGGCGGGCTAGTCAAACTATTCCTTAAGTAGCCCGGCTGGCAAGTCAAACATTATTGGGATACAGCAAAGATGAAAGGACAGGAAAAAAAATAAATCATTAAATTCAGAAAGCTAACTTGTATCAATTTGTGTCTAATTTTATTAACTTTTTAGGGTTATTAAATCTTTTTATGAAAAACACTGACAAGATTGCCTCAGGATACATGCTTTACATGTATGCACATTGAGACACTCTATAAAAGAACAAAAATGCGGGCTAGTAAAAATGCCCACGGGCTGGTGAAGAGTCCGTTTCAGTAGCCCAGCTGGCTAGTGAAAATAAAAGTTAAGGTCGAACTCCGGTATCTGTCCAATGTAGATTCGTACAAGTATGCACTTGTACAAGGCCCGGGCTTTGCTTTGTCATATTGATTTTTGAATGTGACCGCTACCAGACCTAAAATTTGTCGGAACATTCAGAATCTTTTTGTTCGGGTACCAGAACCTTCTTAAAAGAGCCGTACCAATGCTGTAATGCCTTTGAATCGGGTTTATATCAGATTGGCAGTAAGCATGTTGATATGTTGGTTCTAACTTTGTTGCTTCTTCTTTTATTTTTTAGATATTGGGAGACCCTCTTAGAGATGCTGTGGCCTCGTTTTGAATACATCTTAGAGCTCAACATCAACAGCATCCGAGAAGCTGACCCACAAAAGATGGGCTCCATCGATGTCAGGCCTCACTATGTGAGTATGAGTTTTCTGGAACCCGAGTCTGAGCTTTCAAATTCCTCAGTTAGGTTTATAGGAAGCTGTGAGTAACTTGGTTTGAGTAACTATATTATCATGGTTTGAGTCAGGCTTCACTTTGTGAGTATGAGTTTCCTGGAACCCGAGTCTGAGTTTGCAGATTGCTCTGTTTGGTTACGAAGCTGTGAGTAACTTGGACTTTTTTCTTTTAACTTTTTTATCCAGCCTGAAAAATCCTCTTTTTCTGATTGAGTTACCTTGGTTTGACTCGTTGAACAGATTTCCTTGAATCTGAGTCTGAGTTTTCAAATCACTCAGTCAGATTTATAGGAAACCGAGAGTACCTTGGTTTGGGTAACTATATTTTTATGGTTTGAGTCAGGTGGCAATTTGTGAGTATGAGTTTCCTCGATCTCAAGTCTGAGTTTTCAAATCAATCAGTTAGATTTATAGGAAGCTGTGAGTAACTTGGTTTGAGTAACTTTTATTTTTATCATGGTTTGAGTCAGGCTTCACTTTGTTAGTATGAGTTTCCTTGAACCTGAGTTTTCAAATTCCTCAGATTGGTTAGGAAGCTGTGAGTAAATTGGATTTTGTTCTTTTCACTTTTTTGTCCGTGCCTGAAAAATCCTCTTTTGCTGATTGAGTTATCTTTGAATCGCTGGACAGATCACGCGTCGCTACGCAGAGTTCTCCGGCGCCATCGTTAGCTTGAACGAGACCTTCCCAGATGAGCGCGTCAATCGTTTGTTAGCGCGCCTCATGGCCGATGTAGAGAACTTCATCCTGAGAATGGCCGCCGAGTTTCCTGAACGGAAAGAACAACTCATCTTCCTCATCAACAACTACGATATGATGCTCAATGTCATCAATGTGAGCTGCAAATTTTTTTCTTTTGTTTGTAAATAATTGTATGATAATTTTGACTAACATCCCATGAACTTGTTATTAACTTGTGATAGACTTGTGATTGACTTGTGATGGACTTGTGTTTTGTGAATGACTTGTGATTGATTTGTGATTGACTTGTGATTGACTTGTTGTGCTTGAGTTGTGATTGACTTGTTGTGATTGAGTTGTGATTCAATTGCGATTCAGTTGTGATCGACTTGTTATAAGCTGGTAATTGGCTTGTGATAGAGTTGTGATGGACTTGTGATTGAATTGTGATTTACTTGTGTTTAACTTGTGATTGAGTTGTGTTTGACTTGTGATTGACTTGGGATTGACTTGTGTTTGACTTGTGTATGACTTGGGATTGACTTGTGAATGACTTGTGTCTAACTTGTAATTGACTTGTGATATGATTTGTATTTGAATTGTGATTGACTTGTGTTTGACTTGTGATTGACTCGTGAAAGACATGTAATAAACCTGTGATTGACTTGTGATTGACTAGTGATTGACTTGTATTGACTAGTGATTGTCTTGTGATTGACTTGCAACTGACATGTGATTGAGATGTGATGGACATGTGATTGACGTGTGATTGACTAGTGATTAAATTGTGATTGACTTGTGTTTGACTTGTGATTTACTTGTAACTGACATTTGATTGACATGTGATTGACATTTGATGGACATGTGGTTGGCGTGTGATTGACTTGTGATTGACTTAATATAAACTTGTGATTGACTTGTGATAGACTTGTGATTGACTTTGTGTTTGACTTGTGATGGACTTGTGAATGACTTGTAACTGGCATGTAATGGACCGGTGGTTGACATGTGATTGACTGGTAATTGACTTGTGATTGGCTTGTGTTAGACTTGTGAAATATCGTCTGAGTCCTATTCCATCCTAGGAGCGGACGGCAGAAGATTCCCGTGAGTCAGACAGCTTCCGGCAGCTCCTGGAGGCACGGACACAGGAGTTTGTGGAGGAAGTTCTGATGCCGCATTTCGGCGGCATGATGATGTTTGTCAAAGACGCGGAGTCAAAGTTGGAACGTGGCCAGGCGGAGCACATGAAGAACCAAGAACGTGAGTTGGTTTTTTCCAATCTCGTTATATTTCCAGGATAAATTGCAGGAAACTTTGTCAGCAATTGGTTATCAGGAATTGGTGGCAGGATTCTGAATAAGTTCCCCTGGAATTTCTCCCGAATTTAGAATTCTCCTGATTTTAGTGTGCAATTAAAGGCAACCAATAATCATAAGCATAAACAGCCAATGATCAGGATAGGTTTGAAATTTACTGACCGCCGGAGATTTGGACATCATATGACACTAGATGGCGCTATTCAAAGTTGACAGGACTGGATACCATCCTGACAGTGGGTGGCGCTGTTCATGTGACCCCTTTACAGTCGACTCCCGTTATAACGAGCTCGGTCATAACGATAACCTGGATGTAACGAGCACATTCTGCCAGTCCCGATCAATTTGTGTACATTACTATGGGGAAATATTTGGTTATTACGTGCACGGACATAACGAGACTTCGGCTATTACGACGATTTTGGCTGACCCAATGCGAGGAAAAGCATTGTTCTCAACCCATTTACAACGACATCTTTTCAAAACTACGGGCATTGCAGCTTGTCAACGACAGACCTTTTGTCCCGAATCGGGTATCATGCTCCCGTCTTCCAATTCAAGCAACACACTTAAGCTTCACCCTTCAATGTACCTTTGTAAAGACTTCAACCCAACGTTATTTCATCTCGCCGATCTTTATAAATAAATTCAATGGGACTGTGATAATCGGCGCAGTGGACCGCTGGTCTAGTCGCTAATCCCCCGCTGCGGTTTCCCTTAGCGTGACCAGGTTTGAAGTTTGCTTACGACTGCGGTACCACGTTTCTATATTATTACAAACTAACAATAGGGGGCGCTCAGGAGTTAAGTGTTAACATTGTAAGGAATAGCCTTTAGTACTAGCCTTTAGCGTAATTGCTCCCTATTGTTGGCTTGTGGCTATAAAAAAAAATACGAAGTAAAGAACACAGCATCACAAAACAAACGGCTCTTTTCAGAGCCACCACAACTTCCAAACAGAGATAATTCAGTCTGTCTTCAAAAAATAAAGTTTAAAACATACCGTGTTTCCCACCCCCAAAAAAGAATCCGAAGAATAAAAAAATAAAAATCTTAAACAAATTAAGAACCCCTCCGGCCCCGCCGAAAAAACAATCCCAATGAAAACAGGTTTCCAAGATCTTCAAACGCCCCACCACATATACATTGTACAAATTTTAATCCAAAATTATTACTTTTGTTTATTTATTATTATTATCTTAAAAGAATCCCTCCCGACAAATAATAATCACCAATTGCTGCGAAATTACACATTTAGACACTTAAACCCGGAAGTAATATTAGCGCCCTCTCTTGCCCGATTCCAGCAAATGCAAAACGAAAGCAAAATGTCACTTGGCACGAATGTGCGCTATAGTTAACCGAAATAATTACAATTTCAAAGAATCCCTTCAGAAACAATAATACCCAACTGTTCCAAAAAGTCAACAACCAAAAAGCATCTAAGGATCAGGAGTCATTAAAACCCGGAAGTAATGCATGTATTGGCGCCCTCTCTTGCCCGATTCCAACAAATGCAAAATGAAAGCAAAATGTCACTCGGCACGATTTGTGCGAGTGACCTACTTGCCTGATTCTTCTCAGCGATGATGCCTTTTCCTCCGGATTCAGGTCCTCAAATATTGAACAATGTTCCCTCAAAGGTATTTTATTTATTTCATTTATTCATCACCATCAGTTAAATATTTAATATACATTCATAAATACCTCAGACAGTTTAGCCATTCCTATTGGTCGAGAGCCCGTCACGTGGCCGGTATTAAACGGATGATAAAGACATGGCTAGCTGGTCTTAAACACTTTTCCAGTGTCACAATAAAATGTGGACTCCTAAAAATCCAGTGCCTCTTATCGTTTCATTGGTTGAACGTTCACAATCCTCACGTAGGCATGCGCAACACTACCAGGGAGTTAGAATTTTATAGCTCTAAATTCAAAACGCAACGCGCCAGGTGCGTTCTGCGCGACATCGCATAGAACATGATACGCGCGCGTCAATCTCCATAAAAGGGTTGTTTTCATCTTACTCGCCAGCTGAACACTCCATTATTTTGCAGGAGGGATGATTCAAAAAGCATAAAGTGAATTTGTTGAACAAAATCGGGATGTTTTGAACGAATTATATGATTTTTTTTTACCGAAAAGGTATTTATGAATGGGAATAAATATGTACTCCGTCGGTATTTATCACTCTGTTTAATACCACTTAGAGTCTGGGTGCTGATAATTACCCTCGCCTCCGGCTCGGGTAATTATCAGCACCCAGACTCTAAGTGGTATTAAACAGAGTGATAAAAACCTCCGGAGCACACATTTATTCCCTTATTATTAACAGACGTACATACCAACAAATGACCATCTTTTCATGTCTTCGGACGTGCGTTACACGATTAAAACACGCACGCACATGTACCGTACCTTGTGCACAACGAATGGGGAAAACTGCGCTCCGGAATTAGCGAGGTTCCGGCTATAACGACAGTATTGTGAAAGTCCATCGGACCTCGTTATAACGGGAGCCGACTGTATAACACACACTGGCTGCTTATAAACACAGGCACGGCTGACAGTTTAAAATGTCAAGATTGCCTCGACTTGCCTCCGGGTGATGTCTAAACACGCTTATCTCTTGTGCCTTTTGTACACACACACACAAAGTCTGTGAAGTCTGTGGAGGCGGGGCCGTGTGTTGATCTTGAATTGGCCGTTGTGCACGGCCTATTGCTGTACAATTCACGCTCCAGTGCACACCCCAGAGTATTGAAACATATGATTTTTCGGCAAGAAACATCGTACAAATGCTGTTGAAATGAGTCTTGCGAATCAGTATCTGTGGCATTTGGCTGTATATCAACAGTTGGCTGGGAAATTTTGCCTTAAAGCAAAAGTCCACATTTTCGGCAAAAACAATGCTGGCCCGAAGTGGTTAAGATTTATTACTTTAATGTTGTCTGCAGATAAACATATTATTATATGTGTTGCTATATCTTTATCAATTTACAGAACATAAGGAGAGTAAATCATAATGTAATCTCCAAGGCATACTCTTAGTAAACCCGCATTTGTTTTTTTGTATGTTTAATTTCAGTGTTGTAACCCTTCCCCAGGATTATGGGGTTTGTTCCTTTTTGTGGAATAAAACATTACATAAATATTATTTATAATTTGTTGATATTTTTTCAGGTCGTGTGGAGCAACTGGTGAGAGACTTTAGCAGTTCCTGGAAGCCTGCCATTGAGATGATTAACCAGGACGTGATGCGATCCTTCACTAACTTCAAGAATGGCACCAGCATCTTACAGGTACATGTCTAACACATGTCAAGCACATGTGACTTGCATGTGTATCACATGTTTAGTTGGGGTGCTGTGGTCCAATGGTTAAGGTGTTCGACTCGTGTGCCGTGGTACATGGGTTTGAATCCTGGCCGTGCTCTTGAGCAAGGCACTTTACCATTATTGCCTCGTCCTTTGGATGGAAAGTAAAGTCGTAGGTCCCATGTGTTGTGTAATGCACGTTAAAGAACCCAGTAACACTTATCGCTAAGAGAAGGGGTTTGCCCCGGTGTTTCTGGCAGTGGCTGTAATATGCGCCGCAGCACCTTGTAAATCCTTATAACTCCAGTAGTATTATTATTATTATTATTATCACATGCCCACCAGAAGTCAACCACAAGTCAGTCACATGTCCATCATGTGCAAGTCTATCACATGTCCATCACAATGCCATCACTTGTCGGTCACAAATCTATCAGTGATGACTTGTGTTGATTTGGGATGACTTTTGGTGACGTGTTGACATCTGGTGATGTGTGATGACATGATAACTCGTAACGCTTTGTGATGACTTGTGATAACTTGTGATGACTCCCGATGACTTGTGATGACTTGTAATGATTTTTGATGCCTTGTGATGACTTGCAATGACTTGGGATGATTTGTAATGAGCTTTGACATTTTGTGATCATTTGTATGATGTGATGTCTTGTGATGACTTGGTCTGGTGCACTGAATTCGCGGTCTGCGGGTAATTCTGCAGGTTGTGGGTTCAAGTCCAGCCTGGGGTTATGGTGTGTATGTGTGCCCTTGGGCAAGGCACTTTGTCGCTCATTGCTTCTCTCCACCCAGGAGTAAATAGGTACCTGCAAGGGCAGAGATGGTTATTGTGATTGATTGTAGCTGCTTTGCACCGAAATGGCAGCATCGAGCTGTATACTCCCCAGGGAGCTGAGATTGTCTTTGGAATGTTTCATTGGCCCAATGAGCAGGGTAATAATGATGTAGCGCCTTGAGCACCAATAATGGTGGATACATGCACTTTATAAATACGCATTAATAAAAAAAATTAATGACGTGTGTTGACATGTTATGATTGTTTTTTTTGTCTTTCCAGAGCGGTTTGACGCAGCTGATCCAGTACTACCATCGCTTCCAGAAGGTGCTCTCACAGCCACCCTTCAAGAACATGGCGGTGCGAGGCGAGCTCATCAATATTCATCATCTCATGGTAGAAGTTAAGAAATTCAAACCTGCCTTTTAATGACATCTTTTAATCTTTTGCTTCCATGAGAGTTTTTGAATCGTGTCCATCTTCAGGAGATTTAAGGCCCCAATATAGGGCCATGTTCTCCTCTAGGGAAGATCAGCATGAATTCGAATCACAGCACTTGTAAATGAGACAGATATATATATCTCATTTGTAAATAATTGTAGATATCTAATATCTTGTGGTATTCCAAGTTTGTAAAAATCGATATCTTAATATCATCTCAGTGTTATAAAACTGCAATTTATATGTTAAGTGATTATTAGGAAAATGTTGTGCCCGAATACCGCAAATCTGTTCATTTCGGTTGAAAAAACAAACTATTTCTTATATTGCATCAAAAGGACTTACTGACATTTTCTGAAGGGATGTGCAATTTTACTTCAATAATGCGTCAAATAATTTTGCTGTTTTCCAACAATGGATACTCTTTGTTAAAATTTTTGCCCATATGCTTGTTGTATGAATATTCAAATGTTCTCATCTATTACATCTAAAGGTGTGCTGAAATTTTTGCAGAAGTCAAATTCTGACCAAAGTAAATTCTAAAATTGCAAGGGGTTAACCTTTGAAAATTAGACTTTACTGCAAACAACTCAAAATTACCACTGGATGTAAGAAGAATGCATTTAAAATGTTTATGCATCCAATATTTGGGCAAAAACGACGACAATTTGGGGAAAAGTTATAATTTTTGACAGATTTTGCCAGAATTTTTGACACATTTTCCTTTTGAATGGAATTAGACAGGAATCGCACAGGAATGTGTTTTTTTCTGCAAGTTTCGAGCAATTTTATTTCTTGGCCAAAGTTAAACCTGGCATTTTTAATGAAATTTGGTCAAACATTGACTTTTCTGCAAAATTCAGAAATACCTTTTGATGCAAGATAAACATGTTTTAATAATCATTAGCATGTTTCGTCAAAGCTTTGACTCCTTTATAAAATAAAGAATTGATCGAAAAACTATATTTTTGGTGCTTTCATGAATTAACTGTGTCCCCATTAGTGACCACCCCGTTCCCAGGGCCATCAAACTCATTCCGGGGTCTTTCAACCTTGTTTCCAGAGTATCAACTGGATTATCAACTTCATACCCGGGATTATCAACCTTGTTCCCTAGAAATTAACCTCAATCCCAACTTTGGAACCAACCATCCGCGGATCTTATTTTTTATCGTTCGTGAGGGACTTCCCCAGGAAAAAGATTGACCTATTCCCCAACAAAAAGTTGAGATGACCGAAAAAAGATGAACTTCACAAACGATGGCATTAGTTCTGAATTGATTCAATTGCATGTTAATTCCAATACTTGTTCAAAACATTAATACTCTTGTACGTCGACCAGCTGAAGAGGGACGCAGGATACAGGATGCCGCTGAGGATACTGCGACATGATACCACTGAGCTGAGGACGCTGATGCGTGGAAGGTGACCATCAGAGGTTCCCGAGAAGGTGTCGGCAGAAGACGACCTCTGGCATCATCACATAATAACAGTTGACAGCTTCAACAAATTCTTGCTCACAGAGATGTAATGAGTCACTGATTTTTGTGACTCGAGTCGAGTCGAGTCATTTTAAAGAAGTGACTCGAGTCGAGTCGAGTCATTAGGTCAAGAAGGTCGAGTCGAGTCGAGTCAAATACTTAGCTCGAGTCGAGTCGAGTCACAAATATTTGAGCACTATACAATAAAAAACACAAGAGAGAAAGTCATTTGTTGGCTTTTTAAATGTTGCATTCGGGCTACTTCATGAGGCGACACCACATTTGACTGTAGCACGCCCTCTTTTTTGTGGGGGTGCATGTATTTGATTGTTTTTAAATTTCTCCCTGTGAATGCAATGGCACACATATCCAAAAATCGAGGAGGAACGTGTTCTGAGACCCTTTAGGCAACTTCCTTGCGTGATTCAGGCAATTTCAGTTTTCGACCAAAATTTGAAAAATTGCAAGGGGTTAACTTTGCTTAACGTTTTGTTTAATCAAATTTGGCCACAAATTGACTTTTCTCCAAACAACGCAGCAATTCCTTTGAAATAAAAAACACCCATTCAACATTTTGAACATCTTGGCAAAAACTAACCAATTGTTTTTTGATTGTAAGGAATATTTCTATTCGATTCATTCTTTCGCGGTTCCTGTCAATTTTCGAGGTACACTGCATTGTTTTGGCTGCTCATATTATTTCTACTGTTTGACCATTTCTCTTGCCATTCAACAGGCTTGTGTTATATATAATGTATAATCACCAGAGGCTATTTCACTTCGATACATGCTGTATTTCTAGGGTTAATGTTGGACAAAGAGTATAAAGCTGATTTTGTTCCATAAGTCGGATTGTAGTTTTCGCGGTGAATACACTGGCATGGATTGTTCGGGCCACAATACTTTTAATGTTCAACAATTTCTCTCAGAAATCAACAGACTTGGGTTATTTATCACAAACAAATACCCAGACCGAAATTCAACTCAATACATCAACATTTTCTCAAGTTATCGTTCGGAAAACGAGTGTATTGTTTTGTCCCCCTGAAAGTTTACTTTCGTTCGGATTGTATATTTCGCGGTGAACACACTGAACTGTTCGGGTAATAATACTTTTATTGTTTGACAATTTCTCTCAACAATCAACAGACGTGTGTTATATATCACAAACAATTAACCATACCGAATTTCAACTCAATCCATCAACATTTTCTCAAGTTATCGTTCTGAAAACAAGTGTATTTTTTCATATGTAAGTTGACATTCATTCGGATTGTATATTTCGTGGTGAACACACTGAACTGTTCGGGTTATGATAATACTTTTATTGTTTGACAACTCAACAATCAACAGACTTGTGTTATATATCACAAACAAATAACCAAACCGCATTTTGCGCATTGGAAAATATGTTCTAGGGTCCCTTACGCATCTTTCCTTAAAGTTTGCCGCAATTTAATTATTTTTTTTTGGCCAAAAATGGAAAAATGCAAGAGGTTAGCCTGAAATAACGGTTGCCGCTAGAGGTATCTGTGGTCATATGTGCCATTAGGGGTGACAAAACGGAAAGTACCTCCCTTTGGCATCTTTCCTGAAAGTTTGTCGCAATATTGCATCAAAAGTCAGAAAATGTATTTTTTGGGCCAAAATTGAAAAAATTGCAAGGGCCTTAGGGGCCTACATTTGTTATCACATTTGGCCAAAAAATGACTTTTCTTCAAACAACGCAGAAATGACTTTTGATGCAATGAGAGTATCATACAATATTCAGACTGCCGTTATTTCAAATATTTTGGAACCAATAATCGATTTATTGATTATAAAAAAATCATATTTTCCACTAATTTTGACCCAAATTTTCGACGCATTGTTCCTGTCTAACGACACATCTGTCCAGTAATCGAGTTGGAATGTCTTCTACGCTCCCTTGGGCATCTTTCCTGAAAAATTGGTGCATTTTCATTTTTTGGCAAAAATTCAAAAAATTGCAAGGGGTAAGCCTTACATTTTTCATCAAATTTGGCAAAAAAATTACTTTTTCTCCAAACGACGAAGAAATGACTTTTGATGGAAGGAAAGTATTGGACTGCCATTATTTCAAATAATATAGCGACAATAGTCGCCTGTAGCGGTATACCGCTGGAGGCGACCAACACAGTCGCCCCTAGAGGTACGTACCGCTGGGGGCGCTCAACAACCGTCGCCCGTAGCGGTATACCACTGGAGGCGACCAACAACAGTCGCCCCTAGAGGTACGTACCGCTGGAGGCGACCAACACAATCGCCCCTAGAGGTACGTACCGCTGGGGGCGCTCAACAACCGTCGCCCGTAGCGGTATACCGCTGGAGGCGACCAACAACAGTCGCCCCTAGAGGTACGTACCGCTGGAGGCGACCAACACAATCGCCCCTAGAGGTACGTACCGCTGGGGGCGCTCAACAACCGTCGCCCGTAGCGGTACCGCTGGAGGCGACCAACAACAGTCGCCCCTAGAGGTACGTACCGCTGGAGGCGACCAACACAGTCGCCCCTAGAGGTACGTACCGCTGGGGGCGACTCGCCCGTAGCGGTATACCCTAGCGATATACCGCTGGAGGCGACAACACAGTCGCCCCTAGAGGTATGTACCGCTGGGGGCGCTCAACAATGAGTCGCCCGTAGCGGTACATACCGCTGGAGGCGACAACACAGTCGCCCCTAGAGGTACGTACCGCTGGGGGCGCTCAACAATCGTCGCCCGTAGCGGTACCGCTGGAGGCGACCAACATCAGTCGCCCCTAGAGGTACGTACCGCTGGAGGCGACCAACACAGTCGCCCCTAGAGGTACGTACCGCTGGGGGCGCTCAACAACCGTCGCCCGTAGCGGTATACCGCTGGAGGCGACCAACAACAGTCGCCCCTAGAGGTACGTACCGCTGGAGGCGACCAACACAATCGCCCCTAGAGGTACGTACCGCTGGGGGCGCTCAACAACCGTCGCCCGTAGCGGTACCGCTGGAGGCGACCAACAACAGTCGCCCCTAGAGGTACGTACCGCTGGAGGCGACCAACACAGTCGCCCCTAGAGGTACGTACCGCTGGGGGCGACTCGCCCGTAGCGGTATACCCTAGCGATATACCGCTGGAGGCGACAACACAGTCGCCCCTAGAGGTATGTACCGCTGGGGGCGCTCAACAATGAGTCGCCCGTAGCGGTACATACCGCTGGAGGCGACAACACAGTTGCCCCTAGAGGTACGTACCGCTGGGGGCGCTCAACAATCGTCGCCCGTAGCGGTACCGCTGGAGGCGACCAACATCAGTCGCCCCTAGAGGTACGTACCGCTGGGGGCGCTCAACAACCGTCGCCCGTAGCGGTATACCGCTGGAGGCGACCAACAACAGTCGCCCCTAGAGGTACGTACCGCTGGAGGCGACCAACACAGTCGCCCCTAGAGGTACGTACCGCTGGGGGCGCTCAACAATCGTCGCCCGTAGCGGTACCGCTGGAGGCGACCAACATCAGTCGCCCCTAGAGGTACGTACCGCTGGAGGCGACCAACACAGTCGCCCCTAGAGGTACGTACCGCTGGAGGCGACCAACACAGTCGCCCCTAGAGGTACGTACCGCTGGGGGCGACTCGCCCGTAGCGGTATACCCTAGCGATATACCGCTGGAGGCGACAACACAGTCGCCCCTAGAGGTATGTACCGCTGGGGGCGCTCAACAATGAGTCGCCCGTAGCGGTACATACCGCTGGAGGCGACAACACAGTCGCCCCTAGAGGTACGTACCGCTGGGGGCGCTCAACAACCGTCGCCCGTAGCGGTATACCGCTGGAGGCGACCAACAACAGTCGCCCCTAGAGGTACGTACCGCTGGAGGCGACCAACACAATCGCCCCTAGAGGTACGTACCGCTGGGGGCGCTCAACAACCGTCGCCCGTAGCGGTACCGCTGGAGGCGACCAACAACAGTCGCCCCTAGAGGTACGTACCGCTGGAGGCGACCAACACAGTCGCCCCTAGAGGTACGTACCGCTGGGGGCGACTCGCCCGTAGCGGTATACCCTAGCGATATACCGCTGGAGGCGACAACACAGTCGCCCCTAGAGGTATGTACCGCTGGGGGCGCTCAACAATGAGTCGCCCGTAGCGGTACATACCGCTGGAGGCGACAACACAGTCGCCCCTAGAGGTACGTACCGCTGGGGGCGCTCAACAATCGTCGCCCGTAGCGGTACCGCTGGAGGCGACCAACATCAGTCGCCCCTAGAGGTACGTACCGCTGGGGGCGCTCAACAACCGTCGCCCGTAGCGGTATACCGCTGGAGGCGACCAACAACAGTCGCCCCTAGAGGTACGTACCGCTGGAGGCGACCAACACAGTCGCCCCTAGAGGTACGTACCGCTGGGGGCGCTCAACAATCGTCGCCCGTAGCGGTACCGCTGGAGGCGACCAACATCAGTCGCCCCTAGAGGTACGTACCGCTGGAGGCGA